AGAAAGTGTCCGATAATAGAGGTTGGAGGAATTAATTATTCTTTTCTCTGAAGGATTTTTTTTGTCTTATTTATAATTATGACATCAACTTTTTTGTACAAATTTTTACTTTTATTTACCATCAATTATTGGTAAATTCTAAAATATATTATTTAAGTATGTATATTTAATATGAGTAAAATTAAAAATTTATTAATTTTTTTACAGAGTCAATAAATTTTGAAATTTCTCTTGACTTTTATGACACAAACAGCAATGACTTATAAATGGTATCAAATGAAGTAATTCATATGCTACTACAAAAAATATTTTTTACACTGATTGAAAAAGGCCTTTTACACATATTCTAAAACCGATGCAGAAAGAGGAGGCGTAGAAAGGGCAAGTGCCACAATCAAACTGCAATAAGCGAGTGATAGGCCAAGAGGAGTTGAGAGATGAGAACTCTCACAAGGAGAGGCACCGAATCCTCACAACAAGAAGAACCCTAGGAGAGGAGAGGAAAGATCATTAATGAGAAATTTTTGAATTTTGAAAGGATTAATTTTTATCTATCTTTGTACACTGGTTAAAATTATAACAAGTGTGAAAAATCTTTTTAAATTTAACCTTATTTATAAAATTGTCATTAGTTATACTTTTTACTCCTGTTATAATTATAACTGGCATAAAAAGTCTCTTAAAACTTTAATTTATTTATAAAAATACCACCACCTTATTTTTAATGCTTGTTCTGTTTTAACTGATGTAAAAGGCTATTTTTTATAGTAGTGATATTTAAATAACTTTAAAATAAAATTTAAACTTTTGTGGTCAAAGAATAAAATTTAGACTTCAACTTAAAGCATATCGAGCTATTTTATTTAACCTCAATGTCCTTAGTCCAATAATTTTTTTTTTTAAATTACCTTATAGCCTTTCCAATGGAACTTGCCGGCGAATATTAATCTTAATTAATAACATTTCAAAAAAAAAAACGTAAACATGAATTCCTTGCAATCCAGGTCTAACGAATTAGCACAAACCAACATGCCTCTCAACTACTGCATTTTTTTAGTTTATCCAAAATTAAATCACAAATAAATATTCACAATTAAAGAATTTTTAGTTTATCCAAATTAAATCATGACACATTCATATGCAGCCAGCTGTTGGGTGAGCATGTTACTCATGATCACAATTTCCATCTTTATCAGTTCAAAGTTCAAACCTATTACGTCTAAAGTATCCGGTACCATCGAGTGAAAGCCATGATCTGTGGAAATCCCTTTTTCCTATGTTAATGATTCAACTTTAATGATTATGTCTGAAGTAAATGAAACGGCATTAAAGTAATTAGATGATAAATTAATTAAATAAATTAAAATCAAAGGGTCCCTGAAGTTATAATGTGATATCTGCAGACGAGGCCAACACCAGTGAATAAGACGAGGCCAGAGTTGCAGTGTATGTTTGCTGAGTTTGAAAGCTCTCAGAACTGATTAACTGAAGATGGATCAAATATGGACAAACATTGGATCATCACATCAACCTCTCGCTTAACTCAATCACCATCACAAATGTAATATAATTATAAATCTTGTGCAGTATCTATCGGATAGATTAAACTAGTTTGTTAATTTGGATTATCTGTATATATTAATCATGAGTTAGTGAAGGTTTTATTTTTCTTTTTGTTTTTAAGCCAACAACTTGTTATCTTCTCAATATTTCCGCAGATTCAATGTGTGTAACAATATTGTTTTACTCTCTGAATATAAATTACCAGCCTCTAACAATGGCTAACGTTCAAATGATCCTTCATATAATTTAACTACTCCTTTCTATTCTTAATAAGGTAAATTTTGAATTTTTCTGTCTTTAATATAATGCAAAATTATAGTATTTTTTTTAATTTTATCCCTTGTTTATATATTATGGTTTAATTTGAATTCCTAGACAAAGATATAATGTGTAAAGATGATAAAACTGAAAAGTTACATATTTTTAAAAATTTTAGGAATATAATTATTATTTTTTAACACATACGAAGTTAGTTGAGTTTGCCTTATATTACTTCTGTCCTCATTTATAAGATACTTTTAGAGAGATTTAGTGTCTCAAAATATAAAAAAATCCTTCATATTATATCATCTTTCTTTAAATGGAGTATTAAATGAATGATATTTTTGAAAGTTTATATTTTTATTTAAAAAAATTATAGAGCATATTTATGAGCTTTATTAGTATGTGTGATTTTATTTAAAAATATTTTATAAATTAGGATGGATGAAATATTAAATATCAAAGTAATTAGGAGTTATATGAAGTTATGAACATTCTTATGGTTTCTCATTTTGTCAGTCTTTCCGAAGCATTGTTGTAATCATATTATTCCTGCAATGTACAATCATATTAAACACAAAGCATTACTGTAATCAATAAAAATAAAACAGAAAATAATTGTTGAATAACTACTTAGGGCCGGCTTGAAATTATTATTTTATTATTTTAAAAACTAATGTTTTGTAGAGTATATTATGAGAACAAAAAAATAAAAATAAGTTTTTTTCATTCTCCTTTATTCTTCAGAATAATAATCTTAGAACATGTAAAAGATATTTTTATTTTTTCTGTTCTACAAAACAATATCTTTTTTTCAAAATGCTTTTTGAAAATACGTTATTAAATATATTTTTTGTTTTCAAAAAAACTGTTCCCAAAACATTGTTGACAAAACAAGGCCTTCCTCTCTTTAATTTTATTTATAAGTCACTTTTAATATGTTTGTATTTAGAAAAAATTTATAACTCATTAATTCTCTCTAGAAAATTAATAAGTTTCATATTTTATTCCTATTAAATATAAAAATACATTAAAAATGATTTATCTCACCAATATTTAATAGGATAAAAGAGGAAGCTTATGATAAAAAGTCAATCACATACCTTATAATGCATCTCTCCCATTTTATAAGATATTTTTTTTGAAAGTGATTCACTGTTTCAAAATATAGGACGTTTTTAAAAATAAAATTTTATTAATAATGATTGTTCTAATATTAACCCTCATTATTTCACTCCCTAAATAAATTTTTTTCCCTCTCTCTCATTAATAAAAGGTATTTTTATGGAAGTTTATAGAAAAATTAATTAAGATTAATTGTAAATTGTATTTATGAATTTCAATGGTATGTGTAATTTTGCAAAAAAAAAAAGTTTTATAAATTGAGAAGGGAAAGTCATAAATAGGATAAAAAAAATTTTCGTTACCTTATAAATTGGGCCATTTTCTAGTAGTATTGTTATATATTCTCTTCGTCTTAAATTATAGAGTATTTTAAAAAAAAAAATTTATTTTAAAAATATAAGACACATTGAATAAATTAAGACTTCATTAAATGCACTCATTTTAATGTTACCTTTTCTCTCTCTATAATTAATTTTCATTCTTTCTCTTTGTAATATATTAAATGATGAGTGTTTTTGAAAGTTTAAATTTTTATTTTGAAAATATAAAATTATTGAGTATATTTAATAAAATTTATTAATATATAAAATTTTATTTAAAAGTGTTTTATAATTTGAGATAAAAAAAATATTATTATATTATATAATTGCAGCGTGTTTTGAATTCAAATGGCCGGGTCTGGGACAAAGCCTGCGGCATGGCTTACAGGAGGGTGCAAATGCAAATGGTCCACCAATTTTGGATGTTGGCCCGTAATGTAATGATAATGTTTCCAAAAAGTAAAACAAAAGTAGGTAAATATTCAGCATTTAAACTTTTTTAATTGAAAAAATGGTTTGATATACAGAATATTTTCATAAAAAATAATCACAAAATAATGGTAATGACTAATGATCAATAAAGCATGAGATGGAAGGAATCTTATTTTAATTTAATTGTTGAAAAGCTGTGAAAAAAAAATAAGATTTAATAAGAAGTTAGATTTTGTTATTTTTAAAAATTATAGAAACAATTTAAGGACAATTATAATGAAAGTATACTTGAGAGTTGAGAGATAAAATTGTTTGTCTATTTATTAGGTAAATTAATTTTCAAGTCTTTAACATTACTGGTTAATTAATAAGTAAAAAAGGTTATCTGAGTTATTTTATTGCAACAAGAAATAAATCCTATGTATTACACGGAATTTAGTAAATAATCTTTACTGTTTATAATTGCGCAGCACCCCAATAAATTCAATATAATGTTTGGCCTGAAAATAAATATATTCCCTCCGTCCTTATATATAAGATATTTTTAAAAAATTTATTTTATCTCTAAATATAAGAGATGACAATAATTTTACCCTTTTCTTAAAAAATGAAATAGATCATTAAATATAGGTTTTTCGTATCACTATTATAATATTAATTATGATATTATTAGGAGTAAAACTGAAAAATTATTATATTTTCATGTGAGTTCAATTAAATAACAAACTTTTATTAGTATGTAGGATTTGATTAAAAATACATTATATTGAGGGATGGAGGGAGTATAAATTTAATATATATTAATATTCATTACTTTCTTATACTTGTATTGCCTTTTTGTAATGAAGTAAGAAATGAATACGATGACTTTTCTCCTATATTTCTGGAAATTTGTTGAAAAAGAGAAATTAATCTTATCAAAGCTATCTATGAATCATGGGTAAAAATGTTTTTCCTTTTTTTAAATAAATGGTACACCCGTGCAAGACTGTTTCAGCTGTGAATAAAAATTGGCTCTTTTTTTGGCCAAAAAAAAACTGTGAAAAAAAAAAATTGCTAATATCTGAATGCCTATGCTAACGATGAAGGCTATATTCCAAATGAGACTCAAGCGGCTAAAATCTCTCACATACATTTAGCAGATTAATTTCTCTCATTTTAACATAATACTCGTATATTAAAAATAAAAGTACTTTCGTGAGAATTTCATGCTAATTTGTTATGATCTATGTTTTGATCTCTTATATAAATAGACATTATATTTCTGTTTCATCTGATGAGTAGTTTTGTAAACTCGAAATGGCACTTGCAAAGCATTCCATTTTCTTCTTCACATTCATTCTCTTTTCATTCATTCAAGCACCCACTTTTGCCATCAGAAATGTAACTACCAATTTATTAAGTTTGTTATATCAAGTTCTCATTTTTTTTAATTTTTAATGCAATAATTTTTTAATATGTTTATTAATTAATTTTCTCATATTTCCTTCATGAATAGTCTTACATAGTGTATTTGGGATCTCATTCGCACGGTCCAGAAGCAACAGATGCTGATTTTGACCGAGTTACAGAATCTCATCATCAACTTCTTGGATCTTTTTTGGGAGGGTATTGTTTTTATTATTTATAATTAACTAATTATATTTTAATATTTTGCTTCTTACTAGTTATTATCTTATTTTAATTATGAGGTAATTAACTTTTCATAAATGGTACTTACGTGTAGTTCAAAAGCGGTGGCAAAAGAAGCAATGATGTACTCTTATACAAGATTCATCAATGGCTTTGCAGCCGTTATGGAAGAAAATGTAGCTGCTGAATCCAAAGTAAGAATTTTTGCATGTACTCGAAGAAATAATATACTACCTGTTAAAGTGTTAATCCCAGAACTTTCTCTCACCTATGATTCAATTATTGAATTTAATTTAATACAACTCAGTTCTTATAATTAATTTATTAGGTTAAAGAATTAATCGGTCTGAAATCTAAATTGTTCTACAGATTAAAGCAAGAACAAATAATTGGTACTGTACATTGTAATTAATACCAACAACAGATAATTTTCATGGATTTATTATTATTGTATCTGTGAAACACAGGAGATCCAAAAGTGTTGAAAGTATTGGAAAGCAAAGGAAGGAAATTACACACAACTCGTTCGTGGGAATTCATGTTACAGACAGATTCTAATGGTGTAGCTCTGCGAGGTTCCACCTTCAAGAGGGCTAGATTTGGTGCTGACACTATCATTGCAAATATCGACACTGGGGTGTGTGTGTGTGTGTGTATTAATTAAATTATCATTATAATATTGAAGCTTCTTAAGGATTAATTAGATATACAAATTAATTAATTAATTAATTAATAGGTCAAGTTATGAAATTGGTATTGCAGGTGTTTGGCCTGAATCTCAAAGTTTTTCTGATGAGGGAATGGGACCCATTCCTTCAAAATGGAAAGGAGCTTGCGATGGTGATAAAGACCCCTTAGGTTTTCGTTGCAATAGGTATTAGTTAAAACCTCATTTTCCAACACTCTCCACATGCATCTATCACAATTATCGGATTAATTATCACATGAAATACTTATTTATGCATAACTATGACCGGGTCATATGATCAATTAGAGTAAAATATATAAATTGACATCACATCCCTTTAATTTTGGTAAAATTACACATGCATTTCTTTTGTTTCCAAAACTTATGTTTTAGTGTAATGAACCTTTTTATGGGCTGGAATGGTGGGTAGGCAGAAGGTACTTTTTGTCACATGGGATGAGGTGTGTAAGTCAAAAAAGTTGGGTGGACTAGGAATAAGACACGCTAGACTTCAAAATCAATCTCTTTTCATGAAGTTGGGATGGAGTCTGGTGAAGAAAAAGGATGAGTTTTGGATCAGAGTTGTTCAAAGCAAATACAGGTGTGAAGATGATTTAGTTCCTAAAATTGACATAAAGTGGCTAGGATTGAATATATGGTCAAGTATTAAGGCAATGTGGGAGACAGTGAAGACAAGGCTTGAGGATATAGGGTCGAGTAATACTCAATGGAAATAGGATTGAAATGGTGTGTTTATTGTCAAGTCTTTGCTTATGACTGCCTCTGTTGGTTTGGTTCAAATTGTGGAAGAATATATGGAAAATGAATGTCCTACAACGGTGCAAAACCTTCTTGTGGTTAGCCTCTCAAAGAAGACTTCTTACCAATGTTTTGAGATGTAAGTGTGGAATGAGTTCAAATGACATATGCCCATGTTGCCATATGGAACTTGAAACCTTACTCCATGTGCTTCGTGATTGTCATCAAACTAAATTATTGTGGATGAGTGTGATCCATCTATCAGTTTGGAGACAATTTAAAGATATGGAGCTCACTAAATGGTTGTGGTGGAATATCTCTAACCAACATGGGTTGGGGAGCAAGTGGAGTGCTTTCTTTGGTGTGGTTAGTTGGTAGATCTAGAAGAGATAGAACCTCTTTGTATTTGGACAGAAAAAAGTCAGTAATGAGACTATTATTGGAAGTTCCCATGCAATAATAAGGTGCATGAAGGAAGCCTAGAATACCTTACTGTGCAATACAAATAATATGCTACCTAGAACAAAGGAAGATATGAGATGGGTAGCATCGAGGAATGGATGGGTTAAGGTAAATATAGACGATGCATACGCTTATATTTCACAGATCGGTGCATGCGGTGGACTTATAAGAGGATTTGATGGGAACTTCATTTTTGGCTTCATTCACAAACTAGATGGAGAAGATAACTTGACTACGGAGCTATGGGCTTGCGTACATGGGTTAAAGACTACTTAAGATATGAGCTGTCAGCATGTTATTCTAGAATCTGAATCTTTTGAAGTAATTTCATTACTGGACATGGAGATTAATAAAGATCATTGGGATGCTGGCATAATCACTGAGGCTAAAACTCTAATAGCTCATGATTAGGAAGTTGTTATGAGGCATGTGCATAGGGAGACAAATCAAGCAATGAATCTCTTAGCCAAGAAAGAATTATCTATTATGAATGGCTTCTACCGTATCAGTATTGCACCAAATAAGTTGCAGAACATACTAACAAGAGATAGAGAAAGAAGGAGAGATAAGATAAGCTAACTTGCCTATGGTTTTGCTTTATCTATCCAAAAAAAAAAACTTATGTTTCAGTCTATTTTTAACATCATTAAAAGTATTCTTTTAAAAATTTTAAAATGATACTTAATTTTATTAATTATTTTTTTAAAATTAAAATTATTAACTTGACCACATAATCTAATTATCCCTCCCCCCTCCATCCCTCCCCAATTTTAATTTTTTTTTAAGAATTAAGCATGTTAATATTTAAATACGAATTTTAAACAATATTTTATTAAAATTAATAAAATATAAAGTAAAATAAATGTAAATTATAATTGATCAATTCATCCCGTTATTTCAACTACCTAATTCATTAAGTTTTTCTTCATACATACTAGTTTTGAAATATTATTTGCCAGATTATATTTCAAAATATCTGGCAAATTTTTTTTTTGAAATATTATTTCAGCTAACTTGTCTATTTAAACTTTGGAAAATAATTACCCATTTAATTTTAAAAATAGAATAGAAGAAAATGTAATTAATATAAAATAAAAGGAAAAAAAGTTTATTATATTGTAAGAATTATAAGGTGAAGTAGTTGAAGTGAAATGAATACAGTGACAAATATTTAAAAATAAAAACTATATCTTATAAAAAAATGCAATCACAATTCATAAGTCTTAAAAACTTCTGCCTATATCGTTTAAATGGGTCTGTAACGCATGGAATCCACACTCTAGTCATATCTAAAAATCATATTTCCTCTGTATACGATTTTCTTTGTTCTTCTATTTCTCATCAAGTTACATCATCATCATCATAATCAACAAGTTGTATGATATATTTGATAACTGATAATTGATATGCATTCAATACATGGAACGCTTGGATTATTAATACAGGAAGCTGATAGGAGCGAGGTATTTCAACAAGGGTTATCTAGCTGATCCTTCTGGTGCCGGAAGCCCCAATGCCGTACTGAACCAGACTCAGATTCACACTCCCAGAGATTACGACGGCCATGGCTCTCACACTCTCTCGACAGCCGGAGGCAACTCCGTTCACCGCGCCAACATGTTCGGTCACTTAGCCAACGGCACTGCCTCCGGCGGTTCTCCTTTGGCCAGACTCGCCACCTACAAGGTCTGCTGGCCGCCGGTGTTACATTCTGGCAGCTGCCACGATTCCGATATACTCGCAGCGATCGATATGGCCATCCACGACGGGCGTCGATGTCATTTCCGTCTCTCTTGGAGGCTTCCCTTCCACTTACCTCGGTGATATTTTCTCTATCGGCGCTTTTCATGCCTACAAGAATGGCGTTAATGTCGTCTGTTCGACCGGAAACGACGGTCCTTCCCGTCCATTCGTCACCAATATTGCACCTTGGGTTTTCACAGTAGCTGCTAGCACCATAGACAGAGACTTCCAAGCTCGAGTTCAACTCCAGAATGGAAAGATCTTGGTGGTGCGCGCGCGCGCGCGCGCGCTTTTCTTTTCTCTCACTAATATTTTTCTCACTTTTCTTCTACTCTCTTGTTCACCGATGTGTTAATATCAGGGGGCGAGCCTTTCTGAATCATTACCACAGGACAAGTTTTACCCGATCATTGCTAGTGCCAATGCAAGAAGGGACAATTCAACTATTAATGATGCGTGAGAATTATTTCACCAACTGTTTCCTCTGTGATATTCTGCAGTCAAAGGCATGCTACGTTTCCTTGTATGTATCATTAGTAATGAACGTCTCTGTACGTTATTGTGTGTAGGAATTTGTGTTTAGAAGGAACGATAGATCCGAAGAAAGTGGAGGGCAAGATCTTGGTTTGCATGAGCGGTGTTGATTCTAGTACAGCATCGAGAGTGGAGAAGGGGTATGAGGCGTTTCGAGCTGGTGCTGCAGGAATGATTCTCAGTGATAAGCTTGACGACATTGAACCTGATATGTATATGCTTCCAGCAGCAAATATCAAATACCAAGACACTCTTGCTTTGCTTTCTTACCTTCAATCAACCAAAAATCCTGTGGCCACTATTTATCCACCCTCAGATGTGTTCAATTTGAAGCCTTCTCCAGCAGTAGCATCTTTCTCCTCCAGAGGACCAAGCTCATTCGTACCAGAGATTCTCAAGGTTAATTAATTTATATCTTCGTACAAGTAACATGTTTGTTTTTCTCCTTTAATTTGTATGTCTTATAGTAACTTTTGGTTTTACCCCTTTTCGTATAGCCTGATATTACTGCTCCCGGGGTGAACATTCTGGCTGCATATTCACCAGCCGTTGCCCCGACCATATTTTCATTTGATAATCGAAGTGTTCCTTATACCATTCTGTCTGGAACTTCTATGTCTTGTCCTCATGTTTCTGGAGTTGTCGGACTTCTCAGAACACTTCACCCAGAATGGAGTCCTGCTGCTGTTAAATCTGCCATCATGACATCTGGTATATTTATCTTGGCTACATCACTTTCAATTCCCACATAAAAAACCGAAACACAAAAAAGTCTTATGAAATTATAAAATTACTGGGAAGTTTCATGCCTTTTAATGAAATTGTCAGTTTGATTGAAGTTTACTGCTGGATATAGTTGTTAGTAGAGTTGACAACCAAACAATAATAATTAACAACTATCCAATGGTAATTGATAACTTCAACAAAAGATATGTGACTTCAGAATAATTTTGTAATTTTACGGGACTTTTCGATATTTAGATTATTTGTGCAGGACCTGAGATTTATTTTCTCATTTATCTTTCTGTTTTATTCCCAAGAGGTCAAAACATATTTCCAAAATTGCACTATTATTCCCATTGTAAGGCATCTCTAATTACTTCACTGAGCAAAAAATGAGGTGGTTAAATCATTAATTTTGTGTGAAAAAAAAAGTAAACTTTCAATTTCACCCATATTTAAATCAAAAAATTTTAAATTTACATTGTAATATTGAAAAAATATAATTAATACCCCACCAAATATATATATATATATATATATATATATAAAGGTCCATCTCTCCTAAAAGGTGTTTCGTAATAAGGATTGAAGGAGTATGTGTGTGTGTGCATAGCACTTACTAATTAATAAGGTTGACTCTATTTATATTGCTATTGATAGAATATTGTTTTGACAGCAAAGGCAAGGGACAGCACTGGTCATCCAATGCTTGCAAGTGACGACGAGGCCATGAAGAAGGCAACCCCTTTTGACTATGGCTCAGGACACATAAGGCCGAACAAAGCCATTGATCCTGGCTTGGTCTATGACTCAACCGTGAAGGACTATCTGGATCTCATGTGTGGCCTTAACTACACTGCCAAAGACCTAAGACTCTTCTATGATGCTCCTTGCAAGTGTCCTTATTCCTACGATATTCTCAACTTCAATTACCCTTCAGTGACTGTCCCTGTTCTCTATGGCTTAGTCAATGTGACCAGGACCCTCAAGAACGTTGGCTCGCCAGCGACGTACGTGGCTCGAGTCCTCTCGCCTCCTGGTCTGGCCATTAATGTGCAGCCCAAGAACTTGAAATTCGAGAAGCTCGGTGAAGAGAAAAGCTTTACTTTGACAATTCAAGTTAAGAGTCATGGTCTTGACACTGTTTTTGGAATGTTGATTTGGTCTGATGGAAAGCATTTTGTGAGGAGTCCTATAACTGTTGGTGGTGTTAAAGTTTAGATTTAGAATGTTTAATCAGTAGCAACTCATGTCCCAGGCAATAGACTTGTCGCTTCATGTAGAATTGTTAATAAAATGCATATATATTTCTCATTATTTATTTAAGCAATCTTCTTTCCTGGACTTGGTAATTCGGGTAACTATGCCACGAAGTGACACAGATTATGTTTTACGTTACACGGTCAAAAAAATAGAGTTTATCACATTTTTTCTAGATTCGTGCATTGTTTGTGAAATTAGAGTAGGCTAGCCTGTATGGCCGACCCATTGTTTTTTTAAAATAGGTTCAGGCGGGTTTAGCCCTTCAATTTTGACAAGCAAATTTAACTAACGTGTCGGGTTGAACCTGTAATTCTGTTTTTTTTTAATTAGAAGTTACTTTCAATTCAATCACATTATTGAATTGAAAAAAGTGTGGTTAAGTTATTAATTTTATTTAAAAATAAAACAAATTTTTAATTTTAATCATTTAAATAAAAAAATCCCATAGTTGTATTATATTCTTTCCTTTTTTTTTTAATAGTATAAAGAGTTGCATTACATTCTTTTTCAAAGTTAATAAATTTAAATAGAGGTAATATTTTAAAAAATTAACTAACTACATAAAGATCATACATCTCTTTGAAAAGGTGCTTATAATAAGGATAGTAGGGAATATATATTACCGTGTTTTTATATATTATATTGTTTTATAATATACCTTTCGAATAAATTTTGACATTATTCATCTATCAATTAAATTTGAATAATTATATCAACTATCAAATGCATTTTACTCCCTAAAGCTTCCCTTTATTATTCTAAGTAAATTAATCAACACATAAATGTTATAAGAGTGATCTCTCTTGAAAGTTTTCACAAGGCATAGCAGATGTTTTTATAAGTGTATTAGTGTTAATGAGTAAATTAAAATAGTTCAATTTAATTCTACCAAAAAAAAGTTGAATTCGCTATTGCGAGAAGCACTTTTTACAGCTATTTTAAATTTTTTATATCGGTTTAAAAGGGATCATCAAAAATTCTATCATGGAAATAGAACTTTGCACATTGGTTAAGCCTTATACTTACTCAGAATTTAGGATCATTTCGAGATACCACAAACTATCCCCAAATGTCTTCATTGAGAAAATTATACTCTTAACATGGATCATGACTCGCCTTCTTTCAATTTGTATGAACATAATCTCTAGTCAGTGCTGACTTAAAATCCTTCCGATGCTCACAAACATTCTTTAGTCAATGCCTCTTCATCTTAGTGGTAAGAGAAATATCATAGGTTAACTACAAAATAATTAAGTTTTAAATAAGTTAAAATTTTTAAAAAATATTATAAAAATAACAATACTAAAAGTTAACGGTACTTACCAAAATTTCTAGCCAAGCTTGATTCTTAATAGCTTGTAGTATTTGTCTCCATTCTTTGTACAGAACAATAATTTTGCTACAAGCTTGAAGGCTAATGAAGCTAATAAAGTAATCTCCCTCAACGCCAAGTAGAACCAAATCCAAACTAAGTTCAACATGCAATCTCTCAACAGTTCCATGATGTATAGCCAATCCTCTCAGCTTTATAAGACCTCTACCCCTTTTCTTATTAGGTAAACTAGTGGCATCATCATCTCCTTTAAAATCCTCCATATATATGTATATATACATATATTTGTTGGAAACAAGGTGAGATTGATTAAAAACTAAAATAATCAACAAAATTAAAAACTATTATGTTCTATCAAATTTATCTCATTACAAAGCAAATGCTCTCTTATTTCATCAATGTTCAGTCGACTCCCATTTAAATATTTCACACATGGGTAAAAATATAGTCTATTTTTATGAGGAACATTCTTTTTAGCAAATTCAAAAAATATTTCAACTCGTTCTCATATTTTTTTACTTTTTCTTCTAACATTTATCCAACTACAGTCCATTTTTTAATTACCTAATTAATATACATAAAAATATTGTATTTAATTTTTTTTAACTTACTATAAAAAATTTCAGTAGAGGTTTCCTTTAAAAGAGGACCTTCCAAAATTTTAATAAAAATAAAAATCAACTCTCAATCTCAACAACAATGAAATTAAAAATCCTAATTATTATAAAATTAAACCATTTATAAACACTTAACAATTTAAAAGAAACAAACACAAAATAATTTATAAACAAATACAAATTTGTTTATCAATTTATAGAATTTAAAAAAAAATTGGCAAGATTTTCCCTTAAAGGAGGACATCCCAAAATTTCAGCAATCACCAAAATTTCAATAGCCACAATTAAAAATTAATTATCCATGGGAAATATGTATAATAATTCTCCAACATTGTAAATTCTGCATAAAAGCTCAATAGAAAACAAAAATGCAAACTTGAAGCAAAAAAATCAAATATACAAATACCAAAATTAATTAAAATTTCTGAAATCAATGAAAAAAATAGAAGAAAAACACTTTGTATAACTTACCTAAAATCCAAGTAGGAAGAAATGCAGCCACTTGAAGCAACAGTAATGGAGACCCACAAACAACAAATATGATAGAAGAAGAAGAAAATAAAAACTACCCACCTATAATGAAGAAGAAAAATATTAGAAAATTGAGAAAACTCATAAATAAAGTGGAAGGAATATTGGAGAAAATGTGGAAATTGGGAAGAAGAAATTAGAAAATGGAGAAATGGGGAGGATGAGGAGACTCACCAAAAGAAATGAAGAAAACATTATATTGAAAAACCCACAAAGTGCAAAAACAGCGATGACATGGGCAACGATGGATAGCAACTCTAACGGCGTGGACGACGATCGGTGGTCGAAGTAGCACGGCAATGGTAGAGCATGATTGGAGAGAAAGGGAAATGAAAAAAAAAAAAAAAAACCGCACTGAATGAATGAGGGGAATACAAACTGGAGGGCAAATATTTAGAGGAAAGCACGCCAGTTCTTCTAAAGAATCGATGTGGTTTCTTCTTTCCATGCTGGTTTGTAAATTTTTTTTTATTTTATATAAACTTTCAACATCGGTTTTGATATAATCCACGTTGAAAGTTAGGACATTTTTTCTATTTTTTTTAAATTTACCACGTTGGTTATATATCATTTAACATCAATTTTGTTTACAACCAATGTTAAATGTTTATTATTTATTTATAGTTCTACCACAACTTTTTTTTTACCATGGTTTTTAACATAATCAACGTTAAAATGCATCATAAAAGTGGTTTTTTTTATAGTAGTGATTCAATAGTTGATATTTTGTGTGTGTGAGAGAGAGATGTGAATGGCAAAGCAACACAGGAGTAGAAATCTCAAAATGAATTCAGTTTTCTTACTTATCCTAAGTATGAGCAAGTGGTGCTCATCCTTAGGATGAGATTTAGATCTTAATTTGAATGGTCCAAATTTAAAGTACTATTATATTATCATATATTATATTTATTAAAATAAAAAATTATGAAAATTATTTAATCTGGACTAGATTTAATTTAAAGGATCAAATTTAATATTAAAATTTTTATAATTAATGTATATTGATTATTCAGATTTATTTTATACGGTTCAGGACCATGTAGAATGCATCTAGATAATCAATATGCATCAATGATAAAAAATTTAATATTAAATTTGATCTGTTAAATTAAATCTAGACATTACTACAAAAAGATTTTTCTATTACCCTAATTCATGTCCCATTTTAAAAATGAGACTTAAAAAAAAATAAATCAATGTCACACAAATAAGAGAGGGAAGTAAATTTAAGAATTTACATCTCTCATAAGCTAGGTGAAGTAAATTCTTTAGAATCCACGTCCCCCTCCCCTAAGAATCCACGTCCCTTAACTGAGAGGGGGACGTGGATTCTTAAATCCACTTCCCTGTCCCCTCTGGGAGATTTGGATTCTCAAATTCACGTCCCCCTTCTAGGAGGGGGATATATAATATGTTAAAATTTTGGACTTCGTGCATACTCACTTTTTTATTTTTTAAAATTAGTGTGTCAGCTCCCTGTGCTCTGTCTCTGTCTCCCTCCCAGCTCCCTCTCTTGTCTCAGCTCTCTCATCTCTTTTCTCTGTCTCCGTCTCAACTCCCTCTCTTATAGTTCCCTCTCTCATCTTAGCTTCTTCATTTCTTTTTCTATCTCTCTTTTCTTAGCTCCCTCCATCACTCTCTCTCTCAGCTCTCCCTGTCTCTGTCTCTCATCTCTCAGCTCCCTCCCTCGCTCTCTATCTCTTATCTCCCAGCTTCCTCATTGCCTCTATTTCTCTCGGTAGCTTTGTGGATAAAGAAGCCCAGTCACTCACGACTAAGGACCTCTTCTCTTCTCTCTAGGTATTTTTTTTCCTTGTTTTTTTATTTTCTTGACCAGGTCTCCACGCAAGAATGTAATTTTTGTTTTGACCTAAGAATGTGATCAATTAATTTTAGTTTTACATGATGTATATAATATTATGATGCTTAAATTTTGTTTGAATCCATGAAAGTATGTACTTATTATTTTAGATAATTTTATAATTATATAATTATAGGTGCAATCGTTTTGTTTTTCCATTACATTTAGTGTATTTTGTTGTGATAGTATATAAATGATTGTAAATAAATTGCTATTTATTAGACTTTCACTGTATGAATTGGCTATTTCCATGACATATTTTGGCAAATTCTATTTTAGTTGTATAATAAATGCAAATTATATATAAAAAAATTTAAAAACCATGTCCCCCTATAGATAGAAAGGGACGTGATTTGTGAATTCAGATGAGAAACCACGTCCCCTTATATCAAGAGGGATGTGGTTTCTCAATCTATGAACTAGGCAATGAGAAACCACGTCTCTCTTACTAGAGGGGGATGTGGCTTCTTTATAAACCACGTCCACCAACTATAAGGGGGGACATGAATTTTGTAGAAGCCACCTCACCTATTATTAAAGGGGACGTAGTTTATGATATTTCACGTCGTAGGCATTTACGATGTGGATAAGCCATTATTCTAAGTCGCTCAGTATGATGTCCCCTTCAATTGTGACGTGAAAATGACTAGAAATGTGACATGAAAAGTTTATTTTATAGTAGTGAGACTAGAGTAAATAAAAAACTTATTAAAATTATTTTTTATAATTTTTATAAATTTTTATTTTAATAAATATAATATCTAATAATATATTAAATTTGGACCATCTAGATTAAAATCTGAATGGTCTTGATCTCATGTTAAGAATGAGCACATGATGCTGATCCTTGAGATGAGCATAGAATCTGGTCCCATCTCAAAATAAGAATAATAATAATATCTGAACACTTTGACAACACAGATTTCGTTGACTAAGGTAGTCGCATATGCATGTAGCAATTGTTTTATTCAAAATAATAATTAGACTAGATTGATCAGTATCTGCTATAACACATTCTATATATGGTTAATTACTACTGGTAGAAACTTAGAGCAAATCAAACACGGGGAAAGCTAAGGAACGCTTACTTGGTGCAATTATTAGCACTAATAGGACGAAGTGTGAAATTAGTGTTAGGGAAAGGGATGGGAGAAGAACAGGCTTGAGAAATGTTGAGTTGGAGATTAGGATTATACACGTCGCCGAATACCTTAAGGCATTGGCATATAGTTATCACTATCAGATAATCTTGAGGAAAGCTGTCGGATCTCTCCCTGAACCAAAAACAACAGCTATGATCAGGCTTGGGTTCAGATCCTGTGAAGTAATGATAACATTACACAATACTATCATCATCAAATTCCTCACCGCAAAACTCATAGGAAGTATCGTCTGATTCAGAGCTTGATGTCATCATCACAGAAAACGTCACCATAATAGCTGCTGCTACCCCAATCATGGAACCAGCTCCTGCCATTTTCTTTGATTATAAGCTTACTTTAATTTGCCACTACCTGACCATATCATGCATTGAGCAACTTATATATGTATAAAGAGGCTGGTGAGCTTAGAGTGTTCACATAGCATGCATGCATAGTACATGCTTGCACGTCTAGTGGAAACACGCAACTTATTGGAATGTTGTTGGTGCTCTATACTTTTTTGTATGATGTATGAAACTAAGGCATCATTCATGTAGTGGTTGTTTTTTGGGGTTTTGTTTCAAACATTTGATGATTGCCACTTGTACAAAACTATTGAGAATTTTCTGATGTTAATAAATGAGTTAAGGATGCCAAATTAAACATTTAAAAACATTTGTTGGCAGGCATTAGAGTTCATCATCATAGGATGTTGTCAATGGAATTTAGATTTGGTGAGTGACATAAATCTATTTAATTAATGAGTATTTCAATTATAGTTATTTGATTTCATCAATACTTAAAAATTATTACCATACATTTTCTTCTAAAAATTCAAAAAAATTCCTACCATCAGAATACTTCTTATCCCCTCTCCAAAGATTTGATGGAGGTGAGGAGGCGATGTGGGTTCTATGATTTTTCTGACGTCTAGAGAGAAGAAATTTTTCTGACGTCTAGAGAGAAGAAAGGGAATGTGTTTGATCATTGACGATGGAAATGCGGGGTGGAAATTTGAAAATAGAAAGTAGATATTTTGGTCATCAAACTTGGCTTCCCACAGAAATTCAGATTTTCCTTTCCGGGGCGGTAGGAAGCTAATTTCCATCAATTTGATGAAATTTGGTTTCTTAAGAAAATAGATTCTTGCCAGCCAAATGAAGGAAAATTCTTTTTATTTTTTTATTTTAGTTGCAGCCTATCTTGCTGCTGAGACATGGAATGCATTTATCGGTCTTTGTCCAAGGTCAGACGACTCTGGGTTTGTATCTCCAGCACCAATAAATACTAAGTTTTGCAGATTAGATGTGCGCGCGCAAACGATGCTACGTGCAAGAATCTCACTCACTCCTCTCACAACTTACTCCTGTCAGGGAGGTCACAACACAAATTTTAATGATTAAGCTGTAAAAATATTTAATTTTTTTTTATTTAAGAGCTTTTAGCATCTATAAGTCAACAACGATACTTGAATACCCATTAATTTTATAAAAAATATCAACCTTTCATAATCTGTAAAGTTATAAAGGCAGAATTTAATGGTAAATGTCAGGCTATTTTAACATATTGGGAAAGGTTATCTACTTTTATAAAGTTAATGGATATATATATATAATTTGTTGGTGTAAGGTTACCAGAAGCTCACGGGAAAGATATTTTTTTTTTCTTTCTGCACCTTAATGCAATTTTCAATGAACAGAACAGCCCAGTCATTCAGTGACATGGCTCTGGGGCAGCAAAATCCAGGACTCGCAAGTTTATCCAGATTCAGAAGAGAGAAACATCACGCTTATATTTCAATAAACGAACAATTCTTTACCAACATGTCTAAGAATACAGAAATAACTAATCAATCAATTGCACCAAGTAGATTGGTTCAGCCCATATTATATCATACCATTCCTCACTTTATCAATGTCCAGACCCAAATTATAAAACAATCAAAAAACCACAAGAGAATGCAAATAAGGAGCAAATAGGTTATGTTCCACTTCAACTGCAGCAGGCTCCACCCTGTGAAGACGAGCCATCCCTGCCTCCAGATGGTCCGGGAATTCCACCATATCCCACTTTTATTCCATAAGACTGCAACCATATAATAGGTCATCAATATTGGATAATTTAGTTTACTTCAAAATCATTATTCACATAAATCCTCAGATTTGTAAGATAAAGAAAATGAAAAAGAGGCCGATCCTCTGTTTTTCAGAATGTTGTGAAATTTCCATTATAGATGGCAAAAATGAGAGTCACTCACTAACCTCGTTTGATACGTCAAAAACACCATCCTGAATCTTCTTATATATGGTTGCAGCTGTTTTTATGAATGCCTGCATGAGGACAGGTTACATCAGAAAGCTTTGATCGATTAAGATGACCCAAAATTCAACCTTTTTGTGCGACCCCCCCCCCCCCCTTTTAGGGGAGGAGGATGGGGGTTTCAGGATTTCAGCTTTCAACAAACACAAGTATAACAAGAATTTTGACCTCTTCAACATTCTGGGCCGTTTTTGCTGAAGCCTCCATGAAGATTAACCCATGCTCTTTAGCAAACTGTTCGCCTTCCTCAGTGCTCACTGCCCTTCTGTGAGCAAGATCACACTTATTGCCAATTAACATAATGGTCATATTTGCATTCGCATGCTGCCTTGCATCTTCCAACCAGCTAGCCAAGTGGTTAAATGTCTCCCTCCTATTGATAAGACAAAGGTCAGAAACTTTCACATTGGCTAACGTGTAATCACTAATAAACAAAATATCAAAATAAAAACTGCACAAAGATGCATGAATCAACAAAATATCAACACTTTTCCTAGCCCAATCAAATTTAGCATGTGCTAAATATGACACTAATCTCCTGCAATTAAAATACCTTAAATGATACTGACTTCACTAAAATTAATCTCAAACAACATTAGTAGTGAAAATCCCAGAGTCCAGAAATATAGATGATTGACAAATCAGCCCTCCCTTACAGACGACCATGAAATCTCCAAAAACAATAACTAAAACCATTGTTATTTTACCCCTCCCTCAATAACTCCAGATATATTCATCCATTCCACAAAGCAAAATTAAAAATCACTCATTGTACAAGTAAATTGTGAGAAAACTTCAAGTTTGAAGATACCTTGTAATATCATAGACAAGAAGTGCGCCGGCAGCTCCCCTGTAGTAAGACCTTGTAATAGACCTGAAAGATTCTTGACCAGCCTGACACATTACAATCACACTCAGTACCATAAAACCTAACACAAATGAAGGACACACTAAAACATGCCTAGCATAATAATTCAAATTCAAGGATTTGATCAAAATATATTATTATGTTTCAATTAGTAAGAGCATCCACTCAGACACTGCAGCAGATGGTCACGGGAACAAACATGTCATGATCAACAAAGTTAGAACAGACAAAAATGCTTCAATCACAATAAGATACGGCTACCCCTATGCCTTCCTACTCAATATTTATTCCTAGCTACTATGGCAACCACTGATCAACATATAATAATTAATAAGATGAGATGAGATCATCATCTCCAACCACATAAATTATCTAAAGACAGTGAATAAGATCCCCAAACAGAATATACTCATTTAAAATATCACAACTGATTATACTACTCAGGAGTTAGGATCAAGTCCAGGTATAGGAAAGGGGAAACAAACCGTATCCCATATTTGCAACTTGATTGGCTTATTATCAATTGTAATCATCCTGGCGCCAAATTCAACACCAATGGTTAAGTCATGGACAGGCTGAAAGCGTTTGTCAGTGAATTGAAGTAGAAGGCATGACTTCCCTACACCTGCAGGGGAACAAAATCGCGGCTCGTTCTCCAATAGATAAAGTCATGAACTAATTTTCTGATTACAGTTCCAGTTACAGTTAAAATTACAATATAAATAAAAAGGAGAACCGCAACAAAGAACATATTGCAGCAATAGATACTACAAAAAGCACTGAAGTGTCCGATGATGTACGGAATACAAAAGTTTTCGACATCGCAGCAAATATTCTTTAAAGCCATGTTATGGAGGACGTTAAGGTGAAGAAACAGAACCAAATCTTTTGAGTCTAGCATCTTTGTCAAAACCATCGTTCAATCATCAGTAGGAAAAACAAGAAAGAAGAGATATATCAAATTCCATGTATAACCTCGAAATAAAGTGGACGGCTTCTAGAATTCTTCATGAAGTAGACAATCCGAAACTACCAGGAAAGTCATTAACATGATTCACCAATAATTCCATCAAGCGAGTTATAAAAGACAATGGGCTTAGGACTTAACTTATGAAAATAAGCAACCCCAGATCAAAAAGCAACACTAATCCGATTGCCAAGCAAACTAATTCTCAAACCCAAATTTTCTAGGGACTGAAATTAATCGAAATTAAAAATAATTTTTTTGAAAAAAGGGGAGAGAGAAATTACCGGTATCGCCGATGATGATGTATTTGAAGAGGTAAGCGTATGACATTCTTTGTATTCGCGATATGGGTGAAGCGCTAAAACTCGAAGTTCAGATCTTTCCAATTCAATAGCTCTTTCTAAGAAAACAACATCAAACATATACAGAAAACCCCTGGAAGAGGTATGATTATAAAGCAATCAGAAGAAGGAAAGAATTGAATGGAAAGCAGGCAAAGAGAGAGAGAGTCAAAATCAAATAGAAACTTCACAAGCAATTTCCAGAGAGGCAAATACGTTTCCGTTCCGATTCCAACTTCTGTACACTTTCCGTTCCGCTTGTCATACTCATCTTCAATAATATGCTGTACGAAGTGCGAATTCATGGCCCACGTTCTCCCCCCGCCCCACAACCACCGCCTTCCAGTTTGGGCTTTTCCGAGCAAAGGCCCAAAAGTGATAATTTAAAAATTAATTATTTTATATAATTACTGATTATCTAATAACCATATTCAAACACTGACCGGCTTAATTAAGATAAACCTCAATGTGATTTTTTATCCAAAGGAGTTTGAATTATTTACCTTTCCTGAAGAAATCGATCTATTCTAATTGACTCAATCAGAATTAATTTATGAACTTATGTTTTTCGAAAGTTTGAAATAAGATGATACAAAAAGATATTGAAATAAGTTTTTATCGCATACTCATAATATTATCATATCACTTCAAATAAATTTTATATTATATCTAATGAATATTAGATATGTATATAATATACTTATCTCTTTTAGTGAGTGTTAAATATATGATGACCACCGGAGTAACATGAAATTGTGCATATTGGGATGAGATATATTATCAATTAAAATCAAAATATTTTTAAATAGCTAATATGCATAATAATTGCTAAAATATAAGGCACGCTCGTGGGATCAATACTGTTCGAGAAAGTTCATGATGAGAGGATCGGAAAAAGGTAGAAAACAAAAAAGGTGGCATAGTTAAAATAAAAAATTAGGTGTCGACATTCAATATTTAATTTGTCTATATTCATTAAAAAAATAAGTAAAAAAAAACTAATTTAGGCAGTAGGCTAAAACAAGATAAAAGGCGGGATGATTAGGAAAAAGTTGTGGGATTATATATTCTATTGGCATGATAATATTTTTTTGCCAACTGCATAATAATGATTATATATTTTATGCAAGCTTCTTTTGTCTATTCTATGTTTGACACCCTAAACACTATATTCATGATTGTCATTAATGAGGATATTGTTAAACCATGATTAATTAATATAGTAGCTGAGATCTCCTCCGCCGCCGACAACCTTATCGTTTTGTGATTAATTTTTTTAATATATATAATATACGTTAAAAAAATATAAAAAAATCCAATGAGAAATGAGTAAAACAATATTAATAAAAAAAAATAAGTTAGTTCAACCATGAATTATTTATTTGAGATGCAAGAGGATATAGGAGGAGATCATAGAGTTGAATACTGAATGTGGATGTAAGCTCACTTTTGTGTGCTCGTGTGTGCATTCTTTATTTCCTTATAAAATTGAATTGAATTGCTCCGTATGATTATGGTAAATTTTTAGATTTTGAATAAAGTGGAGACAGGTTTATAAAATTTTAAAAATATGTTTAATTTTACCCTATTATATGTGCTTATATTGCCAGTTAAATTACATCATGATTGTGTGGTCACATCAAATCAGGGGAATTTGTTTCTATTTAAATTCGTAGTCTTGTGTTTTTGTATGCCTAAGTATGTAATGATCATCAGGTCATCTTTATGCGCATATTTGCTTCTGTCATTGCTTGTACATCTTGATATATTTTCAAGTTGAGGAACCTTGCAACAAGGACAAAGTATAAACGCCAAACTTGTATTTAAAAACAAATTAATGGAGTGTAAAGAATTAATCAAACTAAAACCCAATAGAAACAAGAGTGTTGTGAGTGTAATTAATTCAAAATCTAAGGCCAGTCAAAAGTATAAATATCCTTGTTTAATTTAGTTTGTAACTACTCCAACAATTTAAATAGGAGCCCATAAAAAAGTGCTTCACATTATCAATAATTTAATTAATAAGAGTTGGGTCTAATAGAAATGACTAAATTCTTATAATCTGATGATACAGGATGTGTTTATATTTAATATTTGATTATGTCTAAAATACGATTGATTTTAATAAAAAGACGTTGATGTATTATAAAAAAAATCCCTTAGAATGTGTTTTGGGATAAAAAAAAGTATACCAAAATTGTATTTTAAGATATTTATATATATATATATATATAGCGCAGCGCCACCTCAAACGCATTGGTAATATGCATAGAATTGTAGTGAAACAGTGGAAATTGAGGTGGTCCATTACTACTTTGTTCGGCCTAAAATGACATGAAGGGTTGTTTTGCTTGTTCCCATATTATTACCAAGGATTTGATAACCTCAAGCCTCCTAAGGACCAATTCAGGCCTTAAAAAAGTTGTCACCTGTTGATGACTTCATCATGTACGATGTGCATGTGATGTCATTTACCTTGTGTAAGAATTAAAAAAATTCATTTTCATATCTCACCAAAGCAAACCGAGTAAATAAAAGTTTCAAAAAATAAAAAATAAAGCTGCTCTCATGCTCCCCCATGCTCTAGGAGGATTTTTTTTTATTCTCAATATAGGATACATGGAAAGTTATTCATTATTATTTTTTATTTTAGTTTTATTATAAATTTAATTATATAACTCATCATATACTGTTTACTTTTCTCTTTCCATTTTTAATAGGGGTAAGGTTGAAAAAAAAATCATCTGAAAACATATTTAATGAGTTAACTGTTATTCATTGATTTTAATAAAATAGTTAAAAATATCTTATAATAAAGATAGAGAGGGGTATTTCTTATTATCAAAACTAGCAGGTTATTAGACAGGAGTAGTGACTCATAAATAGCGTGATTTTTCATAAGTTTATGCATTTATATAATACACAAAAAGATATGGGTAGGGTTGCACAAATGATTGACCTGACAGGATTCCAGCCTAGCCTAAAATTTGGTCATTTTCATGAAAAGAGTTGAATTAAGCAATTTGTGATTTGATCTAGTCCTAATATAACACGAAATTGAGCAGAATCGGACTGGTCCAGTAGGACTATAAGACTGGTCCTTGTCTTGTCCAGTACCTCACATTGTTTTTTTCCCTGTTTCATCTATGAGATATAGCAATTTATCTCAACATAATAAACTCAATTAATACAATAAAATTACTTATTATCATGTAAAATTTATCACAACAGTGACAATTATAAATCTACAACAATTTTCAACAAAAAAAAATAGTATTTCAATTACAACATAAATAATTCAAATTAAATAACTTTCAACAACATTAAACAACCTTCAACATGTCTAAAGTCCATTACATAAAGTTAATAACAAATTTCACTAATAAAAGGAGAAGACTGAGGTTGATCAATGCTTAGATTCTGCTCAACATTCATAACTTCACAAATATAAAACACAAAAAGTTACTAATTATTATTATGAATTAATTTATTGTAATAATACTTAATGAATTAATTATAATCGTATAAAATAAATTTATAGGATTGAACTGGACCAAGTGATGTAGATGCTCAATCTCTTGTTCAGTCTAACTTAAAGAAAAAATCTGGTCTTTTTGGTCCTAAAAGATCAATTTTCATTTAAACTATACAAGATTAAATTTATCTTAAGCTGGACAGGACTGGACAAGAGCATGTTTGCATTACATCTCAACCTAAGTTAGAATATCCTCAACCATGGTTGGGATTTCAAATGCCTCAAAAGTTATGTTTGGATTAAAAAAATTCCAACCAATGTTAGGTCCTAATGAGCATTTTTGTGAAAGCTAACTGCTCAAGCTTCTGCGGTAGCGTTTCTGAAAGCCAACACCTAATGGTTTTCTCTCTCTCTATTATCTTCACCTCTATTGATTCTCTCCCTGCTTTGCTTCTCACCTTCTTTCTTCATGCTGTCGTCGTCCTTTGCTCACCCTTTACCTCCTCCTCCTTTGCTTTGTTAGATTTGACTAAAGATTGTCACCGCCATCACCCAATCTTGACTGTGTGTTGCTCACATTCATAGCCATTGGTAACAGTCTTGGGCACATAACTAGTAAATGCAAGCAAGCCTTAATGGGTGTTATCGTCTTTGCAATCGCCACCATCATCATTCATGAGTTTTGTCATAGGTTCAGTTAAGGTTAGGCATCATCTTGCTAGTTTTGCAGTTCGAGGAAGAAGAAGGGGATGACCGGGGAGGAATAATTATAAATATAAATGTATTATAATATAATTATATTGTAATATTATAATAATTTATCCATTTCTAAATATTCTATTCCAAATTATAATTATATTATATAAATATAATGATCGAAAAAATTTATAAATTTATTTCAACTTTTCATAATTGATTATTTTGAATTTTATCATTTAATTATACATTTTTTAAAAATTAAGATTTTTGACTTATCAATATATTTTATATTTATAATCTATGTTTTTTTTAGTTGGTGAGAAAAATCTATGTTTTTTTTAAATGTAATTTTAAGTTTCATATTTTTTCTTAAAAATATCAAATTAATCATAAAAATATATAAAAAAACTTGTGTTCATTTTTATCAGTATACATCTCAATTTGCTTTTGAATCAAATTATTTAAACAAATTTTTAATATATAAATATAAATTATGTTATATTTATTAATTTTTTTAATCTTAATATACTAATCTCAGTTAAATTTTAACTTTAATTATAAATTTTTTAATTTAAATATACACTGAATCGAGGTGGAGGACTTTTGCACACCTCTGGATGTGGGGCCAACAATTTAGTTTTATATCCCGCGGTGTGGGTGAATAGATTCATGGGCTTTTCATAAAAGCATCGGCCCAAAGAAATGACTCACAACGAAACTTCGGGGATATTGAAATGCTTGGACCCCATCCGAACGAATAAGATATAAAATGTAAAGGAACCCAAAGTTGCCTTTACAACTTCGGTCTTTAAGCATAGAGCAACAAAAGGTGTTTATATTAGGAACAAAACACTTCCAGTCTGTGTGTTTTTTTTTTTTTTGGGTGCCATACATGAACAGTATTATTTATTAAAAAGGGGTAAAAATACATTTTTGATTAGTTAAATTTACATAAAATTTTATTTTAGTCATTTAAATGCCTTTTGAGTCCTTTAATTTTAACACTGTTAACATTTAAATGTTCATAAAAAATATTTTATAAAATTTAAAAATTAAATTGAAACTAAAATTAAAGATTAAATGTGTACTTTTGTGAGAAGAAAATTAACAAAAATGAGGTAAAGATTTAACGATAATCCATAAGATTATTGCTGCAAGATGGAAGCTCAAGACTCCAAATCCGAATGAATGAGAAATGGATGTAATTTATTTATTTTGGATAAATGAGAAATGGATGTTAATATCTAATAAAACAGAACAACCTTAGCAGCTCAGAACTCAGAAGTGGGTGTAATAATTGCCATAAAAGTGTCGGAAATTTCTTAAAAGATCAGCAGCGACCCTAACGATGATAGTCAAGAGCTTTCACACCGACCTTAATGTCCCAAGAGGTTCAGCTCAGCACACACCTTTTTTTTTTTATGAGCTTTTTTTTTTCTTTTAGGATAGAAAATTGAATTCTCCTCAAGGCACAATCAAGTGATAAATACGGACATCTCTCCTAAAAAAAATAAATATTAATTTACCATAATTTAAGGAACTAGTTTATTTTATTAAACTCAATACTCGATATTAATTCAACACACTTTTGCCTATTAAATAGGTTAATCCCATTCAATGGTGGGACCCAATACAAGGGGGTGGGGTTGGCAAATGTCCCGCCCACTTGAGAATATTATATGCAATGAATATGAAATTTTAAATTTTGCACGTTCGTTCTTTCATATTTTGCACTCTTTCATTTTAATAGTTTGAAGATTAAATTCATTTTGATTTTTTCTGTACACTTAAATTCAAAATTTTTTAATTCAGAATTCAGTAACATAATAAATTTATAAAATTGATTTTTAAAATTTTATTTTTTTTAAATTATTAATTTTTTTAAAAGAAAAATTGCCTCCCCTAAGGGGAAAAAAAGGCATAATAATTTTTTTTTAAAAAACATGGTATATACTCATATTGGCAATAATTTTGTTTATGACCTATCCGGCTATCCCTTTCGTCAAGCCTTCTTGTGGACAGTGGAGATTGAAAAGGGAACAGTGAAGATATGAATGCCCTCCAAAATAATATCAATTGGTATCCAATTAAGCTTCTGAAAGGCTATATCTTTAGATTTGTTCGTGAATCTTCAGCGTCAAATAAACTGCTAACCAAAGTTATTAAACTTGTAAATTTAAATAAACTTGTAATATGAATATAAACTCATACTATAAATTCAGATTGTAAACTCAAAAAATTTATCTTTATTAACAAATAACTATTAAAATATGACTGTAATTTAATTTAAATATATTTAAAATATAAATAATTAAAATTAAATTTATCTACATTGATAAATTATCATATACAAGATATAAAAATTTTAAAATAAAAAATTTATTTTTGATATTTTATTTTCTTTTTATTAATATTAGTTTTTGCATTTCAAGTTTTTTTTCTTTTTGAACCAGGTTTTATAACTTTTATAAACTGAATTTTTTATAATATATATTTAACTTGCTCAATTAAAGAAAAAATTGACGAGTTTAACAAGTTTAACTAAGCTTGCATCTAGTCTGAATTTTTGAATTAGTTGACATGATTTTATAAGTTAGAAATATAAAAATGATAAACTCACGAGTTTAATCAAATTTGTGTTTAGTCCGAATTTATGAGTAAATTAACACGATTTTATAAGTTAAAAATATAAAATGTTAAACTCGTAAAGTAAACTTGAGAGTTTAACAACTATGTTCCTAATAGCTCTGTTTATGAAATAGAAAAATAAGATTTTTTTTATTATATTCATAAGCAAGTCATGGACTTGTATCATTAAAATTTTATTATAAATTTTTTATTTTATATTCATTAAATTGAAGTGAGACAAGATATCATTAAACTATGGTATATAATTTAAAAGAGATAAAATTAAAAATTTATTAAATTTTTAAATAGATCTGGCAGGTTTTCAAATTTTTTTTATTATAATAAAATATAGTAGAAGAAACTAGGATAAAAAAGAGTAGTCAATCAATCATAAATTAAAATATAACATTTCCATTTTTTATAATGATATTAATAATTATTTTTTTACATTTCATTTCGATGCATCTACTTTAAATATTTATAAGAAAAAAATTAAAGCTTATTTCAAAATTAAACTATCATATCCATGCTGAAAAATACTTATATTTTCTTAGGAGAAATTAATTATTTCAGGAGCTAATTAGGACAAAATAGCTAGTTTTTTTTTAATGCTTTTGGACAAAACATGCATATAAACAAGTAAATAATAATGAGTAATGAGTTAAATACTTAAATCTATGAGCGCCACTGGCTCACTATTCGTTTTGTATACATATATTTTTCAATTATTAAATTCCTTTCTACATCACTGCTTTTTTCTATCCACTTATGATGTTATGATGTTTGTCACTGTTCTAATTCTAACATTTTCGTCTCTTTCTCTCTCCCCCTGCTATTTGCTACACTGGAAGATTCAATTAAAAAAATTAAGGAAAAAACATCAAGGATAACTAAACAAGCTTGCCCTTAACCTCGATTGCCGCTGATCCTGGTCATCGCATGAGGGAAAACGAAGAGAAGAAAGACGAAAAGAGAAAGAAAAGGTGGGAGTAATGTAATGTAAGTAAATAAAGATCAGAGAAAGAACAGAACAAGTAGAAGTGGGAGCTTTCAAGAGAGGCAGGATCCAATCCAATTTTAGATCTCATACAAAAATCTTCATCAATCAGATCCTAATTTTCGATATATATATTTTTTTCGTTGTTGTTTTGAGGTTGAAGCAGTAATAATTTTTCTGGGATTTTGCTCCAACGTTTTATGGCATCTCCTGGGTATCCAAATCAACAGACACAGCATCAGCACCATCAGCAGCAAACAGGTCTATTTGATTTGCAAAATCTCCTTAAGCCATCATCTAATTCTAATCCTTCTCCCTTTCCTTCAAATCCCCCAATCCTAAACTCTTCTCCTTCATTTCCTTCACCTTCTTCTTCGTCTCCTCCTCAACCTTCTTCTTCTTCTTCTTCTTATCCTCCACCCACTGGCATATTCTCGTATCGTCCTCACTATCTTCCTTACCAAACCCAGCAGCAGCAGTCCCGAGAACATCCTCGTATTCTTCCTCATCTTCCCCTAATGCATGTTCCACTGAGACCCATGTTTCAATCACCTTCTCCTTCATCATCCCCGCTAATTCCTTCATCTCCGAATCCTAATAGTAACTCTAGTGGGGTCCGGTTGATGGCTCTCTTGGGCTCCCAAAACCCTTCTTCTTCTTCATCTCCTAATAATCCTGAACCCACTCAATCCTCTGTTCCTACAGTTTCTGAATTTGCAATGCCTGCAAATCCCTCAGTCTTACCTTCCGGCCCATCGGCTCCAACGAGGATGCTCAGCAGCAAACTTCCTAAAGGACGTCATTTGATAGGAGACAATGTTGTCTACGACATCGATGTTCGGTTGCCAGGAGAGGTTCAGCCCCAGCTTGAGGTCACTCCTATCACTAAGTATGGCTCTGATCCTGGGCTTGTGCTTGGCCGTCAAATTGCAGTGAATAGATCTTATATATGCTATGGACTGAAACTTGGTGCAATCCGGGTCCTTAATATTAATACTGCATTAAGATATTTGCTTCGGGGTCACACCCAGGTTGGTTGCTTTTACCAAGGCCTTTCTCCATTTAGGCATTTTGTTATTTCTCGAACTGTTCATTGAGTCAAATCTAGCTTCTTTGTGATAGAAAAATTGATGCATTGGCTCAGTAGTACACCCATTTCCTTTGTGAAACATACCATCAACATTGTATTTAGATTTCAATGCATTCGACAGTACACCTGCATTAATATGAAGTTCAGTTTGCTCATATCAAGTGCTTTTATGGGTCCCGATGATTGTGAACTTTCCAAATCCTGTTTGGAGAAGTGTATTCTTTTCACTCTAACGGCCTTATTTCTGTCGTCCTTACTGCATTTATTGTCTTTCGGTTTGAAATTAAAATGCACGAGATTTTTCTTTTCATTGGCTTGATGAAGAACTTGGACCAATTAAATCTACTAGCGAATTTCGGTTTAAAGTTCATGTTGGATTTAATATGTGGGCTTCTTTTTATTCACGTTTCATGTGAGTTTTTCTCATTGCTTGTGACTGAGTTAGGAAACAATGCAAACTACAAAAACACCTTTTTGTGGATATAAATGAATTTAAGTTGTTTTTGTTGTCCTTTCTTTTACTTTTGATGTTACCTTCTTTTAATTGGTTCAGTTCAAGGAGCTATTGCTCTCCAACTCCTCAAAATTAGTTGATTATGTACCTCTGGACTTCTTTTGTTTAATCCCTCACATGACCAGCCTAGGTAGCTTTTTCATCATAGTGGATGTTTTTTATCTTCTAAATTCATTATCTTTGATTATGTTAAGCTTTCCCTGTCCTATCTAAGAAACTCACTGCTGATACACTCTGTTGATATGTGATAATTTTATATTTTATGTATCACCCTTCATTTATGTAAATAAACCTTTTATGTAGAGAGTAACAGATATGGCTTTCTTTGCTGAGGACCTTCACCTGCTGGCCAGGTAAATTCACTTTTATGTTTCTTGTTTGTCATTCAAATTGCATTGCACTAATGTATTCATTTACCCTCTTTGGATATGCTATCAAACTCACAGTGCTAGTACTGATGGGAGAATTTTCGTATGGAAGATCAATGAGGGCCCTGATGAGGAAGACAAACCTCAAATTACTGGAAAAGTTATCATAGCTCTTCAAATATTAGGAGTTGGTGAATCAGTTCATCCACGACTGTGTTGGCATCCCCACAAACAAGTAATAGCATGTTTGTAATTTTGATCATTTAACTTAAACCCTCCTGCCTGTATCAATTGATCTAAGTTTTAACTTCTTTGTTGTCCATTTCTTGGAATTGATCAACAGGAGATTCTAATGGTTGCTATTGGAAACCGCATCCTTAAAATTGATACCATGAAAGTTGGAAAAGGTGAAACTTTTTCAGCAGAGGAGCCTGTTAAATGTTCATTGATAAGTTGATTGATGGGGTGCAACTTGTTGGTAGACATGACGGTGATGTCACTGAGTTATCAATGTGCCAATGGATGAAAAGTCGGTTAGCTTCAGCATCAACTGATGGCACGGTTTGCATTCCCCCTCCTTGCCTTGTTCTTTCTTTTTGTGTATCTGTCTTCCAATTTTACAGTGTGGGGGCTCTGAAAGGATAAACATGTCTGATCCCCTCTCCTCAAGCAACATGGCCCTCCTCCTCTTTGGGGGAAGTGTTCATGTTATGATATTATCATTTGAATTTTATTTTTTGATAAGGTCAATTGTTCCATCAGATATAACAATTTTAAACCTTTGAATATAGAAATGTATGTGAAATATATATATATATATATATATTTTAAATTTCTATTTGAACTTATTTTCTTTCAATGGATGGGATAAATAAACTACTCTAACGAGTCAAGTCGTGGCATAAATTTACAGATGGGTTGTCAATAAGAAGAATCATGTTCAGTTGCACTTTATCTTTTGCTGTCAATTACTCATTTTTGCCCACAGGTAAAAATATGGGAAGAACGCAAGGCATCTCCACTTGCTGTTTTAAGGCCTCATGATGGCAATCCTGTTAATTCTGTGACATTTTGACTGCTCCTCACCGCCCTGATCACATTGTCCTTATCACTGCGGTACCTGCTCCTATTTCCTCTCATAATTGGAAGTATGATATATGTTTTTGCTTCATCTGTGGATACTTTTGGACTTCTGCAATGCTGCTTGACCATTTGTTCCTTCTGCTGAAGGTGTCATCCAGTATCACCCAAGCATTTTTATATATTTTTCCTTTACTGCAGGGGCCACTGAATCGTGAAGTGAAGATATGGGTCTCTGACAATGAGGAGGGCTGGTTATTGCCCAGTGACTCTGAGTCATGGAACTGTATCCAGACGTTGGATATAAAAAGTTCTTCTGAAGCCAATCCTGCTGATGCTTTCTTTAATCAAGTTTTAGCATTAAACCGTGCCAGTCTATTTCTGCTTGCAAATTCCAAAAAAAATACAATATATGCTGTGCACATTGAATATGGACCTAATCCAACTGCTACTCGCATGGATTACATTGCTGAGTTCACAGTCACAATGCCCATATTAAGTCTTACTGGAACTAGTGATTGTTTACCAGATGGAGAACATATTGTACAGATTTATTGCGTCCAGACACAAGCTATTCAACAGTATGCACTTAATTTGTCTCAATGTTTACCTCCACCCTTGGACGACATTGAACTCGAGAAAACAGCACCCAATAGATCTCGTGCCTTTGATGGATCTACTACTATGGAAGCTGGAAACATGCCTCAAGTTCATTCTAGCAATTCTGAAGCTGGCCCCATTTACAGTCTTCCTGTCAGTTTGTCTTCTTCTGATATTTCTGGTTTGCCTGAGGGTTCTGCTTCAGGCACAGAAACAAAGCCACATGATGTGCCTTCTCATAATGGTGTTGAACATATCCACACTGCCTCACCTCCTCTTCCTTTGAGTCCAAGATTGTCGCGGAAGTTATCTGATTTCAAAAACCCATCAAATAATATAGAGACTACTTCATCAAGTGCTGATCACAGCAGTGAGCAGACATACCTTGATTGTTCAGTTGAACATAGAATGGAGTCTGAAAACAACAGTATGCGTGATGTGCCTGCATCAGTTGACAGTTTAAGGAAGCATGATAAACAAAATGAAGCTTCTTTGGCTTCCAATCTTTCTACAATGTTCAAACACCCAACCCATTTGGTAACCCCCTCTGAGATATTCTCTAGAGCTGCTTTATCTTCAGAGAATTCTCATACTTCTCAAGGTATCAATGTACCTGAAGCACAGGTTCAAGATGTAGTTGCTCATAGTGATGCAGTAAATGCTGAGTTAGAGGTCAAGGTTGTAGGTGAGACAAGTTCTAATCAAGAAAAAATTGAGTCTGATAGAGAGAGAGATATTCACACTACTGTTGCTGAGAAAGAAGAGAAGTTGTTCTATTCTCAGGCTTCTGACCTGGGCATTCAAATGGCCAGAGAAACTTGTAGCATTGAGGGAGTTCGCCAGGCTGATTACACAAATAATATGGATGCACCTGATCAAACTTGTAACCCTTCTAAGGAAGAAAGTCAAGATATGAGTAAGGTTGTAACTGCCAGCCTCAGTGAATCAGAAACCACTGTTGCTGCTTCTCAATCTCCGGCACCATCTGTGAAAGGTAAAAAACAAAAAGGCAAAAATTCTCAAGTATCTGGTTCATCTTCCACCTCTCCTACTCCCTTTAACTCAATGGCCTCATCAAACTATCAAGGTGGCAATTCAGAAGGCTCTAACATGGAAGCTGTTTTGCCCCAGTTATCAACTATACAGGAGATGCTAGGCCAGGTATCAATTCATATTTTTGCTCCTTTTTTTAATTTGTGTTCGATTCTTTCAGCATACTGTTGAACCATTTTTTAGAGTGTAATATAGATTACAGACGTGCTTCATGTGGAGCCTAAGTTAATTGTTTTGAGTATTATTTATGTACTGCACTTATTTCCTTGTAACCAAACCAAATTAATTTTATAAAATATTTCCTTGAAGATTAGATTGAGGCTTTTTTTGGGGTCTGTCGAACTTTATGGGAGTTTCTGTAGGCATTTAGTGAAGACAGAATGCACGGCAATTTGCTACTCAAAATTGATAGACCTGTGTGCTCCTGTGATGAAGTCTGATCCTTTACTTTGATGTCCTGGTTATGTATCATATAGGCCTTTATTCCATTTTAATTAGTCTGGAACATCCACAAAGTGCAGAATATCTGTATTATGTCTGTAGAAGCATAATGTATTTTATGATTGTGTGATTTTATAGCATCATGTAGTTGATATTGTTTTGAAACTGTTGGGTTCTATCATTATGTGACTTGTTCTTGCAAGCCTAAACTAAAATATATAGAATCTCTAGTCTTTCCTGGAATTTTTTATAATAATCTTGAAGAATTAACATATCTGGTTTTGTCACTCTTATCTAGACATGTCAAAGAATGACCTGATTTTCTTGGTGTTGTTTTCTTATAACCTTTTTATGTTTTGCAGTTAGTAAGCATGCAAAAACAGATGAATGTGATGGTTTCTGTTCCAGTTACCAAGGAAGGCAAAAGGTTAGAAGGATCCTTGGGCAAGCACTTGGAGAAAGTAGTCAAGACTAACTCTGAGGCCTTATGGACTCGATTACTAGAAGAAAATGCAAAGCAAGAGAAGTTAGAGCAGGACCGTGCTCAGCAAATAACGAATTTTATCTCCAATTACGTAAACAAGGATTTATCCACTCAGTTGGAGAAAATTATTAAGAAGGAAATATCTTCAATTGGAACAACTGTTGCTCGTTCAATTAGTCAAATCATAGAGAAAACAATATCATCAACCGTCACAGAGTCATTCCAGGTTAAAATAGATATCATTGTTTGAATGTTGTAACATTGAGTTTAATTGTGGTTAGCTTGGCATTTTTGCGGGAGAAAATCCCTCACTGTGAATGCTCCTAGTTATTACACTACAATTTATTCTCTATAGAGGCAACTGTAGAAAATAGTTAATTGTCATGTCAAGGAAACTTATGTTATTTTAGAGTTGAATATTCAGTTTGATGAATATGATTCAGTCTAATGTGTTATATTTCCACTTTAGATCTTTGATAAAAACAATGTAAGATCACATCTACCTAGCTACTTAAATGTTGGCAAATTTGGTTTGTATGACTGACACACTTTCTGTAAATACGGCAGAAGGGAGTGGGAGACAAGGCACTGAACCAACTGGAAAAATCTGTAAGTTCAAAACTTGAAGCTATAGTAGCTAGGCAGATACAAGCACAGTTTCAAACTTCTGGCAAGCAAGCTCTTCAGGTAAGCTCATAATCAAACATTGAACACTATTTTAAAAAGGACTCGAGCATATAATCAATATTGGTCCATATTTTCAAAAGAACTCCTCAAAAAAATTTCTTTCTTGTTATCCATAACCTGTTGGTCTGTAAAACATAAATCTCTGTTTTACTGTGTGCTGTTTATGGAATTGCTTAAGTGTTTGATGACCTACAAAGTTATCAATCATCTGAGGGCAATTCTGTAATTTGGACAACTTGTCGTATACACGTTCTCTATGAAATAAATGATGTTCAAAACTCAATTGACCTCATTTTTTTTTTTTGGCACATTTACACTTTTACAGTATAGATTAGAATAGGATAGAATAAGGTGAAGGGACAATACATGATAGTAAACGAAGCTGTTCTGTGTTTATGCTTTCTATTCTCTTATTTTGCAACTTACTGCACAAGGTAACTTTTGGTATAAAGTATAAACAAGATTGTGACTCTCTTCTTTCTCAGTCAAAACCCAAGTATTGCGGCTCTATTGAGAGATCTTTTCAAACCTCTCCTTTCTTTTCAAGTATCTATCATCCACATGCCTATAGTGGATTTATTTTCTTCATTTCTCCACTCCTTTTCAAAATTCATACAATGTATCAGAACATTTTGATATTTTTGGATCGTTGAATTTGGCTCTTCAATTCCTCAACGTTTATACAGAGTAAAGAAAATATCCCTCTTGAGGGGCCAAAGTAGATTGTGAGTTTACATTTATTTTGCTTGGTTTTCCTGCCAACAGCACAGTTGATATTTTAGAGCACAAACCCAGGACTGAACATAGCAACTTCATGAAAAACATGACTTATCAAAGCACAAATCCAAATCTAAAATCCCATCACCTAGCCAGGAATTCTGACAAGAACTTGAGAAAAATAGCACGAACCTATTTATAATAGTAGATGGTTGGTTATGGGGTGGTCTTTGGACCAGATTCTGCCAGAAATCAAAACTCCATCCAAATCCAGTGCTGGTGTACCCTCCCACTTCAAGTCAGGATATCAAATGAAAATCTTGCCAATTCAGGTCTGGAGAGAAATTGACTGAAGTTACATTTGTTCCTATGAGATTGTAATGTTAGCAACAAACATCAAGTAAGGTCTGATAGTAATTTTTTATGCATGAAGCATGCTACATGATGATAAACTATTTAAAATCAGGATCCCAAATCATTGATGTCAGCCTGTAATCCTTAACACTTATAATCATGCAGTGTCTGATATCTGACATAATTGAATACAGCTTTGTTTAGAGACTCCTCCGGAGCATTTATTTTTGCGACTTTTTTAGTATCTTCATGCTCAGTATTTGGATCATTGCAACTTCACATGACTAAGTTTATTTCCTTGTCAAGACAACATTTGAAAATAAGGTCTGTCTGAAGCCTGAACTTTGCCACTAGCTGTTATTTGGAGCAAAGGCCACGGAATTTGCAGCTTTGTTTCAATATCTGAAAGATGGATGATTTTTGTGTTTCTCCAATTTGATAATTTTCTATCCTTCTCTAATTACCAATAATTGACATCTTGTTACAAGCTGTGTTTGTATGCAACAAAAGCTTAGAACTTGATCTCGTTCTGGACCATTTGTCTACTCTAGTTTTGCAGGCATGAATGTTCTGGAATTTGTTGCCTGTTTGTGTAGCTGGGATAAAGGCTTGTTGTTGTTGTTGTTGTTGGTGTTTCAATTTGTAGGAAGCACTCAAGACTAGTCTGGAAGCTTCGATGATTCCTGCATTTGAGATGTCATGCAAAGCTATGTTTGAGCAAATTGATGTGGCATTTCAGAATGGACTTATGAAGCACACAACTGCTATTCAACAGCAGTATGATTCTACTCATTCTCCCTTAGTCATGACTTTAAGGGTATGTGCAGTTAGTGTATTTTGGAAACAGACAGTGGTATCCATCTTAAGCTTTTCTTGTTCTACCACCATAACTTGTTCTTTCCTTTGTCATCTTCTACGTGCTATTTATGTTATTGTTGATTGAAAATGGTGTTGCACACTAGTCATAAGTGTTTTTTTTTTTTAATGTATTTAGACAAGTCTTCTCTGGATATGGTAGAATTATTTTTTAAACGTTGAATTACCTCTAGTAAACAATCCAAAAATCCTTATGTGATTTATATGGCATCTTTATGTGGCTTGTGATTTCAATTAATTTACATGATTGTTTTTGAAAGGAATAGTGTAGCATTTATTATCTATAATAAGACATCTTGCCACAAGATATGGTCATATAAGTAAATAAACTTTTTGAAGTAGAATATTTTGGGAACCACAGGCTTTATTTCACTTCAATGCTAAGGCAAAAAGTTCAGCACTTCAGTTTGTATGTAGCTATAACTATATAGATCTCCAGCTGAATAGAATATTGATTTCCTTGTAATTTCACTGTTTTCACAGGATACGATCAATTCAGCATCTTCAATCACTCAAACCTTGAGTGGACAATTGGCTGATGGCTTACATAAACTATCAGAAATTGCAGCTGCCTCCAAAGTGGCAGATCCCTCATTAACGCAAATCAGCAATGGTTTGCATGAGATTGTATGTTTGTCATCCCTTTTATTCTTATTTCCAATCGGTATTCTTGATATTTTTCACTACAAAATCACTTTTACATGACAGGCTGAGGATCCGACCAAAGAACTATCAAGGTTGATAAGTGAGAGAAAATTTGAGGAAGCATTCACTGGCGCTCTTCTTAAAAGTGATGTTTCAATTGTTTCTTGGTTGTGCTCTCAGGTATAGTTGCAATTGGTGTGAATGATTATTCTGAAGACAGAATAAAAAGGAATATGGCATAAAAATGGAGAAAGGGGGTCTTGTTTATGTTGTTTTTAGTTCTAGTGAAGGACAAAAATTTAGTCTATAAATGTTTGCTATCATTCTCCTGGATTAATTTTTGTATAAAAAAATCAGCTCCTAGTGGTTAGGTCTTCCCAAAAAGAAAAAAATTGCATTGTGTTTTTATTCAACAATCTAATAGCAAACTTATACAAGACCATAATGCAATGGGAAGAAGGTGGGAAGCGGCAGTGGCTGTTTGAGATTCTTGCACTCATTCCTCAGATACAAGTTCTCATTTCTGAGTAGATTTGCTTGTATATCTTTCTGTGTTCTCTCACAAACAAACTCAATATCACTATTAATCTAAAATATAAAACCGATAGCAAGCCTATTTACTAGCCATAAGCAGGCATCTCGTTCTTCAAACCCAGTGCACTGCTCTGGTGGCCCACCTAGCTATACTTAAATCTTGTTCTCTTTGAATAGTAGATGGCTGAAAGAGGGGTTTTAATTATTTGAAGCAAATTGACATGTACTGGACAGAAGCTGTTGCCACCATGCGGGAAAAACTTCATAAACCACTTGAATTGTGATGAGACCCTGCTGTTAAACAAATAAGGATGCAGAAATAATAATGATAAATGACCAACAAATCAAGGGAAATGTTGAGGTTTGATAATAATAATTCCAAAAGGCTGAATCAATGTTACAAAAGACACTTCACTGATTCAGAACAAACTTTATTCCTTGTTACAACCGAAATACTCAAACAGCAACTATGGAACAAGAACACTTGCAATGCTATCTAAGCATGCCCTCTGGTGAATAGGGGGCTTGAAACTTATTTGCATTGCTTCACAACTGAAAAACCTACCCAATGGGTTCAATGGTTATCTTAGGCTGAATATTGGTATAACACCTCATATCATAGTGCATCTGGAATGACACCTTTCAGGGCTGTATATGGGCGAGATCCACCTGTTTTCTGCAAGCTGATGCTTTCCCTTTTTTGGTTTTTTTTTCTGTGTCTCCTCTTGTATAGGTTTTTCCAGCAAAACAGCGTCTAGCAAATTGATTCTCGAGTGACAATGTAAAGTTTTAGTCTTCCTTGTACAAGTTTGTGTATGCAATGTTAAATCTAGAGAAAAGACTGATAAAAACATGTCCACTAAAGGGGCAAAGGGAGGATTCTGCCTGTAAGTCACTAAGGACATTCCTGATAAAGTTAAATGGAAGACTAATATAAACACTTTCTTTGTGCCTGAGTTCATCTACTTTTCCAGGAATATTTTGGCTTCAGCTTATTTTGTACTTGAAGTGTGTCATCTCATAAATCACCCCTTTAACTGCCCAGAAAGTGATGAAACTAAATTTCTATGTATTGTTATTGTGCATTGCCATGGTACTAAATAGGAATTATCTTGGTTATCTTAGACCAAACCAGCATCACTAACATCTACTCTCATACCTCTCCTTAACCAGGTTGATTTGGCTGGTATATTGTCGATGGTGCCACTGCCATTAAGCCAAGGAGTTCTTCTGTCTCTTCTCCAGCAACTATCATGCGACCTCAATGCAGAGTCACCCAGAAAATTGGCTTGGATGACTGACGTGGCTGCTGCCATAAACCCGGCAGATCCAACAATTGTGGTGCATGTGAGGCCAATATTGGAGCAAGTGTATCGGACTCTGGGCCATCATCAGGCGTTACCAACTACTCCCTCATCAGAAGCACGCACAATTCGCTTGCTTATGCATGTCATCAACTCTGTGTTATTGAGCTGTAAATGAACTTCACTCTGTATTTTACAATCTGTGCAGAAAATTGAAGCCTCAACTTTGGTTTGTATAGAAATCTAGATAGTTCAGTGGACGAGATAAACAATTTATGTAGCAAGCTGTCTTGAACAATTGATTATTTGTGTGAAATAGCTTCATTTCTGTGTGTTGTACATTACATCTGATATATAGTACATTAGTCCTCATCAAATTGGATACCTTGCCTTTTAGTTATCAAATTCCACTTGATATGCATGAAATGTTCTAAGGAATAAGAAAAGGAAACATGCAGAGGGCTTGTCTAGTTACATCTCAATTTTTTTTTTCTTCCGAAAAATGATTTGTAAATGGTGGATCAAATAAGTACAAATATAGGACCTTAATTGCAAACCAGGTGTTTTTGTCTATTATCTCATGAGTCCCTTCTGGTAATTTTGCAATTGAAAACCTTAAAGTTGTAACTAACTGAATTTATATTTGTAACTAATCTTTCAACAAAATTTTTAGGATATAACTATCATTAAATTAAATTTTTTGCACCCAATGAGTTCAAAGAAAATATATTTCCAGAAATGTCCATTTTTATCTTGATCTATCTGCATTTTAAAAACATATTCACGGAATCCTATTCCTGCAAGTAGGTGCTGTCCTTGTCACAAGCTATCCAGCCAAGTTCTGTATAAAATACTGAATGTGGTGCTGCTTTTTGTCCATGAGATGTTTTTAATTCAAAAAGATGTGGTTCTGTTTTGTGATGCTAATCTTAATCAGCACTAAGTAAGTTAAGTTTGGTCATAAAAGTGTTTTTTTGGTAAGAGGATTATGCACTTTTCTGCTCGCAGGATATGGTGCGAATATTTTGCACTTTCCTCCTATCATATGATGCTGTATTGGCAAGACAAGTCCACACATCATTTGCACTTTCCTCCTATCATATCACATTCTTCTGCATAATCTTTTCCCATATGATTCCATTTTATTGCTCAAATTCTCTGAACATTCTAATCGATATTGATGGCTCAACATGAAAAATGGAACAAAAACTAACTCTTGCATATAAACAAGCCTGGTTAAAAGAAATTTATTGTTAAAACTCTGGTAAAAACCATCACTCAAAAGGATTCATCAATATTCAATGCAAATTAGTTTGGATTCCTATTAAGTCTTCTTAACTTAACGTGGGATATATTCAAGATATCAGGTGTGCAAACAATAAACAACCATGGAGAACTAACTTTTGTTGTTTACTTGTAAAAATATACTTATAATCGTGCAACATCAAGATTAATAAATAGTAAATCAAAAGGATCACTCATATTTTGCACATATATTATAATCAATGAGAGATCATTTATGCTCTCAAAAGACGCTATGAATATATTATATATAATGATTATATTATATAACATATAATCACTTTCGTGACTGTGAAAATTTCAAATTAAATATTAAACCCATTAGATGTTCTCAAGCTAGCATGTCTTTTTTTAAAAAAAACATTATTCATATCCCATTACGCTTCTTTTATCTTAAAATCAAATGAAAAATTAGTAATTTAGTTTCTCTAGTTTTAACATAAATACGACTTAATCTTTAAAATTTAACTTTTTTTATTTAGTCTTCAAATTTTAGTCCGTCAATCCATTAGTTCCTGTAGCTTTTGTAAAATTTCTAATTTTGCAGCAATTAAATTGTAAGAAGGATTAATTTGCACAAGTCAAATTTTATTATTTTAGGGACTAAGTTTTAATCAAATTTATATGACTGACTATTTAATTTTCTCAAGATTAAAATGTCTTCAAAATGATAGAGTCAACAAAGTGAGTGATAGAAGAAGTGAAAAATGAAAATGTGTAAGAACTCTTTCCCCCTTTTTGGTTTTTTCTCTTTTATTTTAAAAAGTAGTTCAAAAACACATAGTTGAAATAAATTTCACAGGCTTCTTTTATTTTGGATATAATCAAACCCCCTTCTTTTGTATTTGGTCACCGGTCAACTATGTGACGGAATTTGAATTATTTGATGCCTTACATCTGATTCCCTTCATTTTTTTTTTCAATCACTACATGGAACAATTTTAGATTTAAAAATACAAGAAAGTTTCACATAAAATTCAAAAAATTAAACAAAATCCAGATAATTAAAAATAAATATAATTCGATAAATTATTTTGTGAAAATAAAAAAGGATTATTGAAAAGTTTTAAACTTTTGCCCCAAAAAAAACCTTAATAATAAAAGAGATAAACCCCTACCAAAAAAAAACTACTTGAAAATTCAATTGCATTATTCATTAGATAACTGCGTCACCTAGTTATTTTTTGGGTTAGGCAAAGACATCTTTCTATTAGAGATATTATGTTCAAGATACTGTCAAGTATAACATGTAGATATATCTTATAGTGAGAATTTATATAATTGGTTTATTACATTGTGAGAAACCAGTGGTGGAGGAAAGGGAACTAGTAGAGGCAGCAGCCCCTCAATTTTTTAATATTTTTTTTGTATTATATAGGTGTTACATACTTTCAATTTCTTAAAATTTATAAAAATTTTATAATATATATATTTTTTAATCTTAGCCCTTCTTATTTTTAAATCCTGGTTTTGCCCTAATCTCTTCCATTAGATCTAATCCAATTGGTGTTAAATTTTTAAATTTTATTAACCATGCATTGTTAATTAATAACTGATATTTCTTGTTTAGTTCATAAAATTAAATGCTGTCATCTTACTTGAAGTATAAGGAGGTTCATGTATATATATATATATATATCTAAGTTCGAAAGGTCATTTGTTAAAAAAAAAAAAAATTCTGGCATATATCATATTTAGTGGGCAAAATAACATTGTTTAATGACAATGATATATTTTTGCAAATTTAAAAAATTCATAGATTCATTATGTTTAATACGTGGGGCAAAATGTATACTCATGTTCTTACTCTCTCCAATTCATAATATAGAATATTTTTTAGAAATCTTATTTAGTTTAAAATATAAGGCATTAGACCTTTATATTTGTTTCAAATATACCCTTAGTTCATTTATTATTTATTTTTGAAAACAATAGTTCATTATAGTTTCAATTATTATTAATGAAGTATTTATATAGAATATTCAATGAGAGTATAATTTTAAGAAGGTACAACTTTTAAGAAAAAATTAAGGTAAACATAACTTTTGGTCCTTATACTTTACTTACATTTTGCTTTTAGTTTCTATATTTTTTAAAAAAATGTGTTAGGTTCCTACATTTTTATTTTTTATTATTTTGAGTCTTTTCAAGATTTCTATATTTTGCTCATAAAAAGACTAAAAATAATAAAAAATAAAAGTGTAGAGATCTAAAATACAAAAAAAGTATAGAGATTAAAAGTAAAACGTGAGTAAAATATAAGAATTAAAAGTTATATTTACCCGAAAATTAATGTTATTAGACATAGAACAGGAGGTTAGTAATTAAACAATCAACCACTTCCTTTAAAAATGAGGAAAGCCATTCAAGAAAAATGACAATTAAAAATCCTGTAAAAACATTAATAACAATTACATGTTTTGAATTATTAAAATTTAAATAATAGATCATGTACTTTATACATATAGTACAAGATATAAAGTTGAAGCAACTATATGTTCATGTTGTGCAATTTAACAGTTTCTTTATGGTTTTTTTTCCAAAATTTTTTTATGAGTTTTAAAATAAAGAAAATGATAATAAAATACTTCTAAAATATATAAATGAAAAATAAATATTACGAAATATAATAATTATTTTTTAGTCTCAAGAGACTTATTTGACATTTTAATTTTTTTTATAAAATAACATGTTTGCCCTTGTTATTTTCTGACCCTCCCTCGACTTGCAACTTCTTTACAAATTGGAGAAAGGGATGGCGATTGCCAACGAAGGCATTTCATCCTCGTCTTACACCGTCTCAACTCCCTCCCTCTCCCTCAATGGCTTCAATAGCTTGACATATCAGCAAACAAGTATTTCCACGACATTGGCCTCATTCTCTGTGCAAGAAGCTCATCCACTTCATTGTTTCTAGCAATGATTTTTCTACTCCAATTTCGTCAGTTCCTATCAACTCTCTGCAGTTCTTTTATCTCTCAGGCAACAAGTTCCATGGTCAGATTTCTGGATAATGGGCCGATTTGTGCATCACTCTCATTGAGCTTGACCTTTTTCCCAAACCCCCTCTCTGGTATCGTTCCCCTCAATTTTAGCACATATTCTTCACTAGAATTGTTTGGTACATGTAATAACATGTTTTTCGATGAGTTACTGATTGATATTTTCGCGGAAATGAGCAGTTGAAGAAGCTAGTTCTTTCATTCAATGATTTCGTTGGTAAACAGAAGAAGAGCCAAAAAAAAAAAAAATCAGTAAATTAATTAAAATGACAAAATAGCAAGTAGAACTTGGGGGGAAGGAAAAGCAATTCAATTAGTACACAATTTTCATCTTGGTTCAAAGAAGAATGGAAAATGAACAAGATAATATTAGTTCTGCAACCGCTTCCTTCAATATCACCCCAAAAGAAAAAGAAAAATGATAACCTAAAAGCCCACTTATCCAAATTACAAGACATGCTTTGATCTGTGAGGCAAATTGAACAATAATTCACAAAAGTATCACCATCCCTCTTGTCGATATGGTGTCAAATGATGATGGAAGGCGAGAGGATGAAGTGCTCAGCAAGTGGAGGGAGAGTAAGAAAATAACAAGGACAAATATGTTATTTTACAAGAAATTAAGGGTAAACATAACTTTTGATCTCTGTACTTTACTCATATTTTGCTTTTGGTCTTTATATTTTTTTTTAGTATTTTAGGTTTCTATATTTTTATTTTTTATTATCTTCGATCCCTCTATAACCAAAGTATAAGGACCTTAGAAAGATCTAAAACAATAAAAAATAAAAGTGTAGAGATTTAAAATATAAAAATAATATAAAAATAAAAAACAAAATGTGAGTAAAATATAAGAATTAAAAGTTATGTTTACCCTAATATTAATGCCAAACAAATCCTTGAGACCTAGAAAAAAAATTATTACATTTCACAATATTTATTTATTATTCATATATTTTGATAATATTTTATTGTTATTTTATCACAAAAGGCAAACAAGAGTTTGCAAGTTAAAAAATTAAAAATGAAATTGGTGATATAAATGAATGAGAGCGAAGAAGCTTAAAATGAAAAGCGCGCCTTGGATGAGCGGTCTATGATTAACCCAAATTAGGAACGTAAAAGAAGGAGCCAACACCTCTCCCACATTGCATTGCTGGTTGGTTTCGTAGGGCCCTACGCACAAAACATGAAAGGCGTGACGTGAGATCAGTGAGAGATCTGTGTGTCTCTGTGTGTTTGTGGGTGCGATCTGTGTGATTTGAATCATCTGAGTTCCAATCCAATACCGTTTTAGCTTAAAATTTGCGTAGCGTGTGTGCAAAGCTCACTATTCCTAATCATTCTTCTCTCGCCTTAGTTTTACCCTCCAAAACCTCTATTCCATTTCCATTCTCCTTCCTTTGGTGCCAACAACAATAACTCAATTCCTTCTCCTCACCCAATTCTTCACAGGTAAATATCGATCTCTATTCTTTAATTGCTTTTCCGGTCAAAATCATTCTATGGAAAATGTTTTTAAGCCGATCATCGTTTGTTTGTATTCATTGAAGCTCTGTGTGTGTGTCTTCTGGGTTTCTTCTCGGATTTGATACGTTTCTCTTCTTCTCCCGTTATTTTCTGGACATGGTTGGATCCAACCTAGGCGGAGGAATCTGGAATAGAATGTGATGTTGGTGATACAAACTTGATGGCTTCTTTTAGCTTTTGCTTTTGATTACTTTCAACTTAATAACTTGGTTTCTGCGTCTGCGTAACATGTCTTGGAATGTGTCAATTTTTTTCTTTTCGTTCTTCTCAGATGGAGTTTTGATATGAAAGTTACACAAATATACTCTTTATATTATGTTAATTATGAATTATCTTTTATTTTTAAAATTTACACCTGTAGAGGAAATAAATTATGACTATAAACTTTCTTTGACAACAACAACAACAACAACAACAACAAGCCTTTATCCCACTAGGTGGGGTCGGCTACATGGATTGCAAGACGCCATTGTGCTCTATCATTTATTAAGCTTTTAGAAATATTATTAATTAAGAGATCACGTTCAACAACTTCCAAGAGTGTTCTCTTAGGCCTTCCTCTACCTCTCTTAATCGGACTCAAAGTTATATGTTCCACTCTTCTCACTGGTGCCTCCCTTGGTCTTCTTTGTACATGCCCAAACCATCTCAACCGATTTTCTACCATTTTTTCCTCAATAGGTGCCACCCTCACTTTTTCACGTATGTGCTCATTTCGAATTTTATCTTTACGTGTATGTCCGCACATCCATCGTAACATTCTCATCTCTGCTACTCCAACTTTATGCTCTTGCTGTCCCGTTAGAGCCCAGCATTCACTACTATATAACATTGCCGGTCTGATAGCAGTACGATAAAACTTTCCTTTAAGTTTATTAGGCACCTTACGGTCACAAATAACTCCTTTAGCTTTTCTCCAATTAAACCACCCAGCTTGAATTCTATGTGAAATATCTCCACTGATTTCGCCATCATTTTGAATAATGGCTCCCAAATATCTAAACTTTTCCACTTGAGGTATAATTTGATCTCCCAATTTCACTTCCAAATTATTTTCGAATAGTCCTTTACCAAATTTACAATATAAATATTCCGTCTTACTTCTACTCAGACGAAAACCTTTCGACTCCAATGTCCTCCTCCATAACTCAAGTTTGCAATTAACCTCTTCTCTTGTCTCTGCTATAAGAACTATATCATCCGCGAAGAGCATACATTTCGGGATTTCCTCTTGAATATGTTCCGTCAAAACATTTAAAATCAAGTTGAACAAATAAGGACTCAGAGATGATCCCTGATGTAGTCCAATCTTTATAGGAAAATCCTTTGTTTGACCACTAGGCGTTCTTATACTAGTTTTTACCCCCTCATACATATCTTGTATGGCTTTAATATAAGCAATCCGTACTCCCTTTTTTTCCAACGCTTTCCAAAGCACTTCTCTTGGTATACGGTCATAAGCTTTTTCCAAATCAATAAAAACCATGTGTAGATCTTTATCTTTACAACGATACTTTTCCATTAATCCCCTTAGTAGATAAATCGCCTCTGTAGTTGATCTACCTGGCATAAAACCAAATTGATTCTCAGAAATACTTGTCTCCAATCTCAACCTGTGCTCAATTACTTTCTCCCACAATTTCATTGTGTGGCTCATGAGTTTAATCCCTCTATAGTTAGTACAATTCTGAATATCTCCTTTATTTTTATAAATAGGAATTAATGTACTTCTCCTCCACTCATCAGGCATTTTCTTGGACCGTAAAATCACATTAAATAACTTAGTTAACCATCTCACCCCTTCTTCACCTAAACATTTCCACGCTTCGATAGATATACAATCAGGTCCGTTAGCTCTACCATTTGCCATTTTCTTAAGAGCTTCCTTTACCTCCTTATCACGTATTTTTCGATAGAATGACAAATTTTGTTCTCCTTCACCAGTTACTAAATCCTCCAAGTTACTAGATGAATCCTCTCCATCATTGAAAAGTTTAGAAAAATAAGTCTCCCATCTATTTTTAATTTCATCATCTGTAACTAAAATTCTTCCCTCTTCATCCTTAATACACCTTACCTGTTCTAGATCTCTTGATTTTCTTTCCCTACTCTTGGCAATCTTATAAATATTTTGCTCTCCTTCCTTCGTCTCAAGGTTCTTATAAAATTCTTCAAAAGCTTTAGAACGAGCTTCACCCACAGCTCTCTTAGTTTCCTTCTTAGCCATACGGTACCTCTCCCAATTTTCCTCATTGTTACACAAATGTATGGCTTTAAAACAGTTCTTCTTATACTTGATTTTGTCCTGTACACTATTATTCCACCACCAAGACTCCTTATCTCTCGGACCAGAACCTTTCGATTCTCCCAAAACTACTTTTGCAACCTCCCGTATCTTTTTAGCCATATCCTCCCATATGATGTTAGCACTTCCCTGAGAATCCCAAATTCCTTTATCCAAAATATTTTGCTTGAAAATATCTTGCTTCTCACCTTTTAATTGCCACCACCTAATCCTTGGTGTTACTACTTGTCGACGTTTTTGGATTTTACTCATAATACACACATCAAGGACTAGGACCCTATGTTGTGTCGTTACAGCATCTCCAGGGATCACCTTACAATTTTTACAAAGTTTTCTATCTGTGTTCCTAACCAAAAGAAAATCAATCTGCGACCTTGAGGCTCCACTTTTGTAAGTGATGAGATGCTCATCTCTCTTCTTGAAACAAGTGTTGGCAATCTTAAAATCATACGCCAATGAGAAATCAAGAAGAGTTTTCCCTTCATTGTTTAGCTCTCCAAAACCAAAACCACCATGCACCCTCGCATACTGACCAGCTTCCCTCCCGACATGCATTAAAGTCTCCTCCAATAAAAATCTTTTCACTCTGTGGTATGTGTCGAATCAACCCCTCCAGATCCTCCCAAAATAATTCCTTAAGACTGGCTTCTGTCCCGACTTGCGGCGCATAAGCGCTAACAATATTAACAGTCTCACGTCCAATTATCATTTTTAAAGAAATAATTCTGTCTCCAATTCTGCTAACTTCTACAACGTTCTTCTTCCACTCCTTATCTATAATGATGCCTACTCCATTGCGTGCACTTACTTTTCCTGTATACCAAAGTTTGAAACCTTGAATATCCTTAGCTCTTTCTCCACGCCATTTTGTTTCTTGCAAGCAAAGGATATTGATTTTCCTTTGAATCATAACCCCTACAACCTCTACAGATTTACAATTTAATGTCCCAACATTCCAAGTACCAAATCTAATTTTGCTCTTATGGACTAACTTCTTTAGCCGCGTGCGTCCAGAATGACGCGGTAGCCCTTGCTCATTTAACACTACATCCGGGCGCCGATGCAGCGGCTCTAACTCACTTATCACTGTACTCGAGCCATGCAGCGCGTTACTTACGGGCAACGACCTAGCATTAACATTATAACGTCTATTGTCCATGTTCATGATAGATTCAACAAATTTTTACATTGGCTGTTGATGGCCTAACACAACCCTCCTCCTTTACCCGGGCTTGGGACCGGCTATAAACATAGGCGGAGTTTATAAAAATTGCCCTGAGTTTTCTTTTATTTCTAAGAAGTTATGTGTGTATTTTAAAAATAGAGAGAAAAATTATATAACCTGAATACAATTTAAAAAATTATGAAATTCATTCTTTGATTTGGATTTTAACTTTTAAGGAAAGTAAATAAGTGTGCTTTTTGTGTGTGTGTGTGGGGGGGGGGGGACTGCTCGTCAATAAGTAGCTTTGACAAAGTTTAAAAAATTGCCATTCTCATTTAAAGATGATGCTTGGCAATACTGTAACTTTGATGGATTTTTATTTTACTATTTGTATGGCTCTTGCCTTTGATTGTTGTGGAAATGTATAATTGTATAAATGAACAGTCCTCCTATTTACAGGCAGAAAAGGCATTCGAAAATGGAGCAGGAGAAGATGAAGAGAGCAAGAGAAAGAGATTATGATGAAACCGAGCCTCAATCTCTTGAGGACAACAACATCAACTATAATGCAAAGAAGAGAGATCTGTATGGCATAAACCAGGTGAAGGAGAATCAACAGAAAGATGTAGAATCAGAAAAGGCTTCTTCAAAGCCTTGGGATTCCCACTTAGCATTAGGAGTATTTGATTTCCCATGGCTGAAAGATGGTGTCATGTCCAAAACAGAAGACTGCTTCTTGGACTTTGACGACAAATTCTCATCGTCTCTAGAACATCAAGATGGTGGTTTCAATTTCTCAGAAGCTTACTGTTACTCTGAAACTCCAGAAACATCAAAGAAGGAGATGGAGACTGTGTGGCAGCCATTTGAGAGTGATGGATTGGAGATTAAAGCAGAGGATGTTGATTGCATTTGGAGCTCTGTCATCAATAAGAACAACCATGAGGGGAAGCTTTTGATGTAAGTAGTTTCTTCTTCCTGTCTTCTCCTGCAATCTTCATGAACTGTGGTGGAATTTACAAGATGGCAAATCTGGGTTAGGTGTATATTGTCTAATATTATTTCCCTATATACATATTTTTTTTCTTTCCCTTTCTTTTTGCCCTCTTATTTGGGTATGCAGCAACCATTTTTGTTACGAGTTTCCTTGACTGATATTGTTCAATAAAAATTGAATGGAAATGTATGTTGATCAATTGGAAATTATAGTAATAAATGGGTGAAACTACCAAGTTATTGCAGCTTTCAATGAATTTCTGTAATTATTTCTGTGACTTGTATTTTTGAATTTTTTGCTTTGAAATTCTTTTAGACCTAACTTATTAGGATTATGAATTTTTGTTAAGGGTAAACATAACTTTTAGTTTTTATACTTTACTCACGTTTTACTTTTTATTCTCGTACTTTTTTTAATGTTTTAAATCTCTATATTTTTATTTTTTATTATTTTAAATTCTTTCAAAGTTCCTATACTTTGTTCATGGAGGAATCAAGAATAATGAAAAATAAAAGTGTACGAACTTAAAATATAAAAAAAAAGAATAAAAAACAAAACGCAAGTAAAGTATAAAGACCAAAAGTTATATTTATCTTTGTGTTGATTATAAACAGACATGTAACTTGCAAAGATATCACCAATAAATCTCATTGACAGATGTATCCATCCAACATTTAACTAATTTATTTCTGTTTTTTTTTTGTTCAAATTTGATAATAAGAAACTTCATCATATATTGAACATTATTGAAGCTCAAGTTTGAGCATCAATGTAATACACAATTATTAGCCATGTTGGTGGTTTTCATAACAAGTCCTTATTATGCCCAAAAGAAATGTGGAAAAACACACACGCACACGCACTAGTTCTATTAAAGATATGGATGACATTTTACTATATTTTTATTTTTTGCATTTTAAAATACTCCCTCTATCCCAATTTATAAAATATTTTTAAACAAAATTACACATATCAATAAAATTTATTAAATACACTTTATAATTTTATTTTTTAAAATAAAAATAAAAATTTTAAAAATACCCTTCATTTAATACTTTTTTTGTGACAGAATATTAAAAAGAGAAAGAATATAATGAAAAATTTAATATTAAAAAATATCATTAAAACCTGAGTTTTAGTAAAATGTCTTATATTTTATATATTAAATTCCTCTCAAAAGTGTTTTATAATTTATAATAGAGGGAGAATATGTTCATTGTGTGCTATGTGTGAGAGAAAGAGGGGGTGACAATAAAGTACCAAATTATGAGTTAGTGGATGTTTGAGAAGAAAATTTATTCTGCAATTCAGACTAGGGATTCTTCATTTATGATGGGAAAAGGGGGGAAATAAAGGAAAAAAAAAATAAGGAGTTATGGTGAGCCATGTCCCTTCCTTTAAAATGGGAGAAAAATTAGTAGAAGAGAAAATTAAAGAAAAAAATAGAAGAAAAAAATTCTTCATCCCTAGCATAAAATTGTTCTTTTAATTTTTCCTGTTTCAGGAAATTAGAAGAAAACAATGGTAAGAAAAGTTGCTTCTTCCCTCTTTATTTTCTTCTAATTCCAAATAAAGCCTTTTATGTCACCATCTATATTTTCTATCCATTTGATGATTTAGGGCCAGGAAAGAACGTCCTCCACTTTAAGTTTCAACTGACCAACCTTCCTTTTTTTCTTGTTTTTTTTGTGAATATAAACTTCCCATGCAGGCCCATGGCTTTAGTACTAAGTAATTAATGGGCCTTATCTGACTTGCCATCAATTGGGCGTCAAATGAAAATAGTTGTTGTATAAATATCAATCAAAGGCAAGCAGTGTGCGCCCAACCAAAGCACCCTCATACACACAACTATCTTTGAATTTTGGGGATCATTTAAGAGCGGTGCAGTGTCAAAAGAAATACCCATATTTAATATTTTCTCTTTTTAAATTATAAAATATTTTTAAATAAAATTTTATATATTAATAGATCTCATTAAATATATTTAGCAATCTTATTTTTTCAAAACAAAAATATAAACTTATAAAAATACTCATCATTTAATACATTAAAAAAATTAATGAAAATTAATTACAGAGAGAAAAAAATTAATATTAAAAACGGTGTATTTAATGAAACCTTAATCTATTCAAAGTATTTTATATTTTGGTATGGAGAAATTTCATCAAAAGTGCCCTATAATTTAAAATGGAGGGAATACTTAATAATATCTTAAATAAGATTACTTTTAATAAAAATATACATGTGAAAAATGGAAACCAAAAGAAAAAAGAGGGGTGCAGAATTTGCCTCTTTTTTCCTTCCCTTTCAAGTTTCATTATTAAATTTGTGAGCGGTAGTTTATGTATGAGGAGTATTTGTTTATTGGTTTAACTACAAGTGGTCCCTAAATCTTATATTACAGGTATTCAACCGTGGTTTTTGATTGTTTCATACAAGAAAACCTTACATATTCAAGCACATAAAAACTTGTAATTTTGTGCTATTCATCTTAAGTGGTTAAAAATTGTGTGTGGCGTAGCTTTATATAGCTTTTTTTGTTTATTTAATTTTTTTTAACACGTTCCAAGGGGTAGGTTGCCTTTTACAATGTCCACAAGCCATCTCTCTTTCCCTTTCAGAAGCAAACATAAAATGTTACAATGTCTTCAAAGATGGCATGGTAGGTTAATTAAAATAATGTTTGGTAATGTCAAATTGGTGAATTTGGATTTTAAATTTAAAACATTATATTTAAAATTTATGTATTTAAAATTTTTTATTTGGATAGTTTAAAAAATTTTAAATGAAAAAAAAAGATGAGTTAGATTCAAAATGAAAATTAAAAATTAATAATGATGAGTTTATCTTTATTTTTTAATTGATGAGAGATAAGAATGAAGTATGAGAGAAGACACGGGAATCATATATCTCAATAGTGAAAATATTAAGAAAATAAAATCTTTGAAGTGACAATAACTTTAAATTATTAAGATATAGAGAAAATTTAAAATTATAAGTGAATTATAATAAGGTATGAACTTGATGATCAGATTTAAATTCATAATTTTTTATGTATCAAAGTGAATGATTTGATTCAAATCTAAATTTAAATCCCATTGATTCAAACTCACCATTATATTATTATATAGTTGGAGACAAAGCATGTTGCTTGATGATATAAGATTATTCATTTCCCACTAAAATTTTCTATGGTGTTGTGACCATGAAATTTGTTTATGATTATTTTATGTATTTTAAAAATTTTAATCGTAAGCATCTGCGTTGAAGTATCTCAAAAGGTAAAAGGTGACTAGCATTTTAATATAAATTTTTAAACATGAATTCATGTAAATCATAATAGAAGAAACTGGAAGAACTCTGAAGAAAGGTTCATTCTGGTTGTTGCCCCACAATATGGACAAAAATAGGGCAAAACAAAGTTGAAAGGCATTAAATTTAATAGATAAAAGGAAAAATGACAATAAAATTTTAATAAAATATATAAATAATAATTATATCTTTTAAAATATTATACTTCCTCTTAAGTTTTTAGATATCTTTTTGATATTAATAATTTTAAATTAAATAACTAAATTATCTCTTGTTTAAAATAAAAATAATGGGTCTGACATTATTTTTTTCAATTACAACTTTTATTTACACAATCACAACTTTTATTTTTGTGAATCATGAAAATTGAATAAGAAACTACAACTTCTGACGTGAGATTTCCTTTACGATAAATAAATAAATTCTAAAAATAACCAATCTCAATAATAATTTTTGTTTAAATAATTACAACTTTAATTTTATAAATCACAAAAATTAAATAAAAAATCACTACTTCTCACATGAAATTTTTTTTATCATTAAATTCTAAATTTTGAAAATAACTAATTATAACTTTTATTCAAGAAAATAGAACTTTTATTTTATAAATCGTAAAAATTAAATAAAAAATCACAACTTTTCACTTAAAATTTCTTTTATAATTGAAGTTTGAGTTCTGAAAATAACTAATTATAATTTTTATTTAAATAATCACAACTTTTATTATGTGAATGGTAATAATTAAATAAAAAATTATAATTTTTCAAGTGAACAAGTTATTTTTTTATTTTAAAAAGAAGAAATTTAATAATTTAATCTAAAATTATTAATGTCAAAAAGGTACCTGAGACTTTAGAGTCATTATTTATCATTGATATATTTCAATAAAATTTTATTTTTATTTTTTATAGGTAAAATAATTGATAGGACCTTGATTTTTAAATGATGATGCCTTCAAAAGTCGCTTCTAATTTTCTATTCCCTCCCATCAATATTATTGCCTTAGTCCCAAATTCTAAAATATTTTTAAAAACAATTTGATATTTCAAAATATGAAACATTTTAATAAAAATAAAAAATTATTAATAATATCTTTTTAATATTATCATTTACATATATGATCTCTCTTTGACATTATTTTTTCACAAATGGAGCATAAAAATGAAAGGCATTTTTAAAAATTTATGTTTTTCTTTTGAAAAAGTAAATATGTAAAATGTATGTAATAAACTTTATTAATATATATAATTTTATATAAAAGTGTCTGATAAATTAAGATAATGAGAGTATAATACACTCTTCTCTTAATAATTTATCAATAAATTAGTTAATTATTTTTAAAATTATGCACTATTTTCATGTTTACTTTTATTCAATAAAGTATCTTAATTTTATAATCTTATTAATTATATCCCTAATTAAAAGTATTTTTGAAAAAAAAATTATCAATTACACTTTAAAAGACTCAAAATATATTATATATTTTTTTAATATGATACTTTAAAAAAATATCTTATAATATTAAATGGAGGATAAGAGAAAATATACTGTGTAACTTACTTTGTTTTGCATTGCAGTCATACATGTACCAGATTCTTACTTGCCCTATTGAATTTACAATAATTTGTGAACCGACCAAAATAAAAGTGTTTTATTATGTACACGTATTCATCAATGAAACGTGAATGCATTTCTCTTTGTAATCAGATGAACAATTTCAATAATGATTCAGCCATGAATACAGAGATAATTAAATGTGAGATCAATATTTATTGGTTTGATCATTAAACAAGTGATGAAGAGTTGAAGTATATCCATTGGTTTGCTTAATGGGCAAGCATTAATGATAAATCTTTCCATATTGGATGAATAAAAAAATTAAATACACTTTCATGGGAGAATTAACTATCATAATTAAATTAGCAAGATTTGTCTTGATCCGATAATATATATCAAATTGGGCATTGGGACTGCAAAAAATTGATCTGATTCCAAATTAGACTAAGCACCAAATTAAACCAAAAATACAACATGAACCCATGTGCATTCCTACACTGAACAGTGAACATGAGAATATTGTTTTAAACGAAACAAATATAATCAAAATATTGTTGGCAAAAAAAAAACGATATTCAAAATATTAGCCCAATACACTATAGTAAATATTAACACAATTTAAATAAAAAAACTGATTTATTCAGTTTTACATAAAGTATATTCCATTTTCATTCAAAAACCTTTTATATAAACAAAATGTTGTTAGCTTCTTGTAAAAATTAAAAAGAAACTTTTAGACAAGATATTCACGTATTAAAAGTAATATGATTTACCTCTCAAATACAAGCTCACTTTAGTTTATATGAATATAATCATGTACTATTTAATCTAGAAATCAATATTAATAATTTAATATGTCTATAAAAATTTCTATAAAAAGAAATCACATTACTGAGCAACCCAGTGGGTTCAGGCCCATATTTTATCTAGAGGAGGGCAAGGACTAAAAGGCGTGTGTGTGTATTAAAGGGGTAATGCATAATTTTATCTCTAAATTTTTTGTGTAGGAGCAATATTATTTTTAAATTATTCAATGTAATAATATAATTTTTAAATTAATTAAACTGGAGTAATATTATTGTCCCTTTGTTTAAAAATTAAAACCCAAAAATGTTCGTAAGTGGGTCCCATTCAACATCTTCAATCCCATACCATCAGACCATCTTTCCTATCACCATCTTCTGCCATTGAAGTCTTTCCCAAGCTTCACTGTCAAAACCCTCATCACGCCCTCCAAACATAGAACAAGTCATTGAGCATGCTCTACTGTTATAGTTACTCCCACTGCGTCTGCTTCTTCGGCTTAACGAAGTTAATAAATGTTTTTCTTATAGGACTGAAAACTAACTAGGTCAATCCTAACCAATTAAAAACATATACTATTTAATCAATGTTTTAACTAGTTTAATAGAATATTTTATTACAATTACTTTAATGATATTTCGATAATAATTTTAACTATTAATTTTTAAATGACCAATTGATAACTTGGCTGGTTTAATTTTTAGTATTTTGATTTTTCTAGTAACCCAAAACCAGCATGGTGGAGAAAAGAAGATAGAAAGATTTTGACAAGCGGAACACGTACTCTACCCTTTATTTGGACGCGAACAAAATTAGAAAGAAAAGAAATCTAAGAGAACAAATTCCTAAAATAATAAAAAATTACTTTTTTTAAAAAAATTATTCTGATATTTTTCTCTTCCTTCTATTTTCTTTTCATTTTTTCGTTCATCCAGACCAACTCTCAAAGTCAAACGTATATTTAAAGAGAAAAAAAAGTTCTCCCTCCTTTTAAAAATATAAAATATTTAAAATTAAATCTCATCTTTTAATAAAATACTTACCTATTTTTAAATTAATTTTATTTTTTATATTTATACCTATCAAACACCTTACAATAAATATAAAATTATTTATTAATATGAGCACTTTAAAAAAAGATAATGATTACATCTCAAAAGATTAAAAATAAATACCTTATATTTTTAAATATTTAACTCTTAAAAATATTTTTTATTTTTAAATGAGGAAGTATAATATTTTAAAGTATGAAACTAAACAGTGGGTGAGTAGTTGCATTGTTGATTCCACCGACTCTTTTCTTATGTATGTATCCAAGCAACTTGCGATGTTACAATTTGTAGTCTTCATTAAAATCAATCAACGTACAAACAAAGCCGTCCCAACACTTGCTCTCTTTTTAGTCCTCTGCTCACTTGCACGTACTCTAATTTCGCTGGTTTTTTTTTTAATTATGAAGCCCTTTCATTACATTTTTCACTTTCATTTATTATTCCATCGTTTTTCTTAAAACGACTGCTTCATCTCACAATATTGATGAGCCACCCTCACTGAAACCCCCTCTTTCTCACCCCTCAATTTTTATTTATTTATCAATAAATTGAAAGATGAATTGGGTTGACTCATTTTTTTTTAATATGGAATTGACTATTTGACTAACAATTAAGAACTAAATAAATAAAGCCACAGCTATTAGTTGTCGTCGCTTTGAAAATGCTCTGTTGTCTTTCCTTCAGCCACAATACAGCTACCCCTCTAATTATACCGATATTTATATGAGTGGCGAAAAAAAAAAACTTTAAATAATGATAAAATCATAAAATATATAATTTTAATTTAACCTGCACTGTTGGCAAAAAAAGGGGGAAAAAATCTAAACGGGCCATATTGCTACTTGTTACCAACTAGGTATATAAAAAAAATACTCTCTCCGTTAAAAAATATAAAATATTTTAAAAAAAAATTGTTTAAAGATATAAGACATTTTTAGTTTTTTGAGTTATAATTATTATTATTTTTAAAATATTTTTATTGATAAATGACTTTATATTTATTATTGGGTGTTTAATAAGGGTAAATATAAAAGGATAAGATTAATTTAAAAGTAGATGACTACTTATTAAAAATAAGATTAGATTATAAATGTTTTACATTTTTAAAATTAGAGAGTATCATTTTGGCTACCTGAGGTTTGTTTTGGTATTATAGGGTAAGGGTGAGAAATAAATAGAAACTCGGCTTTAAATATTTTTCATGTAAGGTAAAAAAAGTATATATATTCAATTTTAGTTAAAATTCTTTTAAGAAACAATTATAAAAATAGAATTTTCATTGAATTTGGACAAAGTGGACGATGCTACCACGTATTTTTACGTAGTTTTATTGATTCAGAGGAACTTAATACTTAAATAAAATCGAGGGTTCAAATTTTATGAATAAAAAATCACGTTGGGATGAAAGAACTATCCCTGATTAAATCAACGTTGCTTAAATTTAATCTAATAATACTGGAAATATAATAATTTTAGTTCTTTGAGGCTTATTTAGGCAGTAAAGATAACAGCAGGGTGTAAATAAAATAGAAATTCAGGTTTAAATTCCCTTCATAGGAAAAATTGAAATTCCTCTTATATAAAAAATTATGATTTTTTAGTTATAGCACCAAAAAAGAAATTTTCCCCCTTGAGAAACAATTATAAATGAAAATTGATTTTTTTTAGCTAATTTTGAAGAGATTCATCCAAATCGTGGCCGAGAAAAAAATCCAAATCCGATTCTCCCAAAGCTCCTTAATTAACCAAAAAAAAAAAAAACTTTGATTAACCAAAGCCGCGAATCATGCGTGTTTTAGTTATTGACTTTAACTGGCAACTGGTTCTGTACGCTGTATTGCCAGCCAAGCCAAGTCACCTTAACGTCTCTCACGTGCACTTCACGCGTTTCCTCAGCCGCGTCCCCCTAATTTTAGCATTTCTTCAATTTAATCACATATATGCGGTTTTTATTAGGGCAAATCACAATGTGAGGATCTAGGAAAAATATTTATTTCAAACAAAAACAAAATAATTTTGAAATTTCTGTGCAAAAAATTTAAATGTAATTAAAATTTATTGTAAAAAGATAAAATTATCTCTCATATTTATATATATACATACTTTTTTTAACAACAACATCTTGTTCAAGAAAAATTAATCTCATTTTTATTTTAATAATAATCAATTTTTTCATCAATAACTTTAAAAAATTAATTTGATAATGAAGATGAACATGTGTTTTGAACATAGAAAAAAAGTGAAGAGAAACACGTAGGCACACTAAATTCACCATGTTATTTGTAATTTGTTTAATTAAAATATTTTAAGTAATTTAAATAAAATATTTTGTAATATTTTTTATTAATTTTATTTTTATAATAAAATGCACATTTAATTTTTTGCTTTTTCTCTCTATATTATTATTAATATTAGAATTAATTTATATTAATATTATCTAAATATTATATTTTTATTAGATAGATCATAAATAATGTAGTTCATCCTATCTACCTAAATATTTTTTTCAATAGTTAATTCATTTATTGATAACTCTAAAATATCAACTCAATGATGGGGAGGAAGTGTTGCGATTTGATAAGTAAATTTTGCATTTAAGAAAAATAAGTCTTATTTTTATTTTAATAATAATTAAATTTTTAATTACAACAACTATATCTATATATATGTTATGTGGGATAATTTTATTTTTTTACAATAAATTTTAATTTTAAGTCCCCTAATCCTACATAATTATCGGAACCTTGTTTGCAATAAATATTCTTTCAGGGTCCACTATTGTGATTTTCCCATCATTATCATTCTTCATTCTTAAACAGCATGTTTTCATTGTAATCTTTCCCTTTTCTGATTTTATCTGGTTTTTAATTCTTCTTCTCTTTTCCTCTCAATTCATGCTTTCTTTTCCCTTTGTATATGAATCGTAATAATACTGACACAGACCCCAACAAAGATTAGTATCATCCTGTCTCATCTTGGCTCATATCTGCTTTTAGCTATTTGGCATTTCTCATTCTCTATTCTTCTGGCTTCTATCTTCCTTCCGGTCTCTCTCTCTCTCTCTCTCTCTCTCCTCCTCTTTTTGTTTATTCGTCATTTTCTGCATTTTTCACCTTCTTCCTCCTCTTCTCTTTCTGGTCGTGCATTTTTCACAAAGGGTACGATACAATCGATAAAGAAACGGGTCCTATGTGATTTGTGGTTGCAGAGCACATTTATCAGACATAACGCATCCTTCTCTGTCTTCAGATCGGGGGGAAAATGCGTTTTTCTTTCTATTCTCACAAATCAGTGTAAGAGCCATAGATTCGCTGCTTCTCCCTCCCTCTTCTTGTTGAATCTCCTGCTTCGAATTTCCCCACACCCAACATTTCTGTTATTTCCTTCCATAAATAAAGTGGGTTTTCTTTTCTTGTTCTGAAAAGTTTGTTTCTTGGGTTGGGTTTTTCTTTGTATCAGTGGCCTCTCAGAATAATCTGTGCGGGTGCTAAAGGGACGCGTTGCTTTTTGTCGAGAAAGCGACACCAGCGAAGGCATCTCGGCTCTTTCTGTCTTCCCAGCTTTGCCTTCTTGCCGACAACAAATTTTAGGGGTTCTTGAAAGTTGTGATTTTGGGGTTTGAGTAGAAATGATGGCTGTCAGAAACGTTGTGCTGGTGCTGCTTTGTATAACTGTTGTTGCTCCGATTGTTCTCTACACTGATCGTCTTGGTAACTTCAAGTCACCTTCCGGTGAGTTTACCTTAGATCTCTTGTGTCTCAGTGCCCATCCTGAACTTCCTAGACCCTTGCATTTGTCTAATTCGTGGTTTCTGTGTTCTTTTTAATGCGATGTGCAGCCAAGCAAGAGTTTATTGATGAAGTCACTGCTTTCGTAAGTGATATCTTTGGGAGAATTCGACTCTATGTTTTCAGTGAAGATATCTTTAAATTTCTGATTTTTTTAATTATTTTTTCCAGGCTCACAGTGCTGGAAACTCTGGCCATTTAAATCTGCTACCTCAGGTAAAGATTCACGTTTTCCTTTGAAAGATTTTTCCCCTTTCAACTGGTGAAAATTTTTCTGACATTTCTCATTTTGCTAGCAGGAAACTTCAACAATTCTTCAAGAACCAATTGGGGTTGTGTATACTGAGGGTTCAACCAACACCAAGACATCTCCCCGAGGTATATTGTTTGGGATTATTCTGTTGCTCATTAAGTTTATCCTTTCGTTTATTGTATATTTCTATCTAGTTTTTTTTTTTTTGTATTTATTTATTCTGATCTAGTTGTCTCGTTGACGTAGAATTGCAACTGGTTGAATCAAGAGAACATGTATCTGCCAGGGTTTTGTCAACTACAAATGAGGAGAAGCAAGGTAAAATGGAGAATCCCATAAGAAAGGTGACAGATGGAATCAATCAAGAAACTAAAGCCGATGCAGGTGGTGAAAATGTAAATGGTGAAGCTGCATTAGATGACAATGACATCAGAGCATCTCAAAACATTGTAAGTAATGATACATTATCCTTTTGATTTTTCTGTATTTGATATAACTTGTATCATATGCCACTGCCGCTGCATGTTTACAGGATATTATTCTGTATTTTACATCTCCGCTAGAAAAATTTTCAAGGCTAATGGTCTTGTTTAAACATTAGAAAAATTGATGTCTACAGGCAGGTTATGCATCGTCTTTCAAATATAGTATTCAATGTCTAGTATACTTTATTGGTTCTTTGTCTTGAGTTAGTCATATTTGGATTATTAGATCTGACTTTCTGCATTGGTAGCTCTGGCATAACTCATTTTTAATTGCAATTTGAAACTTTGTTCATTGTATTAATGTGGATGTTCTTTTGGTCAAGTTTTGTTGTTGAGCATGTTATCTGTGTTTTCTCTGCTAAAGAAGGTAAGTTTTAAACTAAAAGCTAAGCTAACTGATAAGTCTTATTTTTTACTCTGTTGGATCTCCACCAGTGGGATGCCCGCGTTCTTTTAATTCCTGCATCATATATCCATTGCCATAAAAAATAACATTACTCATCTTCTTGCCTACTCCCCTACCAGTTTAGCAGGGAAAGGGAACAAATAACTTGCTAATATGGTGTTGACATGTTACTTATCTACACTCGGGAATTCAATTTGCAGCCTTTCTGAGAAATTACCTTAATTAAGTGAAGGAAAATTAACTTCAATGCAGGATGTGATTTTCTTACTGCATTTGGTGCACCTTCCTTCAGGTTACTAAGCAAGAGGAACAGACAACTGGAACTTCTAGTGAAGTTTCCCGTAGAATGCACAGATCATCTGAAACCAATAAGCAGAATGATCAAGCACCACCAGATGCTCGGGTTAGGCAACTGAAAGATCAGCTTGTGAGGGCAAGGGTTTATCTTTCCCTTCCTTCAGTAAAAAACAATCCCCACCTTACTCGGGAACTTCGTTTACGGGTTAAGGAAGTTTCACGAACACTAGGGGATGCAAGCAAAGATTCTGACTTACCTAAGAAGTAAGAGATCCTTTATGAATGCTGCTATACCTCTCAGTACAATGTCCATTTATGCTATTTTTCAGTTTTTCATTTCCTCTTTCAAGTCTTTTCTGCAGATGCAAATGCATACATCATAAATAGTTTGTTTTTCATTTTATTAGGTTCTAAGTTATTTTTATTATATTAATGCAGTGCAAATGAGAGAATGAAGGCCATGGAGCAATCGTTGATGAAAGGAAGCCAAATTCAAGATGATTGTGCTGCTGTTGTGAAGAAACTTCGTGCTATGATCCACTCAACAGAGGAGCAGCTTCGTGCGCACAAGAAACAGGCCTTGTTCTTAACACAGTTGACAGCAAAAACACTACCTAAAGGTCTTCATTGTCTTCCACTGCGCCTTACGACTGAGTATTATTCATTGAATTCTTCTCAGCAAGAGTTTCCAAATCAAGAGAAGTTAGAAGACCCTGAACTATTCCATTATGCAATATTCTCGGATAATATATTGGCAACAGCTGTTGTTGTGAATTCAACTGTTTCCAATGCTAAGGTATTCATTTTTGCTTTGAAAAATTTCCTTGACATCTTTTCGGTTGCCAAAAAATTGTGAAAATCAAAAGAGAATGTATTAATGCTGCACAAGGATGTAAATGTTTTTAAACAATTGTTTCCATTTCAGTTTGGCTCAAGTTAGTGGAGAACTAAAAAGTTAAAATATTGCCACTTCTATTTCTGATTGGCATTATATTATGATAATGTTTATTTAAATATTTTTGCAGCACCCATCAAAACATGTTATCCACATTGTTACCGATAGGCTCAATTATGCAGCAATGAGAATGTGGTTTTTGGCAAATCCACCAGGCAGAGCAACCATTCAAGTGCAGAACATTGAAGAATTTACATGGTTGAATGCAAGTTACAGTCCTGTTCTGAAGCAGCTAGGTTCTCCGTCTATGATAGATTATTACTTTAGGGCTCATCGGGCTAGTTCTGATTCAAACCTCAAGTTTCGAAACCCAAAGTATTTATCTATCTTGAACCACCTCCGGTTCTACCTGCCTGAGATCTTTCCAAAGCTCAACAAAGTATTGTTTTTGGATGATGATATAGTTGTGCAGAAGGATCTGAGTGGTCTTTGGTCAATTGATTTGAAGGGCAATGTAAACGGTGCTGTAGAAACTTGTGGAGAAAGTTTCCATCGCTTTGATCGCTACCTCAATTTCTCTAATCCTCTTATTGCAAAGAATTTTGATCCTCGTGCTTGTGGATGGGCATATGGTATGAATGTTTTTGATTTAGCTGAATGGAAGAGGCAAAATATCACAGAGGTGTATCACAACTGGCAGAAACTGGTAAGTGGTAGTATTTTACATGTCTGAAAAGTATTCCTGATATGACTGATGGTCACATGAAAATTGGTAGCTCAAAACTTGTACAACAGTAACATAAATCTAATATCTTGTATTTCTTTGACAAAAATAATTCTAACTGTTATTCTGTAAATATGATCGTGATAATACATTTTTGGGTGCCGATGAGCTCATAACACATGAACATGATATTAGCCATAGCTCGATGCCCATGGAACATGGATGCACTACTGTTCTTCTCAACTTCCTGAGTCTGGTTTAGAAGTATCGATTTGAATCTTCTCAAGCAACGTGACAATCATACTAAAAGATTGATAGGCACAAGTTTTCTTTTTGTATATTTTGTTATTATTGAACTATTTCGTGTTTATCTCTTGCCTCAATTGAATGTCACATTACTTGGGGTGATCATAATCTGTGAAGTACACTTGTATGCATTTTGTAGAGCCTTATTATAAGAATGAACTTTGATATTAGTCCATCCAATATGTTCAAGAATGATACTCCTGACTTGTTGTCTTGTTAATTTTTAAAGCTGAATATCTGCTGATTTTTCTTGTCAAAACTGTCATGCAGAATCATGACAGACAACTGTGGAAGTTAGGAACACTTCCACCTGGTCTCATAACATTCTGGAACCGCACTTTCCCACTGAGCCGAGGCTGGCATATCTTGGGTCTTGGCTACAACCCCAATGTCAACCAAAGAGAGATTGAGAAGTCGGCTGTTATACATTACAATGGGAACATGAAACCGTGGCTGGAGATTAGCATTGCTAAGTACAGAAATTACTGGTCGAAGTATGTAAGCTATGATCATTTATACTTGAGAGAATGCAACATCAATCCATAGATGAGTCTCTTGGTACGTTTAAGTTTTCTTAGCATTAGCTTTGATGATGCAATTCCATCTCTGCAGGGTTACTATTTTTGTTTTTGAAGGCTCGAAATTCTTTTGTATACGCTTTCCTGTCTTTTTTGTTTGTTGATTTGGGCAGAGAAGAATCAGTTCCAAATTAGATAGTCAATTCGCAGTTCTTGATCCCATGCCTGCGGAGACAGACCATCAAACTGTATTTGTAAATGAAATGAAGAGGCTAGCTTTTTTTTTTTCCCGGTGGTTTCCTTTCATATTCTCATCTTTCTCCCCACTTGTTTAACCATTTTTGGTTGGACACAACTCAAGGTTCGTCTTCCAAAAATGGCGTGATTATGAATTTGCTGCTGTTAACTTCTTTTGTTTGCCTTCAGTATTGTAAAGGATGATTTCTTTTCAATTTCACTCTTTCAAGGTTTTTGCTCATCATATAGTCACACAATTACTACCCTTGCTTTTCTCATCCAAGATCTTTGATCTTGCATAACTTTTGACTGTATAATAAATCTAGAAAATGTAATTTGGTTGGACAATAGGGTATAGTTAGCTGCACCGACAAGTTAGAACTCACAGATGGTGGGTTCTACCTCTTAACTTTATCAGTACCAGCTGTTTCTGGCTTTTCCCTTGTTTTTGATGCTGAAGGATTTGAACTGGCCCCACTTGTGCCTTGTGAGGTATGAGCTACCACCTCACCACTCAGGTCATGGTTTGCTGGGTGAATATGGGAAGTTGAATTGTTTAAAGTAAGGATAAGAAAACAAGGCTAGATGGAGATAGACAGTGGAAGGTGGGAAAGGAAAAAGAAAAGCATGCTTGTAAATTGATTATGGTAGGAGTAAAGTTGGGAGATGTATCATTTCCCATAATAAAATGCTGTTGGAGGTGGGTCCCATGGACAGCTATTTGCCTGCAAGCACTTGCATGGATATGCGTATGATAATAACTAATAAAAATCCACCACAACCACAGGTAGGTTCCTGTGATCACGTGGTGGAACCCATTGTCCCTTTGTTATTATAATGTAGTACTCTGAAAAAATGAAAAAAGAAAAACAAAAACAACGGGCTGACAACGGTAGCAGGAGGATTCATTGTTGGTAAATAATTTCCGGTGCTACATGCAGGAGTTCATTGAGGGGTTTGATTTGGTTCTATGTAAGATTTTAAGTTAATTGTCCATCATATTTATTATTTTTCCCTCAAACTGTTCTTATAATCAGTTTCTTGTATACGTTGTTAATAATATTTCAATGTAAACAAATAAAAGGAGAGGTATTCTAGCAAAATTAGAACTCAATTTTTTTTTTAATACAACGGAAGTAAAACATTTAATAACTATTTTCCGAAACAACCTTTTTGATTGGTTTAGTTAGTTTTGGAGGGAAGAAATGAAGAGGAAGAAAGATGGAAGAATCAGTTGCAGGTTTTTTATAATATAATTAAATACTACGAGGTCAATTTAGTTATATTGATTTGTTAATAGGCATTCTAGTATTTAATTGTGTTGTAAGAAACTTAGACATAATTCTTCCATGAAAGAACCAAGAGTGGAAGAGACAAGTTTAATTTTTGAAAATGATGATGAATGCTTCATTAAATTTGGGCGATCAAAATCATCCTTAACCTTAAATTAGCTGTAGGAAGGGACAAGAGTTTAAGGAAATTGTTAAGGTTAATGATAATATTGATAATAAATGGGCAAACTCATACATATAAATATGTGGGGACACGTACAAAGCACGGGAGAGTGCGAGGGTGAGTTCGGCTTTTTGGGGTTGGGAGCTGTGTTCACATGGGGCGTTGATCATGATGAGTAAATGGGAGTGAGTCACAACTCACAAGACAAAAGCTAAAGTTCTTTATTTCCCCTATTGGCTCTTCTCATGGGCCGACACTAACGTTTACTTTTCCTCGCTGCTCACGGATCTTACCTCCTAATCATGCTCTTGCCCCGCGCCCTCTCTCCCTCTGTCACGTCATTTTTTAATCTTTGAAATTTTATTTGCCTCTTTCAACATTTTTGGAGAACTATTCGTTGCTTTCTTGGGCCCACAGTGAAAGAAGGCTCAGTGGCAAAAAAATGAGAAAAAAGGATAGTGACAGAAGACTCAGCCATATCATGAAAGAGGTATTGGCTTGTCAGGTGGGAATGCAAGTGGATACAGTAGAATGGACTAATTTTTTATAATATGGTAAATTAAGGTTTTAATTTTCTTAATCTACATTTAACACCCGACGGTGCATTGAACATAATTTCTTTCAATAGAAAGATACATGTGGGTAAAAAAGGAAAAAAAGAAAAGAAAAGAATTGCCATACCTTTAGTTCAATTACATGAATGTCATGCTAATTGTCAACTCATATATAAATACTCCTTCTTGACCACAATAAGAACATCTCTGAAACCTTATTTGATCCAAACTGAGGTATTAAATAATTTTTATATTTATTTTTTTAACTATACTCCTACTTCATTTATTATTTTTTTTGAGAAAATCATACATTAAAATTTTAATTACTATTATATAAATATTTAATGAGGGTATAAATAGATTGCCAAAAAAAAAGAGGGTATAAATAAAAAGATGTAGACATTTTTAAAAATTTAATGTTTTAATTAATATTATTTGTAAAACGTGAATTAATTAGTTATAACTTATATTGTAATTTGGATGGAATATCTCTTGAAATATATTTTGAGTTTGAAGGCAAGTTCTAACCCTAAGTTCATGAGACCCAACTTATCTAAATTCCTAATTGACAACATGTTACAACAAATTATGTAATCCTTGTTACAAATCTTTGGGTGTTTTATCCGGATTCATGCCTTCATGAATGAACATCTAGACGTCTCTACTCTTCATGAATCAACATTTCAACGATAACTAACTAGTTTGGTTGTACTCGTAGCCCATAGGCATAGGTTTTCCCCAAGGCAAATCACCATCCTTAATTCAAGATCTTGAACTTGCCTGTTGTCAATTTGAGGTGAATTTATCACACAGTTTGAACGAAGCAACATCTCTTACTAAACAACTAGAGTAGACCAAGGAAACAAAGGAATGAGTGCCTCACTTTTACTCTAATCTAACAAGGAACAAGATCTATACCCTCGATTTTTTTTGGTCTTCATAAAGGCAAAAATATCATTTCACATCTTTTAAAAAAAAATTTCCTAGATAAATCAAAAATTCGTTATATGGTTTCTTAAAAATCTATACCTCCCATTTGCTTCCAAAAGTTACACTTTAGTCCATTTTTAAATACCGTTAGGAATATTCTATTTAAGATTCTAAAAAACTTTATTATATCAATTAAAATGTGTGAAAAATTTAAAATTATTAATCTGCCCTCATAATCTAATATATCCTCTCTTCTCATATTTTAAAAAATAGCACCACAAAAGAAATACTAAATGAATAGCAAGTAGATGTTCCATATATATACACAATATTTGTGTTCCACAAAATTTAAAAAGCATGCTTGAAAGATAAAATAGTTGTAGGTTAAATATATTTTTAGTCATTTAATTGTACATAATGTTCATTTTAGTTCTTTAATTTCATGAAGTGTTTTTCAATTCTTTAACCCTAATATCATTTTTTCATTACAAACAATTTATATATCAAACTTTAAATATTAACAAAATATTTTTAAATGTTGACACATTAAGTTTAATTTTTTTAAATAATAATATTTTATATAAAATATAATTATTTGAAACTAACAATGTTTCATAGTTAAAGGGCTAAAAAAATACTTTATAAAATTAAAGATCAAATTAACACATTATATAAAATTAGAGAATTAAAATTATACTTTAACCATAGTTATATATCAATCGGTTTCGTAACATTAACCCCTCAACACTTTTTTATTTAAAAAACTAATCGTTTTGCATTTGCATTTCTATTGTTTCTTCATTTATAATTTTTTTTAATTTCTTTTAAACTTAATTTCAGATCAACACCGACACTTTGCATAGCCGACACTTCTAACCAAATGAATGAGATATGTGAAAGGGAAAGTGATGTGGTCGTTGGGATTAAGAGATTTGTTATAATAATTTTATCAAAAACTTCTTATAATTTAAGGTAAAAATCTTTGTCCTTATTAGCTCATGACAAATTAACAAGTATTTTAATTTAATATGACCTAACTTGTTTAGGTATTATTATTTTATTAAATATCTATCCATTAGAACCGTTAGTTGGATTGGATGCATTGGATGCTTCTCGCCACTTGTTGTTGGAGCCTTCGTACGTAATTGTGAAGAAAATGCGAAAAAGGGGAACCAAGTATTAAGCAACCAACCACTATATATATATGGTTAATAAAAACCGTGATGCATAAAATATATATATATATATATATATATTTTAAATTACTTCGCCTTATTTTTAGGATATTACATTTGAAGATGTTACATTATGATTTTAATACAACTAGCAATTTCGAATATAGTGTCATCAACTAATTTAGCTTTAACTTTAAGCATTATCTAGCCTAAATATAACGTACTTAAAATTGGGATGGTTATTAAATTTTTCACAAAAATAGTTGATGAATTAATGACTAAAACTGTAATCAAAATATTCTATTAAATTGATCAAAATATTAATTCAATTGGTTGTGGTGGAATCGACTTGATTTTTAATACTAGCTGAATAAATTTCCCTTAATGTTTTTTTTAAATGTTATGTCCAAAGTTTGTATCCTGGACTTTTTTTAAGGTTGATTCTTACAATCAACTATTATGGGTGAAGTTACACTAATTTTAATAACTGATTAAGTTAGATGAGTGATCAAGCCAATTTTTAGCACTTCGGTTTTATGACATTTTCTTCATGAAATTTATAAATGAAACAAAAAAAAAACAGTGAATTAGTGACACTAAATAATAAATTCAGGTGAGTTTTGTACATTACATATTATTTAATTAATAAGCGATCCTATTTTGCGCTAATGAAATGCTTGGTTCTACTCCTACGCTTCTCTTAGACTAATTCACACCATTATAACTTGAATGATGTAAATTTTGGAGTTCATAAAATTTTGATTTTTTATCTTAAAGATTGATTATCTAATAAAAATAAAAAATATTTTCATCGAGTACTTATTGTCTTTTTTTTAGTAAAGTACTTTCTGTCCTTAACATTAAAGCAATCCACATAAAAATAATAAAATTTATTTTTAAATCATAGTTAAACAACTTAGATTGTATTGAAAAACAATTATTCTTAAAATAACAATCCATATTAATAAATAAAAAAATTTTTGCAGAGAAAAAAGAACATAAAAAAGTTAGGAATATAGTTTTATTTTGAAAAATAACTCGAAAGTGCTCCCCAAAGAATGTAAATATAAAAAAAATCTCATAAAATCATAAAATTATTTTAAATTCTTGTATCCTTTATTGAAGTTGTCAAGGTTATTAATAGAATTTTTCAGTTGACAATTAAACATAAAGACTTCACAATAATCTAATATAACTGATAATTTCAGTAAAAGACGCAGGTTTTTATGTATTTAAATTACATTCCTGTATAAAATTTCATTGTAATTTTTTCTTTTCTTTTTGCCTTTTTCCCTTCCTCTGCTGAGCCTTAGAATTGAAGGATACAGTGGGGTTACTGTTGCGGACAGGCTGTCCTTGTCCCTTCTGGGACTTTTTGTTACTTGAAGAATCAACACAAGTCCAAATTAAATCAATAAACAATTAAGAAATTAAAAGAAAAAAATAAATAAATATGAAAGGCAAGTCTCTAGTAATCTATTAAGCCACATGACATTATTGACTAATTATGACCTCTCCGCCAATCCATCATCATTATTCATCTCCACCGTCTCTCTGTTTTTTTTTTTAATTTTAAATTCCCATATATAATATGTTACATAAGAAGGAATAATCTCAAACTCTTCTATATTCTTTATATATACGTGTGTGTATAACTCTTCCAGATTTAGAATTTTATGCCTAATATAAGAAAAATGAACAATTTAACTATTTATTATTCTGAACTTAATTTCCTTTTTAACATTTAGGAAAAGCACAAACGGGACAACTAAATGTCACCATGCTTCGATCTGGATATTAGCACCCAAATAAGCAGATGACTATCCATAATTTATGAATTGTTCAACACTTCAACTCCCTATAAATTTTATACTACATACACTATTTCAAAGATATTATTTGTTTATAATTTTTATTTTATGTATTAAAACTAATTAAAACTAATATCATAACTATCAGTCAATATAAAATATAAAATATTAAAAAATTGTATTGTTTAAAAATTAAAACTATGAACAATGTTATTCAAAATTATATAAAGTATAATTTATTTCTTAGATTTCATTTAATTTTTTTTACACATTACTCAACATTTGGATTTGAGAAATAAGTTATTCTTACATGAAATTTGATGTAAGTTATCTTATATTCTTATTCACAATTTATGATGGGAGAATTTTTGTATTAAATTTTAGACTCTCATCTTATTTTTGCTATTAATTTCATAACTAAAAAAAGTAAAAATAAATGCAATGATTCTTGACAAAATAAAAAAAATGATTTAAAAAATGTACGGCTAACAACCGTGTTTGGTTTGGAATAGAATATTGCAATCTCCAGACGTCACAAGTCCAGCTCGAGTCCTCTTCACTGCAGTCCCACCGCCCATCGTCTTCACCTTTATCTTGGTCTTAGAGAGAGAATCGAATCAACGACTGTTAGTATTGCGTTGCTTGCTGGTTCTAACACTTTACTAGCTTGCTCATTTAACTCTATTTCTCTCTCTCCCATTGCTTCCAACATCTCCTTCTGCTTCATCCTTCATCTTTCTCAGATCTGCTTGTGTTCCGCTGTCGGTGGGGGTATCTGGGGACTGACTATCTTCAAACCCAGCTTCCGAGATGAGTATGTATGGTAGGGATCCATGGGGTGGCCCGCTGGAGATTCATGCCACGGATTCCGCCACTGACGATGACCGGAGCCGGAATCTGCAGGATTTCGATAGGGCTGCGCTTTCTCGGCCACTGGATGAGACCCAGCAAAGCTGGCTTCTTGGACCTGGCGAGCAGAAGAAGAAGAAGTATGTGGATCTGGGATGTATCATTGTGAGCCGCAAGATATTCGTTTGGACGGTGGGGACGCTTCTTGTATCTGCCTTCTTGGCTGGCTTCATTACCCTTATCGTCAAGGTCGTTCCTCGCCACCACCATAAGGCTCCCCCTCCTGATAACTACACTTTAGCTCTTCACAAGGCTCTTATGTTCTTTAACGCCCAGAGATGTAAGCAATCTTTTTTCGGCTACCACTTTCTCTTTAATGATTCTCTTTAACGTTCCAATTAGACATCAGGCTCCAAATTGCACTTAGAAGGAATCATCGGGTTTGTATCTGTGGTTGTGTGACCCCCCCTCGCTTGCTTGCTCAAGTGCACGCTCACCAACAAACACCGTATTCATGCGTCTTTCATTTTTTTTTTTTTTGCTTTTGATAAGGTATTGAAGATCTTAAATGTTGCATCTTGACAATTCACAACTGATTCCTGAAGTATACTATGCATCTCTCTTTTTGACCATTTCTTATTAAGATAGCTTTTAGTCATGATAATTGAAGATCTTATATGTTGATTATTTATGATCTACGATTGAATCCTGCAGTCTTTGCTGCTCTTTCGTTTTTTTAGCCGTTTCTTCGCAAGACATATTTTATTGATCAAATTTGAAGATTTTAGATGTAGATAATGGATTATTTATGGTTGATTCCTTCTGTCGGTACATCTCTTTTCACGCACTGTTTTCACCATTTCTTGTTAGGACAACTAATTATTAAATTTGGAGATTTCACATGTTGCTGTATTTTGATTTTCCTTGTTTGATCACCCCATTTAAGAGCCTGATAGGAATTTTGGGGAGATCCACCTTGAATGCAAGATCTAAAGTCGATTCTATGTCTAATCACATGCATCCCCATCTATGATGATGTGCGACTTATTGTAAACAGAGCGTTATTGTGATTATTATCTTCAGAACATTGTTCGGGTTAAAAAATTGATATTTTAGTACTTATCTTCCTGCAGCTGGGAAACTCCCTAAGCATAACAATGTTTCATGGAGAGGTAACTCCTGTATGCAAGATGGCAAGTCTGATACATCAAGTTCAATAAAGGATCTGGTTGGTGGCTATTATGATGCTGGAGATGCTATTAAGTTCAACTTCCCTGCGTCTTTTGCCATGACCATGTTGAGCTGGAGTGTAATAGAATATAGTGCCAAATACGAAGCTGCTGGGGAGCTCAACCATATCAAGGATATAATTAAATGGGGGACAGATTACCTTCTGAAGACCTTCAATAATTCTGCTGATACCATAAGTACAATTGCCGCACAGGTAAGCATTACACTGTGGAAACATATTTGAATTGTTGTGAGGGGATTAAGCTGGGGCCTTTTTCATTATTTGGTTTGGGCCTGTTTGTTCATGCATGGACTCGGCATGAAGGCCTACACCCTCTCCAATCCCCCTCCAGGACGTAGAATTTCATGGGAAATGGCAAACAAAGGATTTCATCCCTGCATTATGTCTAAACTTATGCAGTTTTGGTGTTGCTTAAAATATATTTAAAAAAATTGACATCTAATTATGCATGCTTGAATAATGTGCTCAGTCATTTTACTAGAAATTGTTGACGAGTATATCTCATCGTTGGTTTTGTGACTTCTTTGACAGGTTGGAGCAGGGGATACTTCTGGAGGAAGTACAACTCCAAATGACCATTACTGCTGGATGCGTCCAGAGGACATTGATTATGAGAGACCTGTCTATGAATGTCACAGCTGCTCAGATCTTGCTGCAGAAATGGCTGCTGCTTTAGCTGCTGCATCCATTGTTTTCAAAGATAACAAAGCCTATTCACAGAAACTTGTTCATGGTGCGACGACACTATTTAAATTTTCAAGGGACCAAAGAGGAAGATATAGTGCAGGTGGTTCAGATGCTGCGTTATTCTACAATTCCTCCAGCTACTGGGATGAATTTGTATGGGGAGGGGCTTGGATGTATTATGCAACTGGAAATTCTTCCTACCTGAAGCTTGCTACTACTCCTGGTCTTGCTAAACATGCCGGTGCCTTTTGGGGAGGGCCTGATTATGGTGTTTTGAGCTGGGATAACAAGCTTGCTGGTGCTCAGGTAATTTTATGGATGTTCTAGTCTTCCTTGGGTTTCTGATTGATAGTTGAGTTCTACATCAGCTGGCTGGCAGCTGTATGCATCTTAATACTCTAGTCTGATATATTTTACTGCTTTGGTCTCATCTCTATTTCTTTTTCCTGGCCTACGGGCAAATTGCTTTGGTCATTATTTCCCTTCTTGAAATTCTCCTTTGCTTTTCATAATTTTATATGAATGTTATTATGTTGTAGAGTGTTGCCATGTTGACCGATTGCATTTAGCTGACTTTCTTGTGGATCTATGAGGAACTGTGTGCCATTACAATTTACTCAATATATATGAAGTTATCTGATAAAGCATCAGCAACACAAGAACCATTTTTCTTCCCATTGGATGTTCTCGGTGTTGCAATTCTTTAATTTGTAACTTAATTTTGACATCTTGTACTTAGGTTCTCCTGAGTCGCTTAAGATTGTTCTTGAGTCCTGGTTACCCATACGAAGAAATTCTAAGGACCTTCCACAATCAGACCAGTATAATTATGTGCTCTTATCTGCCGGTTTTCACAAGCTTTAACAGAACAAAAGGTAGGATCCTACTAGTTCAAACGGTTTCACTAGGCATTAGAGCTCTTGCTGCCTATATCGCATTCTAATGTGAGTAATTTGCACAGGGGGTTTAATTCAGTTGAACCATGGTAGACCTCAGCCTCTACAATACGTCGTCAATGCAGCCTTTTTGGCTACTCTATATAGTGATTATCTTGATGCTGCTGATACACCAGGGTGGTATTGTGGACCCAATTTCTTTTCTACTGACGTTCTTCGGGAATTTGCCAAGACCCAGGTGCTTAATATTCTGCTCTTTACACGATAAACCTATTCGGTTCTTGCTGTTCCTTAGTTTGTCTCTACAAGGTGTCTGCTAAATTTCAATTCATGACATTTTGTTTGGATTTTGTTTTCGGGCAGATTGACTACATCCTTGGGAAGAACCCTCGAAAAATGAGCTATATTGTAGGTTTCGGTAAACATTACCCAAAGCATCTTCACCACAGAGGTGCATCCATACCGAAGAACAAGGTTAAGTACAACTGCAAAGGAGGATGGAAATGGAGAGACTCGAAAAAACCAAACCCGAATACAATGGTTGGAGCCATGGTTGCTGGTCCTGACAGGCATGATGGTTTCCATGATGTTCGTACTAACTACAACTACACAGAGCCAACTCTTGCAGGAAATGCTGGCTTGGTAGCATCACTAGTGGCCTTGTCAGGTGACAAAAGCACAAGAATTGACAAAAACACCATTTTCTCCGCCGTTCCTCCTATGTTTCCAACACCGCCGCCGCCTCCAGCACCATGGAAACCATGAGGTGCTATGCTATTCATTATATTTTTGGGCTGAGCGTGTCCCAAATGACCTGAAGACGAAGAGGAAGACTGAAGGGCATGAACAGAATGGAAGTTATGGGACAAGATCTAGTAAATCTAGTTGGCTGGGCCAGTTCCAAGATTAGCATTAAGAGTTGAAAACTACTGTGCCTCTTTGTTTAAATTTTGTGACATACGTAGTGTATATGTAATAATAAACCTTGTATTCTTTAAAATTGAAAATTGAACAGCTTGGAATTGTTTGACTGTTTCATACTACTTGTTACAGATGATGACAAATGAGTTATAAGTTCTTAATTTAATGTTGGGTTCTTCTTTTCATGAAGATTGAAGCTGTTTCAAAACTTGTGCATGCAAAAACATATGCTCCTTCCACTAAAATAATATTATTGCTGTTTCAGATTTCTTTATTTTATTTCAAATTTTTTTTATTGTTTTAGAGACCCAGCATGTAATCAAATTTTTTCAGCTGTGCTCTTTTTTAATAATTATATGGGTGATTGTTTGAGTATTGCCAGGATGATGTACAATTATGTTTCTTTTTAATCATATCTTCACCTATCATTTTTATTTCTACCAAATTTATTTCTCTCTACTGCGGCATATTAAACTAGATTAAAGAATGGCATTATAGCCAATACTAGATGGTAATACTTTATTAATTTAATTTTTAATCTATGTGCCATAAACTTTAAACGACAATGAATAATTATAGATGCATGGAGCATGTAGGAACTAGAACCGACATTCCAGTGGTTATTACGTGGCAATTTTCATTTGACCACCTAAGTCTTTGCCATGACTTTCTACTTTCTAGTGTAGAAAAATAATACTCCCTCCAAACCACAATATAAAACATTTTTTAGAAATTTTATCTGGTTCAAAATATAGGATATTAAATAATTTTTATATTTATTTATTTTTTAACTATATCCCTACTTCATTTATTACTCTTTTTGAAAAAATCATGCATTGAAATATTTTTAAGAATTTAAGATTTCAACTAACATTATTTGTAAACCTAGAATTAGTTAATCATGACTTATATAGTGGTTCAAAGGGAGTATAATATATGGAGCAATCTATATAAATGTAAGAAAAAAACTCTTAATAAACTGTGGTATTTACCGTTTATAAATATTATTATTTATTTTTTCAAATTTCATGCAAATACCTATTATAGGTCTTATACAAGGCCTCACAAATAAAATGGAGTTTATAAGTTTAAAATTTTTCTTCTTAATATGTTATTCTTTTAAAATGAACTCATTTTTTGAATTTATTCTAGTAATATTAATGCTTTCATTGAAAAGCTGATATCACAAAAATAACAACCTAATATTTTGACTCGTAAGAGATCAAGTGAAGTGTTGTAAAATAAAATCATTAGAGAGGTCGGCTCTCAAATAAAGTGATATTATTATGAGTCTCACTCACATGTCAAGAAGCTTTACAAATAAAGTTTGAGTTTAAAGATCTGTTTTATAAGTTTTTTGAGATGAGCCCTACCGTGATATTTATATTCTACCAGTGCCACGCTACTCATGTAATTGTATTATGTAACTTAACATCCTACTCGTAAACATAACTTGTACTGCAAAGTTTGCTGTGCTTTTGATTGTTGCAAATGTCGGCGTCTTTATTACATATTCTGTTTGCAACATGATATTGGAGATTATGTTATGCCTTGCTTATAGTGAGCACCTAGCAACTAGCATCCAATTCCATTATAATTCCATGTCAACTTCATTTTGCTTTGGACTTGAGTATTCTTTGCGTTGCTTTGAATTGCAAGACGTAGAATCAAGCCACACTCTCCCCATCAATTTAAAGAAGACACGTTCACCAGATTGCAACTTCCTGAAATCACCAATACTCAGAGGCCAAAGTTTGAAATCAGCAACAAAAACGGAATTCGGATTCTTTTATATATATATATATATATATATTTTTTTTTTTTTTCCTGTCAAATTTTGAGGCCTAACTCCATATGGCCGAGGAACTGAACGAGTCTCTGGAATATACACCAACATGGATTGTTGCTGTCGTTTGCTCCATCATTGTTGCCATTTCGTTTTTGGCCGAGCGTGGTATTCATCATTTTGGGAAGGTAATTACGGTCTCTCACTTATCAACCTTCTAATCATCGTTCTACAGTTTCTATCGGACAGGGCATTGAAAGCTCAGAAATTGAATAAGCTAATTTTGCTTCCAGATTAGGGCATGCCACATTCAGCTAGAGTTCAGATGTGTTAATAGATAGCTTCAAAATAAAGAAAATGGCTTCGATGATCGGATAATGTGACAAGCTAATAAGTTAGAACGTGATAGTGGGAAGATGATAGGAGATAGAAGGTAGGTAGAAGAAAGAGAGAATACAGTTTATAGGAAAATCTCATCAGCTAACGTAAGTACAAGACTCGTTCTCAAGTCAGGCTGCAAGCTATGTATGTTAGAATACTAACCAATTGGTTAATTATCATAACTGAACATAACATAAGAGAACAACAACATTAACTACTTATCTTCCTATTTATATCTAGCGAACCGTTAAGGTTATGTTAGAAGCTAGGTATAGATCCATAATTGCAGTAGATCACAATTTGGAGTTGGTTAGTTGACCATCAACTGTTTTCCATTTAAAGACCAATTTATTTCTTCCTATTTTTTCTTTCATGTAACTTATTGGGTGCATCATGAGATGCTTATTGGCTTGGATTATGCAGTACTTGGAACACAAGGATAATCATGCACTATATCGGGCCTTGGAGAAACTGAAAGAAGGTAAATTTTTCCTGCCACAATCCACTCATGAACACATTCATTTAGTCAGTTAATACAGGTAAAAAGATACATAACATCTTTTAGTCAGTTAATTCGTTCAAGTTACCGAAATAAATTTGATCAGAAAAGGATGTTATGATGAACTTTAATGGGATAGGTTTGGATGGACTTTGCTTAATTACTCTGCGAATATTCATCATTTAGGTGCTATAATTAGTGTAACCTAGTTCCTAAAAGGAAAATTACCTGAATAAATATTTGCAGATCCAATAATTTCTCATATGTGAATAATGGCACTGAACATGATAATTATTCATTGTACCTTTAAATGGAATACACCAAACAATTAATTATTTCATAATACTGATCCATATTGAATCTTGCATAATATTCTTCTGTATATATTCTATCGAGATTATGTAGCCTAACTAGTGTGTCATTTTTCCCCCACCAGAATTGATGCTTTTGGGGTTCATTTCCCTTCTATTGACTGTCTTTCAAGGTGTAATAAGTCGCATTTGTATCCCACCTACCCTCGCAACAAATATGCTTCCATGCAAGAGGCATCATGAGTCCACAACAGGTTCAGAGCATGACTTAATTTACTACAACACTATAATCAACAGAAGAAGGCTATTTTCTGACGAAACTAGTTCAAGTTCAAAGCATTGTACCCAAAAGGTAATAGCAAAACGTACATGTGAATTCAGCTATTAACAGATTGAAGAACGGCTTACTGAATAGCAATGTATCCGATAAATAGTGAGAAGAAATTGAATAAGAAATTAAAGAAAGATCACTCTTATTAACAAAAGAAGTTGTTTTCCTTTCCTATTTTTTGCGCAAAAGAAGAAGAAAATTTTGATTTATAGCACATTTCTTTCTTTTTTCCTATGCAGGGGAAGGTTCCATTGTTATCATTAGAATCATTACACCATCTGCATATCTTCATCTTTGTATTGGCCGTTGTGCATGTGGTATTCTGTGTCACCACAATGCTTCTTGGAGGTGCAAAGGTGACGAATCGGTACTGAGATTGAATAATGATTTTGGAGAAAATTTAGTTAAAACTGCAAAAAAAAAAAAAAGACTAAGTTTTAATCATGAATAGATATGTAAGCGTGTTGGAGTGTTTTCATTAAAGAGCATGCATAACAAGCTTAACCTCTTCATCATTTTCTTGCTCTACCTATCTTCTTCATGCTAAGTTTATCTTAGATTTTTTTCCCGTGTTTGATGAAGTTTGAGAGTTGCATAGAAAAGGGAGTTTAGTAATTGCTAAAATTCCTGATTGTATATCGAAAAAGAAATTCAAATGTGCATTCAGACATGAAGAGAAGAATCATAGTTCCATGAATTGCCATAATGATAGTTATTGTTTACCTCGTGCAGATCCGCAGATGGAAGAAATGGGAGGAGGATGCTAGAGAAAAAACTAGAAGATCAGGTTCAGGAGGTTTGATGACTGTGAAACTCAACATTATCTATGTTAAAAAAAAAAAGAAGAAGAAGTGACTTGCATAAAATATTTTCTTATGTTCAGGCAATAATAGCCAAGCTCTACATCAGAGAGAGTTCTTAAAAGAACATGCTGAAGGATTTTGGAGAAAAGCAACTGTTGTATGTTGGCTGGTAAGAATCACTTTTCTCTATGTGGTTTCTCATAAGGAATACAGAATGGAATGGAATAGAATGCAAATTTTTTTTTTTTTTTTTGGATGAGTCATGTAACGTTTTCTTGGATATAAGGAATAATTGTTCTTGAATAATGGTAATAAAAGTATGATAGACATTGTTGTGGGCCTGAGAGGAAGAGGAGAAAAATGATTCTGTATTTCATCTGTGTATTCTGTAAATTTAATTCACATCTATATACAAATTAAGGACAGGATTTTCAATACTTTGATCTTCTATAATCAGCAATGAAGCCTTATCCCGATGGTATTATAATTACCCAAAAAGATGTCCCTATTCCCTAATAAGTACAATATCTCAAAAATTGTGTATCTCCATTTTTGTGCAATTTCATACTTAATAATCTAATGTGAGGAAAGAGGAGTAAAATGGAAAGCTTTTAATTTCCCGGAGGAAAATCTTACAAATGCATCTTTGGTTTTGGCTTGAAAATGGTTTTGTAATTAGAAAAAAAATGCTTACGGGAACAGTAAACTCTCGTAGCATTTGATTGAAATAAGCTGATTGAATGGCTTATAAATTGCAGCAAATATGAGAATGTAACATCAATAAGATGTCTGATGTTGATGACTTTTGGGTTGGGGTTCATTTTGGCAGAGAGCATTCTTCAAGCAATTTCATGGCTCCGTGACTGAGTCTGACTACGTTGCACTGCGACATGGATTTATAAAGGTTAAGATCCTATAATTTTATATATAATGCGGCATTTCTTCACTAATACTCTATTTCATTCTTAGACATGAAATGGACAGTAATTATGAGTAGTGAATTTTCTAGGAACACTTCCCACGAGATCCTGCCTATGATTTTCACAAGTACATGATGCGGGAACTAGAAAATGACTTCAAGAAAGTTGTAGGCATAAGGTGAGTAGACCTAGAAGAGAGCAGAGAGAGAAAGAAACGAAGTGGAACTCACTTATCACTGTGGGGCCGACCTCTCTCTTTACATTTTTATCCTCCAGTACTGGAGGAGATCCTCTCTCTTCAAACTTAAGAGAAATTTTTGGATAGTTCAAACCTTTAAAGTATAATAGTAGACCAAATTAATTGTAGATGGATTTGCAAACATATTGAACTTTTTAATGAGACCTACTTCTTCTAAGGTAATTAACTGTTCATCTATGATCAATTTGGTCTATGAAATTTTTGCTGACAGAAAAAGGTCTATATAGAAATTTTTGTGTTCAAGCAAGTTTATGCCGTCAAATTTAAGATCATCTATTCTTAATTGTTTATTCATCACAGCTGGTACCTGTGGCTCTTTGTTGTGCTCTTTTTGCTGCTAAATCTTGACGGTAATATTTGTTCCTGATTCAACAATATTCTTTGGATTGCTTTTAGTATAACGTTATCTTTAACTTGTTAATTTAAATGTCAGATAGTATCAAAATCTGATTTAACTTTATTAAATACAAACACATTCATTCTACAACAATATCTCACACAACGGTCGTTTTAGAACTCTAATCCACACGAAAATTTAACATGCAGGGTGGCACACTTATTTCTGGTTAGCCTTTTTACCATTGATAGTAAGTGACTGAGGCTATTCTCAATGGTTCTAATTTGTTAACGCTGCACATTAGTGAGTGATACATGTGAAACTTTTATTTTCATCTGCATTATGTTACAGCTTCTGCTTCTTGTGGGAGCAAAGTTAGAGTACATAATTGCTCGATTGGCTCAAGAATTCGGACAAAAGATTGAAGGGGAAGATCAAGAGGCTGCAAAAGTAGTGGGAGTCTTTAATGGAAAGAAAGAGCCTAGAGTGAAACCTTCAGATAAACACTTTTGGTTTAACAGCCCTGCTCTTGTGCTTGACTTGATTCACTTCATTTTGTTTCAGAACTCGTTTGAGATTGCATTTTTCTTCTGGATTTTGGTAAATACTTATATGATAAATCTCTCTTTCAATTCAAAATCACATATATTCATCTGCTGCTTCCATTTTTGCTCCCCCCCCCCCCTAAAAAGTTGTGACACCGACTGTATAATCTGATGTATCATCACATGTACCCAGGATATGACATATGTTGTCACATAATTAGGTGTAAGGATAAGATTTATGACATCTGGAAAAGATAAAATGAAGAAATTAGAGCCAATAAAAAGTTGAGGAATGAAAGTGAAACCTCGTGCAAAGTGAAATGACAATAAGTATATTTAGACTTTTAAAATATCTCTAAAACTGTTAATTCTCCCCTCTGCAGTTCACATATGGATTTGATTCATGCATTATGGAGAAGGTGGCCTTCATCGTTACGAGACTCGTTATGGGGTAATATTCTCCTTAGAAGTGATAAAAAGACAAGCACAGTATTCTACTTTTCAGTTCTAATTTCTGTTGTGAGAGTGAGTTATATCACCTTCTCACTGCATATCTTTGTCATGCAGTTTAATAGTTCAAGTGCTATGCAGTTACAGCACCCTTCCTCTTTATGCTTTAGTGACTCAGGTAACATAATCTAAAGACTCACCTTCCTATTTTTAGAAGGCATTTGATAAAATATTTTAGGTCCCGTTTAGTTGCTAGAAAGGAGGGAAAGAAATGGATTGAAAAAAATAAAGACAAAAATAAAATGATCAAAATGTGGAGGGAGAAAGATGAATCATATTTATAAGGGAGGAAGGTAATTTAGTTTATAAAATTGGAAGTCATGATTCATAAGATTTTTGGAGAGTATGATTTCCACATTTGTAAAGTATAATATTGAGTTTTATAATATTTACTATAAGGGGAAAGGATAATTTAGCTCATTTTTGTTTTGATTTTTTTTAATTCATTCCATTCTCATCCTTTATAACAACTAAACGGAATCTTAGATGTCAAGTATGTTTGGTACATTGGTATCCAAGGTACTCGGTGCCCTAAAAAATACTAAAAGATAGGAGACCAAATTGTGGGTAAGATACTATCTAACATCTAGGGGTATGGCTTTGCTATAATAACTTGAGTGAAAAAAATTGATGTTTCTTGAGTTTTATTGGAATTCAATTACATAAGTTTTGTCTTTATTGGAATTTTGTGAAAAAATGAAACTTTCCCCTCTATTTTCAAAATTTACTTAGACCTCCTTCAAATGAAAGAGTGAAGTATGCAAAACGTTTCTTTAGTTTTGTTGAGAATTACAAATACTTCCTTTCTATTTTTAAATGTACATAAACATCTCTTTGAAATAGAAGTGATGAGAAGCATGCACAATTTAAGCAAAATTAATGGGCATTTTATTGCAATTTTAACAAAGTTGGGGGTGGGTCATTTCACCATACTTTTTTTCAAATAAAGTTTGTGTAATTTTGGCAAAATTATGGGAAGATCAGCGTAATTTACTTGTTAAAGAATTATGTATGTTTTTGAAAATAGATATGAAATTTGTGTAATTTTATCAAAATCTAAGAAAGATTTTTGTTTCTTTTTCCGATATATTTGGAGGGTTTGAATTATCAATCTCTATCCATACTTTGTCTTATCCTTGTCGTGTCACTTAAGAAATCCTTGTATTTTACTCAAATAACTTTCAAATTTAAATACCAATAACAATGTGCCAAAAGTCTCTTGATTCCTACAAACTTTTGCAAGGAACAATGAGGTTGTGCATATGGGATTCCTACAAAGTTGAAATGTTGTTGATGAAATGTGTTGCGTACAGATGGGAAGCCACTACAAGTTCCATGATGACGTGGAATCAAATATTTTTCGTTGGCGTGAAGGAGCAAGAAGTGGAGTTGCTGGTGATTCCTCTGCTCCAGGGACGTCACAGTCCCACAAAATGGTCAAAGAACCAACACAACATGTTCAATTTGATGATCGATCACAAGAATCTTCAGTTGAGCTTGCTTGCATTGTTGAGGCCTCCTCAAAGGAACCTTATGCTGTCAATTAGGCAACTGAGGTTTGATATAGTGTGAATTAGAGCTCAATCTTCTCTTCTTATTTCTCTAAGATTGCCAAAAATTGAGGGGTGAGAAAAACCTATGGTCAAGGATTATTTTATTTTTTGTGGTGTGTGTATACAAGGATAAAACTATTGTAATATATGTGTACAAATTACAATTTTTTAAAATTATTTATCTGTGATAAATTTTGGAAAGATCAAATTCAAACCATTCTAATTAATAAATTACACATGTTAGTTTCAAAATTACTGATCACCACATTTTTAAAAAATTGAAAAACATATCAATTTTCTAAAATGATGTTCAAATAATTTCATGACATTTGATTTAATCCATCATACATATAAAAATCTGGAAATCAACGTGAATTTTGTAATTCAAGTCATAAACTTTGCAGAGTTGACTACAATTTTAAATGTTAAATTAAATTATATTTTTAACATTTAAAATTATTTTTGTAATGTTTAATTAATGTGGAATAAGCTTCTAGGACAAAAATAATACTGTAAACTAAAGTAGTGTTTGAATGGGTGTATTTGGGTTAGGAATTTGAATTTGAAATCTCACACTTGAAATTTATAAATTCTAAATCCTTTTTTTAGATGATATAAAAAATTTTAAAATATAATATTTAAATCCTTTCTTTGTATCTTAAATAAAATTTCAAATTTCAAATTCTATGTTTAAATTTAAAGGCAACTTGGATGATGTCAACGGTCTGGTCTTAGTCAAAGTTAGCAGTTTGGTCTTGACCAAAGGTGGTTGCCTAGTCTTAGTCTAATTTGGTTGTCCAAACTAGGATGACATCAGTGGCAGTCTGGTCCTTGTCAACATTAGCAGTTTGATCCAAAATAATTTATAAGGATTAGCACATGACAATTATAGTAGTTTGAGGGTTGCAGATTGGACTTGAATGACAACACTAGAATATTCCCTATTAACAGTGGCATTTGGTGTTGGACAACAAAAGTAGATAGAACAAAGACGTTGATCACAAGCTAGTCCCCAACAATGGTGATGGCGGCAAACAGATACAAGTTGGATGCGACGACCAGAACTAGACGGTGGTAGCAAACCGACACCAAATGAGAACATTGGATTGGCATCGAATGATGAAAGTGGCGGCAAAACAGCATCGGGCGAAGGAGGAGGGTGGTCCTGGTCATTGTTAGCAATTCGATCCCAATCATCACCGGCAGTTCAATCTCAATGGGCACCTACAGTCCGGTTCTAATCAAAGTTGGCCATCTGATCTCAATTAAATTCGATCATCCTGAAGGTCTAATCCTAATTTGCCCTAATCACTTGGTCCTGCTCGAAGCTGACGGTTTGATCTCGGTCAACACTAGCCTTTCGGTCTCAATCCACCTTGGCCGTTTGGTCTTGGTTAAAGTTGACTGTCTGGTCTCAGTCCGCCCCAGCTATCCAGGCTTGGTCAAAGCCGATAGTCTTGTTTCAATCGGCACCAATGGTCCAATCCCAATTGGCACCAGCGATCCAGTCTCGACCGTTGTTGGCTACCAAGTCCTAGTCGATTAGAGTCAAGAAGGTAGCAAAGTTGATGAACAAACATGAAGGAGGAGAGAAGCTTCCATTGAAATTTGAAATAATAGGGATTTAGAAAAGATTTGAAATTACAAAGAGATTGGAGTAGGATTTGAATTTGGGTCAAATTTAAATTCATACATTTTTAATTACCTAAATAATGGATTTGGCTCAAATTTAAATTCACATGCATCCAAACATAACATATATGATTTCCATAAGGAAATTTTTAGAAATTTTCATCATTTCTTGTAGGAAGAATAGTTTACTTTGAATTTTGGTGAACCATTCATATATATATATATATATATATATATATATAGTGGCGAAGCCAAGTTCCAAGAGATGCACCCCTTCACATGAAGAAAATTATATATGTAGTATAGGAAATTTACAACCTTGCACTTTTTATTTTTAGTATTTTGAACCCTCTAAACTCAAAAAAAAAAAAAAATTGAATCCAAATTTAAACTCTATATCAACATTCTCAACATATTTTTAGCCAAAAAATCTCAATATATTTTCTTCCAAATAAAAATATGCATAATTTTACTTACGCTATTATATTTTTTGCCTAATGTAATTATTTTTTAAAAAAATTATAATATTATTTTTTAATTATTAATTTTAAAATTATATTGTCTTGTACCATCTGATTCACAGTCCTAGTTTTACCATTGTATATATGTATTGGTGAACAGCTTTAATATATTATCCATAATTTTTTTTTAAAATGGAAAAAAGCAATATGAAAGAAAAATATCTCCTAGTTCAAACTCACCTCAATATCTTCTCTTTCTCAGTTCCTACTTATTATACTTACGATAGGGTGGAAAGGAAACGAAGAGATGAAAGAGAAATAGAACAAGTCTGCACAATGTTAAACGAAACTCTTAAATGTATTTTTATTCATACTCAGAGTGTCATGGCTCAAGAGAGTTAGAGGAGAAAGTAAAAGCTGCTTAGGCTTCTCAAGAGAAAGCTTCTCCATAAAAGAACTAGCATTCCCTGAAGCAGAAACAGCCTCTGCCTCTGCCTTCCCACTGATCTTTTCCTCTCTCACTTTATTTAGAATTCTTCTTACATAAACAGCAAAAAAAACAGTTATAACTATTGCAACTACGCAAGTAACAATGTTGTATACTATTGCTCCTGTGATTTTATGATCCTTGCTATACTGTGCATCTGCCAAGGTCCTCATTAATCGCCCACTGCACAGAATCAACCACTGTTAATTAATTAACAAATAAATGCAGATTAAGGTTTAGAAAATCTACAGAAAGTAATATGTTTTTAAGCTCAGTTTTTATATTCAAAAGGAAATTTCTCTGATCTCTGATCCTCCCAGAACTAATAAAATAATCAAAGAGAAGCCCCTGAAAAACTCCTAATGATCAGATTTGTTCATATCAGGTGAAAGAATAGGTGAATAAGGCAATGGTCTGGCAGTTCAAAACAGTTCTCTATATTTGCAATAGAGACTGCAAAATTATAACATAACTTCTGATCAAGGGAAATCTTTTGGCAGCATACGGATAACTACTAAAAAAGCAAAAGATATCATTTAAAAAAATTAATTTAAAAGAAAATAAAAAAAATAACAAAGCATAAATTTTACACCGACCTGGCTTACTTAAGGCATGCAAACATTTCATGCCTAATTCACCTGTCAAATGCTTTTAGATTTATTTAAATTTGGTTTGTTCTGACTATCTCCTCAATTTAAAATATGTACAAAATATATATTTTCTTTTTTCCATGCAGTAACGTGTGTGTGTGTGTGTGTGTTTGAGGGAGTGGAGATCAACAAACCTGCATATGTAGTTGAAACCGTCTGGTATCATTCCGGCTATTGATCCACACAAATAGGGCCAAAACCTTATGTTTGTCAATGATACTGCATAATTGAATATGGTATAGGGAAAAGGAGAAATCCTGACCAAAGCAACCATTAGGCACTGCTGGGACCAGCTTCCTTCAGTGGCAAGCCTAATCATTGCTGCAATCCGAGGCCACCTCTTTAACCATTGCTAGAGTCAAGAAACAAATCAAGTACATAGACAGAAAGCTGTGAACCCTAGTTTTATAAATTTACAGCAAAAAACTTGAGGTATAATTATATATAAGATAAAAGCTTACATGAGTCAGTTCACGATACAGTAGACCAGTTAGGTAAGTGAGGATCATGCCAATGGTTGTTCCACCCATTATTATAACAAAGCCAATGCCATAATCAAAACTCATCCCAGCCAACCACATAGAAGGGCCTGAAGGGATTAGGAATAACGGGAATAAAGCTAGAGAAGCAACCAGTTCAATGGCAAGAACTGGACTACTAAAGGCAGTAACTTGCCAGTTCATGAATGGATAAAGAACCTAGAATGAAAAAAAATATAAAACATCAGACTATGACTAAGGTCAAAAGTTATGAGCAGTTGTCAAGATGTTTGATATCACTGTCAAAATAAAATAGGACATGGAATATTGCTCATAGTTCAACATGTTTGAAAAGCCTTCTCATATCACGTTTTAATGAGACTTTCTCATAGCAAACACTTATGGACTTTATACAAGTTGTCTCTTATGAATAAATCAAATTTTCCAGTTGTTTTGCACGGAGCATAGCTCACTCCATAATTGATGCCAAACTGCAAATCTGCACAGTATTTGGAGAATAGATTACTGCAAAAGTCAAATAGAAAAATTATTGTTGGCATTATTTTAGTCTTATGATTTTTCTTGACCAATCATTTTAGTCCTATTATTAAGATTTTGCTGATGGGAGTCAATCTTCAGAAAACAAAAGGTCTCATTATCTACAGTTTTTCAGACTCCCTGCTTGACAGGAATGGGTATTAAATTTGTTAATTATCTCCACAAATTTGATGATACTCAGTCTCAAGGACCTTACAACATTCGCAAACTTGGAAAAGGGAAAAATAAAAAGGTTAAAAAGCGGGACTTCCAGCAAACAAGTCCATGTTATTTCTGTCTTGAACAACGAACTGATTAGATATGAAGACACACATAGCAAGATTTCCATCATTCTAAACTCTAAAGTACTGTGTTTCAGTTTCTCCTAATCAGAAATGAAGTAAATAAAAAAAATAAATTTGCCAGCAAAAGAGGTTAAAACATGGCAGATAGTGCAAATATATGGAATTATAAATCATGTGAAGTCATAGAACAGAAGTATAGGTTTTTAAACTAGTCAGTAATACTAATTAAATAATTTAATGTGAAGCTGGGGAAAAATCTAAATCTTAGAATCTGCATTTTTCTAATATATCAGATTAGTTTGTGCTCTAGAATAAGAGTAAAGAAGATTAAGTACTTTCTCAGAAAAAAATGGCACGCCCCACTTGACTAGAACGAAAACAAGTATAATGATTACAAAGCACCATAGTAACACTATCAACCACCACCAGAAAGTTCTAATTGTTGGTTGTTCTTGATGCTGCAACATTTCAGCTTCAGTGGCCTTTGGATCATCACATTTGGCCAACCCAACATATTCACTTTTCTCCCTCAGGTCACTACCTGCGTTTTCATGCTTTCCAAACTCGTCTGATGGTTCCGGTGTCATCCTTGAGAAGCCAGAATGCTATGAAGCTAAACCAAAAAAAGACAAAGAAAAAAGAAAAAGGACATAAGCATTAAGCGGGACCTCTAAATCAAGAGCTCAAAGTATTTATCTGATATTAAATGCTCAAAGTAGTAAGAACAACATCAATCACTTACTGATGTTTACTCTCTCAAATTAAGCAAAAGGTTATATTTCTCGAAATGTTCTTCTCCTACTATTTACTTCAGACGCATTTATCACTCGACGCTTCTGTTTTAAATCGCAACCTCAAAGAAAAAATCCCCAGAATGTGAGGTTTTCTAGATGAGGTGAACTAGGCTCACCCTCGAACATTTAATCCACATTAAATCTGTTATGTGGGATTAGTTACATTAGTAAGAATTAGTGAATGTTGTTAAGAAATACCAGGATTAAGAATTTTGTTAGAGGACTTTTGCATCTCTTATAAACAAGAAGATAAATAAATGTATGATGAATTGAACTGAACACAAATATTAGTTTTTCTTTGTTGTTCAATTCAATCCACCGTACGTCTATCTTATACCCTTATATGTAACTTACTAGGGATGCAAATTTATTGCTAATTCCTAATACTGTTATTGCTTAACAACATTTATTAATAATTAACTATTAACTAACATTAATTATTTTAGCCAATCCTACAGAACAACCACACAAATTAAAGGAGGAGCGTAGCTCTCCCTACTCCTAAGCCAAAACTAACCCCTGTCTTCAAACAGAAGAAGAACAGAGACCTTTGCCGCCTTTTTTTTCAAGAAAAACGAAGCAAAATCTGCACAACAGAAAAACAAAACAAAAAGTTAGTTAAAAAAAAAAATACAACGAAGCGGTAGATCAAGCAGCAGAGTAAAGCCGATTAAAACGTACGAATAAATCACATATACGATGCACGTAAAAAAATTGCTGCTCTGCTGTCCCTCCAAAAAATCTGGAATGCCCAGGCGGGACTGCCGTCGGAGGAAGTCGCCGACAGTCTCCGCCGGCCGCTGCAGGCAACCGAGCTGGTGGATGTTTGTAGGCTGTGCGGTGCGAATCTGAGAAGGATGATAATGCTCCGCTCATTTTCGCGCCCCTCGCGCCTACGCAGTAACAAATAGGACCTTTTTTAAAACAAATAATGAAGATTAATAAACTAAATTTTAAGTTTATTAAAATATGACATAATTGGTATTTAAATCCTCAAAAAATAATATATATTTTATTGTAATTCAGATTAATAGTTTAAATAATTAATTTTACCATTTAATTTTTTTAAAGACATTATATTTTTTATCAATCAATTGATGAACTAAAGGAAACATGTGTTATTAGAATATAAAAAAGTTAATTTTTGAATAGATACTTAGATATACTCTCTACGTTAAAAAATATAAAATATTTTTAATTAAATTTTATTCTAATAAAATATTTATTTATTTTAAAATTAATATAATTTTTTATATTCATCTTATTTAATATGGTATTTTATTTTAAAATAAATATAAAATAATTTATTTATTACGAATACTTTTAAAAAAATACAATAATTATATTTAAAGTTTTAAAAATATTTTATATTTTTTAATATTTAATCTTACATTTAAGAATGAAGAGAACGAAGAGAGTATGTTATTTTTTCTAGCAAATTGTATCTAATTTAAACTCCATTCATTGAAGCATGATGCAGTTTCATTTTTTATAAATATAATGATGTGTGTGTGTATATATAATGATGTTATGTGAATCTCATGCAGTCACATTGTTTCGTTTCATGTCATAGTCTCTCATAGTCATAACATATAAATGCAAAATTCAATTAAACGGTATATTATAGTTTTCTTGTTGGTTCACTTTATGATGATGTATGCTTTTATGAACGACTGTACTTTTTTTTGGGGGGGGGGGGGCTAGAAAAAAATATGCGTAACTATATCTAGAATTACTTCCACTTTTTATTTTCTTATGTGTGTGTCTTAAAATACATGTGTATATGTGTGTGTTTATTTCAAAACAATAATTTATATAATTTCTTTTACTTATAAGTATTAGTTATCAACCTAATAATTCTAATGCATTTTTATTGTCTTCACAAAATCTTAATCTGTTAATCTCTTTATATAGGTTGGTCACCGTTGTTGTTGTTGTTAGCGTTAGCGAACAATATATAGTAAGGTGATATCTATCCACAATCCGATCGTCAAAAAAAATTTTAAAAAATAAATCTATGATTCGTAATTTTTATTTTAAATATTTCCAAGAGTAATTTTATTCCGTTATTAATTACTCAACATGAACTGCAAAATGAGAAATGACTGATCATGCACTCCAATGTCCATCACGCGAATGCCATTTAAGGAATTGCGTGCTAATGCAAGCAACAAAAAAGGCAGAGCCTGAGAATTCATGGAGAAGAACTGGAAGATCAGGAGATTCATCGGAACTGCCTCTTGCTCTAAAGGAATCGATTCGAGCATTGCCCGTGTTGGTGTTGAGGGTGGCAACTTCAGGTGAAGCTTCGAGCATCGTCCATGGGCGACGCAATTTCTCCTGCCGGTCAGGTCCAACAAGCTGCCGGCGTGGGAATTCTTCTTCAGATTGTGATGTTGGTTTTATCTTTCGTGCTCGGCCACATTCTTCGTCGCAAGAAGATATACGTCATTCCTGAAGCCAGTGCTTCTCTTCTCATAGGTTGATCGTTGTTAGTTGCCTTGTTTCATTCATTTATTTATTTTTGACTTGCTTGATTTGATACTTATTTTGTTTTTCTTTTTTATCTGCTGTCGTAGGATTAATCGTTGGAGGGGTAGCTAACATTTTTAAGATAGAGAATGGCATTATCAGGTTATTGCAATGTTAATCACTGTCCCTTATACTACTTTGATGAATACGACTCTGTTGTGTTCTTCTTTCATTTTCTCAGCTGACGTTTTGAATTTTGATTGTCTTCTGCAGGGCGTGGTTCAATTTTCATGAGGAATTTTTTTTCTTGTTCCTGTTACCTCCCATAATATTATATCCTCCCTAAAGTTTGTCGTTTGTTAGTATTATTCTTATGCTTGTTATTGTTATTATTTCTAACGTTTCCATTTATCTAATTTCTAATTAGTGATACCTGCCTGTCTTTATATCCATAATGTTTTTTCTTGACTGTCAAGGTTACTCAGTCTGGGTTCAGTCTCTCACCTGTAAGCCTCTCCATTATAGATTTGTTTTTGGACGTGTGTTCCTTCAAACAAGTTTTTTGACTCCTTGGCTGTGTTCTTTACAGAAACCTTTCTTCTTAAATTTTGGAGCTATTGTGACATTTGCTATATTCGGTACTTTTATAGCTTCAATAGTAACGGGTATTCTAGTGTAAGTTATTTTTTCCCCATATATAGTTATTTCCCCATTTAGTACAGCTATTTCACTTTGTGTTTTATTAGGATTTATTAATTCCATGCTACTACCTTTTTCCTAACTGCCGCAGTTATCTTGGCGGACAGATCCACCTCATGTATAAACTACCATTTGTTGAGTGCATAATGTTTGGTGCTCTTATATCAGCAACTGATCCTGTTACTGTTTTGTCCATATTTCAGGTGATTTCCTGCTTTCTTTTGCATTTTTTCCATTTATAGGCTACTACTTATATACATTTTCTGACTTTTGGCTAGTGGTCTTGAAACTTATAAGCATGTCCAATTCAAAAGCCATGGAGCACCTATTAGAGTTCTTAGGGACCTAGTATATTATGTCATTATGAATTTGATGAAGGGGGCTAGTCTTAATATGTGATTGATATGTTTATGTATGCCATAAGAATCACCATGGCCTCCTTGCTAGCCTAGCCAGTCCCTTTCCTAATGTTCCCCACAACGAGCATCAACGTTAATTTATGCGATGTGATATTTAATACATATATAGTTTACGCTTTCCTAGTTTCTGCTCAGCTAGTGTGTCTATATCCAATTTTGTTGTCCTTTCCAACTCTCAGTACGTACATGTAATACTGATGTAACATTTTTGCTTTACTTTGCTCCTAAGATGTACTTTTTCCTGCCATATTCGTAGGAGCTTGGCACAGATGTTAACCTATATGCCTTGGTTTTTGGAGAATCTGTTTTAAATGATGCAGTAAGTCTGTAAAACTACTGTGCTTTTTTTGTTTCTTATTGTCTAGTTCATCTGTCATTTAAGATGAATGGTGTTAACTGGCTTATCTTTTATTTTTTGTCCCCTTTCTATTTGTCCTTTCTTTACTCTAACCTCCCTCATGCCTTATTTTGTAGATGGCAATTTCCTTGTACAGGTATCTGAACTTCTAATTATGCTTATCCAAGGTAATTCAAATATCATTAAGAGTACAACAATAAATCAATAACTTACTGTGCAGGACGGCGTCATTGGTTAAAACTCACCCATCTGGACCAAATTTCTTCATGATAGTTGTTAGTTTTGTGGAATTCTTTGTTGGCTCAATGTCTGCAGGTCAGTCTTTACATATTTCATTTAATTTTCTCTTTATGCTGTGTTAGTTTAATTTTAGTTTATTAAATTTCAGTCACGTTGTGTATTCTAGCTTTCATTTTGGTCCTTTTCTTCTACCAAGTTGATATCACTCTTATTGGGGCAGAACAGTAATGAAAATGAGAGACGGAACCTTTTTGAATACATTATTTGGTTTTGATGAACTTATATACTGTGTTGTATTGTATGTGAATTATTACATTATAATTTTTGCCAGCTGAAGGAATTCTTATTTCTAATTGCCCTCAATTGCTGTTCTTTTGGTGGCTATACAGGCGTTGGAGTTGGTTTTATATCTGCTTTGATATCCTTTTAAATTCACTTGTCCTAATAGAGAATTTTGAGATTTGAAAGTCAAAATATATCGTGGAACCTTAACTATCAGAACCTATTTAAGCATGCAGGGCTGGATATTTACAAGTAAGCATTTGGTATCAATTCATAATCTTTGGTGATTCTTTTATTAAAAAATTCATGTTTCGCACCACAATTCAAAAATATTGACACAAATATTTTCTGGTTTTTTCTAGTCTTCAGAACTTGGAGAGCTGTCTTTTTGTTCTCTTCCCTTATTTCTCGTAAGAAATCTGTTTGAACCATTTCTTCAATTTGTCTCAAATCTCTTGTATTCTTTTCTATATAAATGGTGGGAAAGAGGGTAAATCTATTTTCTTCTTCAGGTACATGCTTGCAGAAGGTCTTGGCATGTCTGGGATCGTATCAATATTGTTCGCGGGAATAGTAAGTGCAAATTATATTACACCTCTCTTATTTTGCTATTTATGCTTTAAAATATCATTATCAGGATCTTGGTGCTCTATTTTAGCTCATGAAGCGCTACACATATTCAAATTTGTCCACAAGTTCTCAAAGATTCGTCTCCTCATTTTTTGAGTTAATATCATCTTTGGCAGAGACATTTGTGTAAGGAAAATTCTATCTGCTATATTTTATTCAAGCAATCAAATACTTCCGTCTAAAGGATGCATTTACACCTTTATGTCTTATGATCTGTAGATTTATATACATGGGCCTTAATATTGCAATGGAGAAACATCGTTGGTCACATGTTGGATTTATATTCTTCTCAATTGTATCCTTTTTTTCCCCATGTATTCTTGTACCAGAAATTTGAATTGTTGTCAGCAAGACATTTGAAATTCTTTGATGTTTTCGGAAATAAACATGCACATGGCATTTATAGATGCAAGGGGTTACTCTTGGGGACATTATTACAAATAGGGTAGGAGGGGACTAATGAAACTACTTCTAACAGTTGTGATGCGTACTACTTCACTTCCTCAACTAGCTCGGTAAAAAATTTCAGATATTCATTGGGGTTGCAAGGTATTTGTGCTCTTATTGCTTATAGCATAGATGTTCAATCATTCTTACATTTGTTTATCTCAAGCTTTTCATCCAGTTTCATTATGATACCTATCTGCGCGACTCTTTTCTGCTTCACTTTCATTTGTTCGAATAGTTTTTTTTTTTTTTTTTACTATATTAAACTTAGTCACTTCATGTAGGGCAGCAAATGTCTTTTCCTGTGTCTTTCTGGTCAACCTCGTCAGACCTGCTCATCAAAAGATTCCTCCAAATCATCAGAAAGCACTTTGGTATAGTGGTAAGGACGGCGTGAAATACTTGTATATGTATGGACTTCGATTGATTCTATCAACAAAGGAAACTGCTCCTCGGTTGTAGCTATCTTTTATTGCTTTGGCTAAATTTCGTTTGTTATGCTGTGTGAGTAGGACTTCGAGGGGCAATGGCCTTTGCCCTTGCTCTGCAATCATTTCATGATCTTCCAGAAGGACATGGTCAGACCATATTTACTGCTACTACTGCAATAATTATTTTGACGGTAGGAATACTCATTTTGCTCTGGTTTGACCTAACATTTAACATTTAAAAAAAAAAAACAAAGTTCCATGGACAATAATATTTGGCTGCATTGGGCATACTTAAAATCTTGAATGTTATTGTCATTCTTAATATATTGCATTTCCATGTGTATCTGTTCACATTATTGTCTCTCAAGCACATATGTATCTGTTCATTCTTAATAGTTGGCTCCATTTTTGCGGTTGTTTCGTGGATAATTGCAATTGCTGCTAAAGATAAACTTTTGTTTGATTTAGTGATAACTATGCCAATGTACAATTTTTTGCTGGACAGTAATTTCAAAAAGTTGGTGTTAAACTTACTGAAAGAAATCCTAGTTATTTCCTAGACTAAAAGGTGACGCTGGCACATTTTCTTGTCCCAGTTATAAGCAAGCCGCCAATTTTTTCTTTTCCCCTGCTCTTTTAATCTCCACTGGTAGTAGTATTTCAACATTAAAATTTATATTCGTTTTAGGTGTTATTGACTGGTGGATCAACGAGTTACATGCTGGGAGCTCTGGAAGTTGTAGGTGATAGCAATAAAATTGATAGTCCTCTGGGCTCTGAAGAAACCGTGGTAAGTTTTTCAACTTATAATTTAATTCGCCGTGAATTGACTTTCAAAAGGTTCTTGCATATTCTTTATGATCAAGCAACTACTATCAGTAATACTTGTTATACTCAATATGTATATGTTATATATTATGAAGTGTTCTAATCAAAATTGGCACTGTTATGGCTTATCTTTTGTTTTCAGAAAAATTTTTGTAAGTTTTTATAGTAAAAGGAACGACCATGTAATTAAGTCATCTCTTAAAGATAAGAGTATTTTACAGATCCAGTGTTTGATAAAATTGTTTTTTTTGCTCGACAGCATCATTTATCCTTTTGGAGGATCTTGTTTAACTTAATGAATTGGCTTTTATATGTTTATTTTTTTATAGGAAATTTTTATATATTTATTTCTGTTTTCTCATTTAACTAATTTTTGCTTTCTTCCTCAAGAATTTTAAAGACAACAATAGTGATCCTGTTTCTTCTCACAATGAAGAGTCATCATCAGGGAACAAATTCAGGGTAAGGCTAGAAGGACTCCGCAACAGGTATCATTCACATCCTGAGTTTAGACTCCAGATAGTGAAAATATGGTAAAATGTATTTTTTTTTTCCCATAATGATCTTGCTTCTTTCATTTTCTCTTTGCTTCTTTGTAGTGCCGTATCTCTTACAGCTTTAGATAGAAACTACCTCACTCCATTCTTTACAAGTCAAAGCGAAGACGAAGCAGATGGTGAGTTTAACTTAGCATTGACCTCTATTTAAGGTTTTGTCAACTTCTCACTAAAGCGATGACATTGATTGGTTTGGGTTATTTCTTGGATGTCGCTCTAAGGGTAAGTCTCAAAAATATGAACTGCCTGATTTTGGAATATAATAAACATGGTCGTACTTCTCTCTCACACACATTAGTTCGAAACTCTTTCTTCTTAAAAATTTCAAGCGGCATATCTGTATGATGCGGTACACAATTTTCCCTAAATACTCATTATTCCATAGGACCATTACAGGTGAGTTCAGCCCTATATACAACACCAGGACCCTCTCAACGGCTATTAACTACCATAATAGATTCATATAACTACCCTTAACACCCTACTACAAGCAACTCTTCCTACTACTAATGCAATATTGGTTATCATACATCTGCCTGGTAACAAGATGTCTTCGGCTTCCATCTCGTTTTTATGTGTTGAATTACATCTCTGTAACTTTGTAACCTCTGAAGTCTAGTCCTGAACCGAGGCTTGTGAACCTACAGTGTCTCTGGAAAGGAAGGGAGCAGATAATTTCTTTTTTCTTTTTCTTTTTTTTTGAAGGAAAAAAAAACACGTAGCTTCTGATTAAGTTATAGTCCCTTGTTAATTTTTGAGAGTTGTGTTTCCAGTATCACTTTTCAACAACGATCTTGATGCATTATATTCAAGAAGCTTGGAGACTGAATGCTTTGGCGTTGTGCAAAGTAAATTTATTGACATAATTTTAACCCAACCTGCTGTTGATCTTAACAGCCAAACTTTTGACTGCTAGTAGAAGTCACAGAGCAGGCTTCCATGACGATAACCATGATTCTCCATGAACTCGCTATCATTGTAAAAGGTATGCTTGAAAGCTAAATCAATTCATAGACATGGTGGAGAATACAGGTATCTGGTATCCTTCCTTCATTCCAAGTTACAATTGCTAATCTTGCGTCAAGTAGGTAATGTACTGTGTGGCCCATGTGGCTGTGGGTTGGACACTTAGTAAGAGATATTACCAGCATGAGTAAGATTCCATGAAAGCTGATACATGTCTTGCCTCTGTTCTGCCAAGAAAGAAATGGAAATGTAGAAAGAGGATCATAATCCTACTTTGTAATGTCTGTTGATCTGGATCCTTTGCATTTTCCCCCAAGTGACAATGAATTAATTTTTAGTTGAGAGAAACATTTGGAGGCATGAAACTTAATTTATAGGTCCATTTGTTTCTAAACAATTGGAATCAGAAAATACAGAGGATCCAAATTGTAGTTCTGTATGTCGAAGTTTTCATGGGTATATTCACTTCAGTTGAGTTTTTGTTTTGAATGTATGTAATATTAATCCTCTTATTCCTTGCTACAATGAGCATGGGCATTTAATCTTGTAAAAATAGGTAAAGAAAGTCAAGAAAATTATTGAACATGAAGATAATTAATCCAGAAATAACATATGCAAAGAATAGTCACTGATAAAGTACAATAGTATCATACAATTCATATGGCGAATGCCAAGAAAAAAGGAAGGTCGAGAAAACATTAAATATAAAAGATTTCAAAATTTAGTTTATTTTAAATGGATTGATAACAAAAATTAAATTTTTTTAATAATAATATTTTGGTCTAGTTTATTATTAAATGTTTTCTTACATAATATTTAAATTATAAAATTTAAATATACTAATTTAATTTTCTTCAGTTTGATTATAATTCATCCATTCAAGCACGAACTAACATTTTTACCAGTATAATAATTAGTCTAATTTTCTTAATATTGCTATGTACTATAAATTGATATGCCGTTACACTGAATATTTATAAGGGTTTTTCCCCCTGGCGTCGTTTTCATCTAATGTTGACATTATTATTATTATTATTATTATTATTATTTGAAAGCCGTATAATTTAAGATGAGAGCGGCCCCTAGCAAGAGTTCCGAGTTTAGTAGGACAAGGGAGTTCTATCCAAGCATCTTGTAACAGCGACATGGAGAATCTCAGGCATCATTCGTAGGTGCAAACAGACAAATAATATTTTTTTAATGTAAAAAAATATAAATGTAAGAATATTCCTAGGATCAGTTTTTTTTTTTTTTATGGAGAAATTACTCAAATTAGAATCTTTGCATTACAAAGCCGTTCACACGTACTTATCAGATATATAAATATTTTTTCACACTAAGAGCGTGTTTGAAAGTTTAGAATTAAATGAAAAAAAATAATCATTAATAAAATTAAACGAAGTGGAGTGGAGAGGAGTATAATAGAATAAAAATTTTCATTGTTTGATAGTTTTATAATAAAAATGAATGATTTTATATAACCATTGTTTAGGAGTTATTATAAAATAGATGGAATGGAACAGTTAAAAGAAAAATTCTCTCAATATTATTCATATAACTAAATTTAAAAAAATAATATTGTCCATTAAATAATTATAATATTTATGCAACAAAAAATAATAATAATTAAAATTAAAGGTCAAATAAAATACTCAAAAATTAAGAATAAAAAGAGAAAGTAAATAATAGAGTTATTTAAGCAAACATTTTTGTTGTAAGAGGAAAACATAACAAAGTCAGTGTTAAAAGGAAAGATATATATATATATATATATCTATCTATCGCATGAAGTAGGGCTACACACTATGCCTGAATGCCCGGTTAGCCCAAAGCATTCAGGTGCATGGGCCAGGTATTGACAGGGGTCAAACCTTGCCTTATTCGAACATGTGCAATTTTTTTTAAAAAAATTGTAAATAATATTTATTTTATGACATTATTTTTTATTGAAACTTATAATGAATTATATTATTTTTATGACCTTTTATACATTTTTTATCATTACAATTTTTTAAATCTCTTTCAAAATTTAAAATGTATTTTTAACTTATTATTATGTAAAAATAATTGGGTTCATTTGAACTTTTAAAAACTTACTTTTGATTATAATATTAGTTTTATAAAGAATATGTTTTAAATGATGATGATGATGATATATTTTTCAAGGAAAATTTTTTATATATTTTTTAAAAAATACTTGTAAAAATATTTTTTGATCAATCGGGCCAACCTGGTGTCCAACTGCACATTGAGCTAGGTATTGGTAGGAGTGAGGCCTAACTTGATCTTATCCATGTGCAATCTTAGCAAAAGGTACAAGAGAGATGGCTAAAAAATAAAAGTAACAGATGAGATTTTTTTATTAGAATAGGAGGTTGGAAGTAATTTTATAAATAAAATAATTATATTGTATCACTCCATTATTAACCTCCAATTTTAGGGGACAAAAAATATTGAAGTATGAATGGCAAATAAAGACTTTAGAAGCCCTTTCCTGTCATTTCATCATTCTTAAAAAAAAAAAAAACTTACAAATAATAGCTCAAGACTTTTTAGCCATCCTACTCCATTCCATTCTACTTAAAAAAATCTTTCAAATATAGTGAAAATAATTATTAATTATGAAATAACATAATGAGGCTATAACATTGTAGCTTCCCTGCGCTATGGTTCATTATTCGTTAGCGTTGAATACTATAAAAATTTAAAAGTGGTCGATCGTCTACTATTATATATGAAAGAGATATATTGATATATTTATTGTATATGGCGATCGATCCTCTGTAGTGTCAATATTTTTTTAATGTCTTCATCATTTTTTTTTTTCAAAAGCTAACAATAAGTAGACTATAGATCCATGTCTTAGGTGCTTTGAGTTCAGTTTCGCTTTTCTTACTCATTAATAATGCAAGTTATAATTATGTATGTAGATTGTACCAGTGTCGTTTTTTTTAAATTAACATCCTTTTTCCCCTCCGTAAATTCTCAGGATTCTCTATTATTAAAATATTTTTTTAATAATAAACAAAGGTTATGGTAAGGACCATACAAGAAAAAGAAATCAATTGTTAGTAGAATTATTCTCTGGACAAACATAAGAGTCTATAAATTTCCTACATCTAACATGAGAGTTTTTTTTTTTTTGTTCCTGAAAACATAATCATATTAATTGACCAATTCTAAATAATGATTTTCCTTACCTCCTCTAGAATATTCTTCAAGGGACAATAGCTTAATTGTTTTGTAGAAATAATATTCAAGGCCTCCATAATATACTTTAATGTATCCCTCTTGCCAGTAGAACTTTAGAGTAATTTATCCAGTTCAACTAGGTTTTTTTTTTTAATCTTTTTTTTTGTTATCAAATGTTCGATTCAACTAATTTATCCGTTGATTTCACTGATTTTGACTATTTTCAGAATTACTGGATTTTTATAATAACTGAATTAGACTTGGGATTGGTTCCCCTTTTAACTGGTCAAAACCCATCTCGATCTGATTTTTAAAATATTGTTTTAGAGTTTAGATTACTCATTAATCCATAATACAAGTATGAAAATGAAGTTTCTTTTTTTGATGGAATCCCTTATACATCTATTGATGGAATCCCTTATACATTTAATCTCTAATCCACATTGCATAACGAGGATAACGTATGAAGTTTCACCTTGATGATATGCAAAACTTTCAACATTGAACCTATCCCATCTCGATAATGAAGAATACACCTCCAATGTTTGGAAGTTCATGTCCTTCATTATCGTAGTTTTGGTTAGAGTTAGAAATAAAAATCAAATTTAAAGATCTTATTTAAGTTTTGAAAATAATTTTTTTAAAAGTAATCGGGTTTGAAGGCTTAATCTTGATAAGTCTTGTAAAAAAGAGTTTGAGCTTTGACGACCCTCCAAATCTTGTTATATTATTATTATTTTTTTTGGTAGAACACGTGTTTGAAACCAATGACTTACTCACCTGATCCTACATGCATTATATTATTATTAATTTTTATTTATTCTAAAATTAAGTTAATATAATTTTAATAAATATCAATGTATAGTATAACATTTTTAATATTTTTTATTTTTCTATAATTATTATGTTTGTGTATTTATAAAAAATGAACTATTTTTTAATCAATATTTAAATTTTATTATTAGAATTCTAAATGTGTGTTGTTTAATTTCTAAAAAATTATGAGAATTTTAATTTTTTTAATTTTAAAATATTTTAATTAATTTATAATTTATAATTTTATTTTAATTTTTTTAAAAAAAGGCTTGCAGGCATATAAAGGCCGAGCTTAAAAAATAAGGTTAAAAATAAAAAATTAAACTTTAAAACCAAGGCCCTTAAGAGTTGAACTCGATCGTATTTTCAATTTTAGTTTTGGTGCGTTTGCCTTTCATCACCAAAATAATAGTTTTTATAATTTCTAACATGAAATTAAATATATTTTTAAAACCAAGCGTGTATTTTGGACTGTGTATTTCTTTGAACCATGGCCAATCAAAAGTGACCAACAATGCTAACCTCTTCATCCTCTATTGATTTATATGGGAATTATGGGCATGTTTGATACTTCTTGTTATACAAAACTAGAGAAAATGCATAAAATGTCATGCTTTTGTTATTTACAGTTATATTAATAAAATAAATTATTATTTCATCCTCTATTTTATCAATCTAGATATGATTTTTAAAATAATGATTGAAACAGATTTTTTTTTTCACCTTATGTTTTCAAAATTTGTTTTGAAAAAATATTCTATAAAACTGTTTCAAAAATATAAAAATAGAAAACAGAACCAAATAAGCTTATAATACTATGATCTTTTCTTTTTATTTTGTTGGTACAGTGATCCTTCTAAAAAAAAAATGAAAGGTGACAAAAATATTATTTAAAATTTGCAGATTCCTCTGATCTATTTATATATACGCATGTTGAAGGGCCGGGTATGAGCCATGTAAGCTCAGAGCTTTTGATGAGTGGAAGCCTCGCATGCAGGAATCTCCATTCCGCTCCTATCAACAACGCCATATGATTTTTAACTCAGTAAGTTATGCAGAACGCGGAGATCGTAGGTCTCTTCCTATCTCTTTCATCTTTCATGGCTGTTTCTTCATTATCTTTACCTTACAAATCTATTATTTTTAATACTCTCAGAAATCATGTTAGTATCAATATTTCTCAAGGATGTACTGTGTAAGTCAGACGGTACGATCAATTCTCGTAATTATCTATACTTCACAGATGCTTATATGTCAACTTATGCAAGATTGAACTGGTAATCTCTTGATCAATTTTGAGCACGCAAATCAGATCTGGGGTTGGCATCCTGAAACAAGTTCTTCATGTTTATTAAGTTTTCCTTCTGGAAAAACGCAACAGAGGATCGATTGCCTCAAGGGCTCAGATTCGTGAAAGAATATATTGAAAATCCTGTTTATCTTTCAAGATAAAAGTTAATTACCAGACTAGACTTGTTTTAGCAAAGTTATTTCTAAATTTTAGAAATGTTATGGGAAAATCATCTAAGATTTTAACGTTGATTTCCTTAATTTTCAATAGTAAAGCAAGTCCCTTGAACTTCGATACTATAAAATGTAAGTCTTTTCAAAAACTTTCTTCTTGATAAGTTGTGTCTTCTCATTTTGTCTGCAGGAGAGTATTATATTATCATCTCAAATTGATTACAAAGGCCTTTCAAGTGTAACTTATAAAGCTAAAAATTATCAGTTCTTTTGAATCCTAGGCAAGCAAACTTACCAAAGAAAACAAAAGAATCACACGGAGAAAGAGGCTATCTTGCTCTACAATGAGAATCTGCAACTTAGGGAAACCCTGTGATCATGTTATGGTTGGTTTTTTCTTTATAGCTGTTGATTTATTGAGAGTTTCTCTAAAGTCTAAATTGCATTGACTTAAATCAATGGTGGCAATAGAATTCTACTTCAAGATGCTTTTTAATTATGTCTGATTTGAAGCATCATTATTCCAAAAATTGGAACCTACTCATATATATCTGATTGGATACATCATTTTAATGACAGTATGGCTAAAGTTTTTTTTTTTTTTTTAATGTGATAATTCTGAGCATATCAGTAATATGAATGTAAATAGAGCTTTCTTTCTGGTAATGCTTCTAAGTTGGGGTCATAGAGAGCCCCAGGACAGAGATCATGATGAGAAGAATTGTCATAGTAGTTACAAATCATCAGAATGACAGCAAGTCCAATTCAGAGGATGTTGTTGAACGGAGAAAATGAAAGATTGGTACTTCCAGTTCCTCAGATTCAGATTATGGATCAAACGGAAGAGCATTTATGAGAACAAGTAATCACCGTGAAGATAAAACTGCAAAGAGAGATCACTTAGTCATGAAAGACAGACATGCTTCACAAGGTCCATCAAATATGAAAGGAAAAATTGGAGCTTTCTTGAAACAAGCTCCAATAGATCCTTTGTTACCTCACATGAACATGAATTAACCACACTACAAGTTCATAAATGTGGCTTCTGAACTATCAGGAGAAGAGCTAAGCTGGAGATGGTGATGTTTTAAGAATGCTGAGCAGAACCATGCTTACAGAAAGATCTGAAAGCTGTGCATCTCATGGAATGCTGTGAAGAGTGGTGCTCATGAATAGTTTTAGTTACTGAAAATAAACTGTGAGAGCCAGCTTTGGCGCTCCATATAGTTGACATTGTGACCAAATCATTGCTAGCTCTAAGAATGACAAAGGAATTGCACCTCTCCAAGCCCTTGCCTCTATTCTCTCTGCCTTCGAAAGTAGTACTTGCCTGACATGGTGACACAAACCCTGCTTCAACTATAAGCATCATTTATCTTAATTGTTGAGGAAAATAATAAAATTATTTATTTCCCTTTGCTTAATAGCTTAAGCTTTTGGGTTGAAATAATCCTTGACTTTTGTGTGGTATTTGATCTTTGGTGCGCTAATACACAACTGATAAGGATTATTTCAACTCAAAAGCTTAAGTTGTTAGACAATGGTTAATAAATACTTTTATCATAATTTCTAACAATTAAAAAAAATGATACTAATAGTTGTAGTAGAGTTTTTGCTACCATTTGAGGTGAGTGCCACTTTTGAATGCAGAGGAAATAGAGGCAAGTGCTTGGAGAGGTTTAATTCCTTCCTCATTCTTAAAGCCAGCAATGTTTTGGTCATGCTATTAGTAAATTATGTTAAATTCGATAGATTTGACTAGTATGTATCATCAGCATGTGAAAGCCCATGTTCAGATTGGAATGATTAGATTTGGCTAGCATGTGTCATCAATCTGTGAAAACCAGTCATCAATTTGAGATATTAGATTATTTGTGATTCTTTCTTGTTTTTGTGCATCTTGAAATTTGGATTTTTCTTTTTTCTTTCTTTCTTTTTCGGTGTGGTTATATTGGAAGCGCTCAAACTTTGGTCAATATGCCTGCTTCCTGCACTTCATTTGTTCATGGATATGTGACTTGAATATTATTTTAGAATCTGCAAGCTATCACCTCTCTTACTTGACTTCATTTAGCATCAAGCTAAATTACAACTGAAAAATGCCCTGCAGGATCGACTCATTCTTCGGTTGGTATGGCCAATGGGGGGGGGGGGGAATCTTTTTCCAAATTTTTATGACATTTATCCTCTTATTGCTCATTACTAAATTAATATTTTTTTTTACTAATTTTGAAAATAAACAGAGATTTTCATATTTTAAAAATATTCCATTTCATTTTTATATCAAGCGAATTAAGAACCTGAAAAAGTCACCTACACATCATTTAGTAATCACCAAAAAGTAGTGACTAACCAAATTAATTTCACATTCTTCCATTATTAACACGCAACTTAGAGAACAAAATTCAAACCGCAGGGCATAGGAGACTAAGAGTCAGTATTATTCAACATGACAGGTACAACTATAAAACATCATCAGGCGGTGGGGTCAGCAACCAAATCATTTTCACCACTCAAATTCCTAAGCTTTTGGACATTAGCTGAACAGGGTACTTACAACATATATGCTCAAATATTTACAAGGCATCAAGGTACGTATAATTTCTTCGTCGGTTGTACTGAAGAAGGCTACCGTATGTGCGATCCCAGACACCAATATAAAGCGATTCTGTATCAGGGCTGAACGATACACCAGAGATCTCGCCAAAAAAATCAATCTCCTGCTCCTTCTCAAACCCTTGCTTCGCATCATAGATGTGCACGAAATCTGCTGGCTCGGCTGTTGCCATGAACCGCCCATCAGATGTGAATCTTATTGACCGTATGGCTCCAAGGTTACCCTTCAACACAGCTACAGACTTTGACATGTTCCGGACATCCCAAACACGACACGTCTTGTCTTGGTTCCCAGTGGCGAATATGTAACCTTGAGGATGCCATGCCGATGCAAACGAGTAATCCAAGTGTCCGCGTAATGACGTGACAGTCTATAATGAATAAAGAACATTAGCTTATCTCAGCTCATCTCATGTCAAATAATTCTTGAGAAGAATAAAAAAAGGAATTCATGACATGGAAGAACAGATTAGTATACCAACCTTCCCTGTTTGAGAATCCACCACTAATCCTTCTGGGTTGTCTCCGACAATTACAAGTAGTTTACCATCAGGACTCAAGGAAGTATGCTGCAAGAAAAATGAACATGAGATCCAATAATAATTTACGCTGTGCTCAAACATTAAATATCATATTTATGAACACCAAAAATGCACACCCATAATCAGGTGAAATGAGAAAAAACAAAGACTAAATAAGAATTTAAACTAGTGACTTGTAAACAGCACCATTATTTTATGCAAGGCTCAATATATATAATAACAAGGACAAACCTCATACTACTAGGTAAGGTTAGCTATATGGATTGTACAATGCCATTGTACCCTATCATTTGCCAAACTTTTGGAAATGTTGTTAGCTAAGATAAAAAGTTTCGATCAACAACTTTTAAAAGTATTTTTTTTGCCCTTCCTCTATCTCTCTTAATAAGGCTCAAAATTATCTGTTCTACTCCCCTCACTGATGCTTCTCACAGTCTTCTTTGTACATGTCCGAATTCCCTCAAATAATTTTCTACCGTTTTTCCCTCAATAAATGATACGCCCACTTTTTCTTGTATATGCTTATTTCAAATTTCATCTTTATATGTATATCCACACATCCATCTCAACATCCTCATCTTACTACTCCAACTTTATCCTCTTACTGTCTCGTTAAAGTCTAACATTCATTACCATATAATATAATTGATCTTATAAAAGCTTGATAACATTTTCTTTCAGGTTTATTAGGTATCTTACGATTGCAAATAACTCCTTTAGCTTTTCTCCAATTAAACCACCCAATTTGTATCCTATGTACAATATCCCCATCAATTTTTCCATCATGTTGAATAATAGCTCCCAAATATCTAAACTTTTCACTTGTGGTATAATTTGAACTTCCAATTTCACTTTTAAATTACTGCTAATCGACCTCTTATCAAAATTATAGTGCAAATATTCTGTCTTACTCCTACTCAGGCAAAAACCTTTTAACTCCAATGTCCTTCTCCATAACTCAAATTTACAATTACTCTCTCTTTTTGTATTCGTAATAAGAACGATATCATCCACAAAAACATGCATTTGAGAATTTCTCCTTGAATATGCTCAATCAAAACATCTAGGATCAAATCAAACAAATAATGACTCAGATGATTCTTGATGTAATTCAATCCTAATAAGAAAGTCCTTTGTTTCATTACTAGATGTTCTCATACTAATTGTTGCCCCCTCGTACATATCTTGTATAGCTCTAATACAAGCAACCCAAACTCTCTTCTCTTCCAAGGCTTTCCAAAGTACTTCTCTGGGTACACAGTTATAAGCTTTTTCCAAATTAATTAGAACTATGCGTAAATCTTTACCTTTACATTGATGTCTTTCCATTAATTCCCTTGGTAGATAAATTGTTTTTGTAGTTGCCCCATCTGATATGAAGCCAAACTGATTTTTAAAAATACCAATCTATAATCTCAACCTCTGCTCAATCACTCTTTCCAACAGTTTCGTTATATAATTCATAAGTTTAATCCCTCTGAGGTTAAGCATAATTCTAAATATCCCTTTTAATTTTTTTTTCAAATAGGAAATAAGACGCTTCTCCTTCAATCACCAACCATTTTCTTGAACTGTAGGATCTCATTAAATAGCAAGGCTCAATATACATGTGAGTTTAACTTTTTATCATAAAATTTATTTAATGCAGCACTTATACCCTTCAATGAACACCCCATGTAGTTGCACCATTGGAAAGGAATTCCATTTCTATTGCACGAAAAAGGAAAATATGCATCATCCATAATATTCCAATTATTATTATTCAGCAGTAACTACATTTTTCATACTATTCCAAAAGCACAAGAGACATTCCTCACCGACAAAACCATATTTTAAAAATTTGCTTTTACATTCTACTCCATTCTAGACACTAGATGAACAAATTTGTCTTCCAACAAAAGCATATTCAGGTCGCATAAATGCTAAGAAGCCAAAAGGTTGTCCCTCTAGAGTGGGGATATTTCTTTTAATTCAACCATAGCAAATCAATTGAGGCACTTACATTTACTGGCCACGAGAAGCAAAAGTGCTTGCAAAGCTGGAATCTCTCCATATCAAAATCTCTGACTCCACAGTCATTATTTGAAGCCATGAAATGAATAGCTCCACTGCGAGAATAACATATTGTTATTTAGCAACTACACTTTTAGATCTGAGAATTATTAAAATAGTGAACATGCAACAGAGAAGTTAAACTACATGTGTGATAACAGGTAGTTGAGTTTGTACTATTAGTACTACCATTTCTTGAGTTACAATTAGAGACCCAGGGTGTCTGGCTAAGTCTGAGTCCCCTTTAAAATATTCTATTTTTCTACAAGAACAATAATTGCAACCCCATATAGAGCCATTGGTAGTTAATGCCCTTCATGAAAGAAAAGTCATGGAACAAATCAATGGAATGAGACCTTCGATCCTCATAAATCTCAAGTGCATTGGTTATTGCATTATCATCATAAGTAGTTCTGGTACAGAAGCTAATCCCAGGTCGATCTATGTACTGCAAGACAACATGTATAAGCCATCAGTCAGGAAAGACAAAATTGAAAATAAACATAAAATTAAATAGAGTAAATTACACAAACCTCTAATTAATTTGCTACAATATACAAACCTCATCTGTTTTCAAAATATATACTTTAGATGAACTTTTTTATTTTTAAACTAAAATACCCTCCACTAACTTAAATATTTGCATTGTATTATAAACAAATAACTTAAGGCATTTTATATAAACTTAAGGTGAATCTAACCAAGTAACTTAAACTATTTTAGTACAACGGATAAACCTCATGCATAGTTAATACATAAAATTCAATATTACACATCCCCCAATGTGATTTCACACATTCCCACATAAAGTTTCAACGAGTGCATCAAACACCAGGCCACATAATTTTGGGGGAAAAAAACGACCTGACTGTGTGCCAAATAAGGAAACCTTCATTTGATTTGGTTAAGAATCAGTCCCCTTTAGTATGGGTTGAAGCCATTGGAGGCATCTAAGGCATAACCAGGTAATTCTTATCATGGTGAGTGTGAAATGATAGTATATTAGTAATACAGTATAAGTAGATATTTTCATTTTTCTTTATTTTACTATGTAATAATGATAACAATTATAATTGAGGAATTAAGTTTTGTAATTTGGTAATTGGAGCAGTTAGGATTTAATTAGGACTTCCTTAGCACTAGAACAAAGGATTTTGGGCCTAGCATGTCATTAGGTCATATGCGGTATGTAGGACTAGGAAACATGGAATCATTAGGATACCAATTTAGCAATTTCCATTAAAAACTATTTTGGTTCAACCCAGGCCATTTTAAAGGTATTACCCATTGCTAAGAGATATGTTAAATTGATCTAGAACATTGTCAAAATTCTTCCTTGCTTTTAAACCCCATCATGTTCTGCATTGATTAGTTAAATACTAAATAAAATAGTAATTGCGAGTGTGAAGCATGGCAAAGATAGGCAGTAAAAATACAGTACCTTGCAAATAAGTTCTCCTTGAAAACCTCCAGCAATCATCAACTTATCTCGCACAGCCAATGTACTGATTTGTGTCTGAGTAAACCCTTCCAACAGGCTTCCAGGATGTTTCTATAAACAGCACGATTAAATATATCAGATGCCAGATCTAGCTGAGGTTTTTCAACTAAAAAGCAGCGCAACAGCATTTACCTCACATGGAGCTACATGCCCTGATACATTCAAGACTTCAGATCCCTTGCAACTTAGTGAAGACCAGTGAACAATAGAGTAATGTGAAACAAGATACACATCATGCTTTGAAGTTGACCAAATCAAGTTCCTCAACTGAAAAGTACACGTTAAAAGCTTCTCATTGACGTTCCTTACATAATTACAACCAAATGTGTCAAAGCTTCATACTAATGTTCGTTGCATTATTAGAAACAAATGCCTAAACTAAAGTCCATGAATAGAGAAGGCAAATTATGAATATAAAGCCTCATAAGTCAAGATAAATCAATTGCTATAAATGATGACTTCCATCATTACTATTAAACCAGGGAGGGGTGAAGCTTGCAGTAAGAAATCGAAAGTAAGGAATCACCACATCAACATACTTGAAAATGAAGTATCGTTGATTTCACAGATCTAGTGTTTTGCCAGAAATCATAATATTTTCCCCCTTTATCTGTAGGTTTGCATTCCTGTAGAGGAAAAGCCTAAGGTGAAATTATCCCACCAAAATCATTACTCAAATGACATTGGAATGCCATGTTAAATGTCTTTTACCTTCTCTGACCACTCCCCTGATTGTGGTATATTTTCATAATTCTTGTACTGCTCTAATCTTGTCTGTCTGTACTTCTCACGAGTAATGCTCAGTCTCTCCCAAGGTATACCTTGGATATCTTTTCCCCCCCTAGCTTCTGTAGCAGTGGTATCTGATATATTGTTTTCCTGCAACAGAACATCCAAATCCACACCCCAAGGAAAAGACACAAGCCCACATAAAAGACAAGAGAAAATATGTTAATGGCAACAGTTTACTCATAATTAGTCAAATGCATGTAAGTCATCTGAGTAACGGTTAAAAGGTTGGAATGAAAACAAGCAATCAATCATACAACAGTTGGCAGAAACAATATAAATCTCATGATCAATATAAAACTAACAGTTAAAAACGACTTTAGAATGCACCAGATATGTAAATCATAACAAAGGTTTTGCATTTGACTTGAAACAAACCAAAGGGTCATATTGATCATCGTCGTCGTCGTCTTCTGAATCTGAACCACCAAATACTCTTCCACGAATATACGAATCATTTTCTACTTCTGCCACTTCATTATCATCGCCGACATACTCCATTTCATCCCCATGGTTCTGAGCCATGTTTCCCTATGCTATTAATACCTGGTGCAAAAAGGGAGAGAGTGAAAGAGCTTAATGATTGGAAATAACTAAATAAACATCAAATTCTATGACCTTGACACTGAATATACTAATTATAATTCATTTGGTAAACAGTACTAAGCCCCTCCAGAAGATTCCAAACATTTGTTGCTAGCACCGTGACGCCACTTACAGATATATAGCAGAATTGAAGAAGAAAGGCGAAACTTTAACCTGACTTAATAACCAAAAACACTAATAAATGAAAAACGATCCTTATCAGATTCTAAAACCCAAACGAAGGGGACGCGAAAATTTGCAAAGCTCGAGAGGCATAATGCATTAATTTGCACATGTTCAATTATTCCTGCCGTGAAAACGAAACAACAATCGATTTTTGTAACCAAAACAATCCATCTTGAGGATTTCGAAATCAGAAATTCGACTTCACACGGTCATCCCCCATATCTTTAAAAACCCAAGAACGTAATCGCAATGGAGATAAAACGGAATGAAAATTAGTAATTAATAATTGACAAAAAATGAACAAGTGAAAATTGAAATCAGGAAAATCGTAACTGAATCACGAAAACTAAAGGCAACAACGAAAAAATAATTCATTGGAGCTAACAGTAAGAAAGCTTAAACGGGAATACAAATTCTGACCCTCTTTTCTTCGTAAATTAAATCCAATTGTACCTTCGTTAGAGAAGGAAATTGATCAATAAGCAAAGGCAGAGCAGCTGCTTCACCAGCTAGATCTTTCGTGATAAGGACTTGATCTGCGTCTGCAATTCAGCGAGCTTAGCAGTTCGCAGACATACATGTGAGAATTTACACGATGTCGAACACCTTTTTTTTTTTTTTTTTGGCGCCTTCAAATTAAGTTGCACGGGAAATTGGGCAGAAGGCCTAATCGGGTCGGGTAAATATTATTCTTAAATGTATTTATTATTTTTAAATTTTTTTGGAATATTAGTTTAGTTCTTAATATTTATTAAGTTAAAAATATGATTTTACATTAATCAAATGTAATTTAATATTTATTTCTTAACTGTGAAGTTGAGAGTGTAAAATATTTAAATATATATTATTATTTAGTACCAGCAGAACGGATGCATTATTATTTGTGGGATTGGCACAGGCTAGCTTGCCAAAAATAGATAAAATATGGGATCGTAGTATTTGAATGCCATATAGTATTTGAATAAAAAGTAATATTATTGTTAGAATAGGCCAAATTTAACAATGTTATGAGAATCAGACCGAATGTTAAACCAGTTAAAGTACTGGTTCGTGATTCAATGGTTTGATCGGGATTTAACCGGGATCAAACTGTTTGTAATTGATTTAATATAATTAATATATTTTAAATGTCATATATTTAAAATTATAAGTAAAACTCACAAAAAATTACCACTCTCAAAAATACAATTTAAAAGACACAAACATGAATAAAAAATTATAATTTAAAATACAATAAGTATTAAAATTGCATGTATAATATTAGTAAATAATAATATGTACAATTTTAATTAGAAAAAAAAAATCTGGCAACGAACGAATATTGTAGGTGTTGGGAGTTGAGACTTGACGCAACAACTGAAGGTGTATTAAAAAAAGTGCGTTTGAAAATTATGGCCTTGATTTGAAACTTTTTGGCTTTGATTTGAAACTTTCTTTCTCCTCAGTCTGGGGCCAAATACACGGATGTGTCACATTAGCTGCATTTCATCTGCAGAACCCATTTTAGAGAGTTATCGAGGTGAGGAGAAAACAGGGAAAATGCCAAGAGACCCTGTCATTCGATGATAATGGAAGGGAGCAGAGCTTGACACTGGCAACCTTGAAGTTTCAAAGTAAAAGTTTTAAGTACTTTTCTTCCTTTTTTTTTAAAAAACTTTTTTGCTCTTCTTTTGTCTTCAATATTCTTCATTTCCTATAGCTTCTTCCCCCTTTTGTCAGAGTTCTCGGTTTTTTTTTTTTTTGGCATGGAAGATCTATATTTTTCGTCATTTTCTTTGGCTTGGTAGAACTAGCTAACCCGCTGGTTTTGCCAATTTCTCCCCATTTATAACCAGTCTTGCTGGTTTTGTCCCGATCCGCATTTTGATCGGTTCAGATAGTGTTTTGGACCGGACATATAACCAGTTTTTGATCTACCATTTGAATTGGCTTTGGTTCTGATAACACTGAAATTTAGAGATAACTAACAAAAGGTAGTACAAAAAATAGCAAGAGGAAAAGAGAGGACGGCAAAAGAAATGATTTCACTTAGTATACGAGGATTTATAGAACAAACTCTTCATTGATGACAGCTTCCACGCTCAAGTCTGACCAAAATGCAAGGTAGAGAGTGACAACCTATTAGTAAAGAGAAAATGACAAAGATTGGTGATTGTTAGCTTTATCATCACAATCTTCTCCCTTGCGTGCCCCTCTCCATCCCTTCACCAATCCTTCATCGTCAATTACATCTTGTGCTCACAGATTCTCTTTTCCCTCATTCGATTCTAGAGATTTGGGCAAATATGGGTATCAACCATTTCCTTTGTTTTTGATTCATGTGCTTGAATGTCACTTGGACTTCTAGGTTTCATCATGTAATTTCATAATTTGATCTTGGTTATTCTAGATCTATTTTTTAACTAATGTCTTGCTTTCTAGATTGCTCTTTAGTGGGCTGTGGGGTGGGATATCTCGCCCAAAATATGTATAAAGTATGTCTTTCTAGTATCTGCATGTCATGGTATTTGGATAAAGTAAAATTGTTGTTAGAATAGGCTAAATTTAGAGATGATTAACTAACAAAAGGCACAAAAAAGAGTAAGAGGATAGCAAAATAAATAATTTCAATTAGTATATGATGGTTTATAGAACTAACTCTTTTTCTTGACGGTAGCTTCCACACTCAAATCTGACCAAAAGGCAAGGTTGATAGCAATGACTTCTTGGCAATGAGAAAATGATAGAGATTGGCGATTGTTAGCTTTGTCATCACAATCTTCTCCCTTGCATGCCTCTCTCCATCCCTTCGCAAATCCTTCATCCTCGACTCAACTTGTGCTCACAGATCCTCTTTTCCCGCATTCGAGTTCAAAGATTTGGGCAAATATGGGTATCAACCATTTCCTTTGCTTTTGATTCATGTGCTTGAATGTCACTCGGAGCTCTAGGTTCATTTAATTTCATGATTTGATCTTGGTGACTCTAGATCTATCTGTTTTCTAATGTCTTGCTTTATGGATTTTCTTCATGTTTGATTTCATAATTTTTGTTGGAATTTTGGATTGAGAGAATAAGGAAATTTTTTGTTAATGAAGAACAAATTAAGTTGAGAGAGGAAGGAGACGATGGCAAGATAATATGGTCTTTTTAATTTCTTGGCTTCCTTTCTAGGCCTAATTCATATGTCCTGGACAAAAATGATACCAAAATTCTATTTTATTTTTTTTGTCATCCCAAATGTAATTTTGAACTTTATTCCCATTCATTTGTTAGTTCCTTTCCATTTTATTTTCCAATTCATTTTCCAACAAAATCTCTTCAGTGAAAAAAATAAGGTCTAAGTTCTTAGGGAGAATGATAATTAAAGACTTTCTAAGAACATTAATCCCAATTACGGACTGTGAAATTTTAAAATTTCAATTAAGGACCATGGTCCTTAATTGTAATAAAAAAATTATAATTTGTGAAGTGGGATTCACTAACGTGACTTGAAAATTCACTAACCCAACTTGAGAAAATTACTAACGTATATTGTGAAAACATGAAACCCCACTTGGAAATGAAATTTTTAACAAAAAGCGCCACTTGGGAATTCACTAATTAGACTTAAAAAAAATTTTTAATGTATATTGTGAAAAAATGAAACTCTACTTGAGAATCAATTGTTTAATAAAAAGTGACTTGTCTAAATTATTTTTTTATCAAACAATAGATTCTCAAGTGGAGTTTCATGTTTTCACAATATATATTAGAAATTTTTTCAAGTCAAATTAGTGAATTTTCAAGTGACGCTTTTTATTAAACAATTGATTTTCAAGTAAGGTTTCATGTTTTCACAATATACGTTACAAATTTTTTTAAGTTGGGATAGTGAATTTTCAAGTGACAATAGTGAATTTCACCTCACAAACTATATTTTTTTATCACAATTAAGGACCATGGGATTTTAAAATTTGATGGTCCGTAATTGAAATTAATATTTTTAGAAGGTCTTTAATTGTCATTCTCCCAAGTTCTTAAGCTTTTTTTAATAATAAGGCCACAATAAATTATGCAAGAGACAACAATTAAGTCATATCAAAGCTTAAAAGCCTCTTGTAGCTAAGAGGTGAATCGAAAAGAATTGTAGAGTCTAAATTTCTATTCAAAACCTAATGAGGAAGCCAATCTATGTAATCATTTGCTTCTCTGTCTAAATGTATGATTAAAAATTATCATCCAATCTCTTATGGTAAAGTCCTTGATCTTCTTGATGGATTTTAAGAGAGGACGATTATGGCCAAAATCATATTGAGTAAGTAAAAGGGCTTTAGATGTGTCTGAGTAGATATTAAGTTTGATGAATTTGTTATTCCAACAGAAAATAAGGCCTTCAATGATGGCCAAAAGCTCTTTAGTTGTGTTTGAAAATTAACTAAGATATTTATAGAATCCTTTAATCCTTTTTCCTTGATCATCATATACAAGCCCTCTACAAGTGGCAATGATAATGCCAATTGAGTTGTTTATGTCTAGTCTCACCTAATAAGGATTTGGTGGGCATCATTTTGCTTGGGATCTATCATGTTCACAAGATAAGTAGATAAGTCTTGATCGAAGATTCATGTCATTGATTATGTCCTAGGTACAAGAGAAGCCAATGTCTCTACTGGGAAAGTGCTTCTTCAGAATAGATTGCTTTGCATCTTTCCGTCAACATAAGTGAGAGAAAAGTTACTACCAAGGAATTCTTCTTGTGTTCGGTCCTCCCATGTCTTTTGTTTTTTTTTTTTTTACATTCCAAAGAATTCAATCCTACAAGGAAAGAGAAGTCATTAAATTTAGAACATTTAACTAATTTCATCCACACCTCTTCAGATTTTGTATAGTCACGCAAGATGTGAATTGAAAAATCCAAAGTATTACAACCAATAGGACAATTTCTATAGCAAGGGCTAGCTTCTTCGATCTAACAAAATTTGTTTGGAGTTATTCTTGAGTAGCCTTCTAAATAAAGATTTAATTTTTTCATAAGTGATTTACAAGCCAAATTTTACAATTAATCACCTTTTTAGTTTTCAATGGCTTTGAAGAAAGGACTTTTCTTGCAAGGCTATTTTTAATGACTAAATTATCCTCCATTATTATCCAATTTCCAAGTTCCATTATTGGACCTTCTTCTACTCACCCTTCATTGTTCCTTTGCAAACCTTCAGCCTTCTCTAGCATTAATCAACCAAAATCAACCTACTCTTTGTCTTTGACCTCTAGATCCAGACTAGCGATAGTGACATCTATTATAAAAATATCAAACTTGTTTGAAACTATTTTTGTTTCATTATTTAGAAAACTAATGTTTTGTATAACATGTTCTGAGAATAAAAAAAATAATAAAAATAAGTATTTTTCTCATTCTCTCTTGTTCTCTAGAACATTAATCCTAAAACACCTAAAAGATATTTTCATTTTTATTCTCCAAAACAATATTTTGTGTTTTTATTCTTTAAAATACTTTTAAAAACACGTTATCAAACAGATTTTTTTAAACAAAAAATTATTTTCAAAAAAGGTTGCCAAACAAGCCCATCATGTTCATAAGTTGTTTCCTCCTTCCGTTGGTAGATTATTAAAGAGCAACTCAGCTTAGCTC